CACTCTCCTGCTGGTGCTAGCCCATCCAAAGTGACAACTCTTTACATAATCAAGTCGGGCTATTTCCTGCATAGATCCAGGTTTTCTCACATCCCCCCCCACCCCCATACACACACAAACTCACTCTCCTGCTGGTAATAGCTCATCAAACTGACCACTCTCCAAGTTTAAATCCAAGTTAAACCAGAACATCTGGGGGGGGGGGGTAGGAAAAAACAAGAGGAAACAGGCTACCTTGCATAATGACTTAGCCACTCCCAGTCTCTATTTAAGCCTAAATTAATAGTATCCAATTTGCAAATGAATTCCAATTCAGCAGTTTCTCGCTGGAGTCTGGATTTGAAGTTTTTTTGTTTTAAGTGCACGGGCTGAAATTGTGGAAAAGCAGCATCACTTGCCCCATAACCTCAGCCATGCGGAACGCAATGCCATCCACAGCCTCAGAAACAACTCTGACATCATAATCAAAAAGGCTGACAAAGGAGGTGCTGTTGTCATCATGAATAGGTCGGAATATGAACAAGAGGCTGCTTGGCAGCTCTCCAACACGAGTTTCTACAAGCCATTACCCTATGATCCCACTGAGAGTTACCAAAAGCAACTACAGCATTTGCTCAAGAAACTTCCTGAAAAGGCACAAGATCAAATCCGCACAGACACACCCCTGGAACCCCGACCTGGGATATTCTATCTACTACCCAAGATCCATAAACCTGGAAATCCTGGGCGCCCCATCATCTCAGGCATTGGCACCCTGACAGCAGGATTGTCTGGCTATGTAGACTCCCTCCTCAGGCCCTACGCTACCAGCACTCCCAGCTACCTTCGAGACACCACTGACTTCCTGAGGAAACTTCAATCCATCGGTGATCTTCCTGATAACACCATCCTGGCTACTATGGATGTAGAAGCCCTCTACACCAACATTCCACACAAAGATGGACTACAAGCCGTCAAGAACACTATCCCCGATAATGTCACGGCTAACCTGGTGGCTGAACTTTGTGACTTTGTCCTTACCCATAACTATTTCACATTTGGGGACAATGTATACCTTCAGATCAGCGGCACTGCTATGGGTACCCGCATGGCCCCACAGTATGCCAACATTTTTATGGCTGATTTAGAACAACGCTTCCTCAGCTCTCGTCCCCTAAAGCCCCTACTCTACTTGCGCTATATTGATGACATCTTCATCATCTGGACCCATGGAAAAGAAGCCCTTGAGGAATTCCACCATGATTTCAACAATTTCCATCCCACCACCAACCTCAGCCTGGTCCAGTCCACACAAGAGATCCACTTCCTGGACACTACAGTGCTAATAAACAATGGCCACATAAACACCACCCTATACCGGAAACCTACTGACCGCTATTCCTACCTGCATGCCTCCAGCTTTCACCCTGACCACACCACACGATCCATCGTCTACAGCCAAGCTCTGCGATACAACCGCATTTGCTCCAACCCCTCAGACAGAGACAAACACCTACAAGATCTCTGTCAAGCTTTCTTACAACTACAATACCCACCTGCAGAAGTAAAGAAACAGATTGATAGAGCCAGAAGAGTTCCCAGAAGTTACCTACTACAGGACAGGCCTAACAAAGAAAATAACAGAACGCCACTGGCGGTCACCTTCAGCCCCCAACTAAAACCCCTCCAACGCATTATTAAGGATCTACAACCTATCCTAAAGGATGACCCAACCCCCTCACAAGTCTTGGGAGACAGGCCAGTCCTTGCCTACAGACAGCCCCGCAACCTGAAGCAAATACTCACCAACAACCACATACCACACAACAGAACCACTAACCCAGGAACTTATCCTTGCAACAAAGCCCGTTGCCAATTGTGCCCACATATCTATTCAGGGGACACCATCACAGGGCCTAATAACATCAGCCACACTATCAGAGGCTCGTTCACCTGCACATCCACCGATGTGATATATGCCATCATGTGCCAACAATGCCCCTCTGCCATGTACATTGGTCAAACTGGACAGTCTCTACGTAAAAGAATAAATGGACACAAATCAGATGTCAAGAATTATAACATTCATAAACCAGTCGGAGAACACTTCAATCTCTCTGGTCACGCAATCACAGACATGAAGGTCGCTATCTTAAAACAAAAAAACTTCAAATCCAGACTCCAGCGAGAAACTGCTGAATTGGAATTCATTTGCAAATTGGATACTATTAATTTAGGCTTAAATAGAGACTGGGAGTGGCTAAGTCATTATGCAAGGTAGCCTGTTTCCTCTTGTTTTTCCTCCTACCCCCCCCCCCCCAGATGTTCTGGTTTAACTTGGATTTAAACTTGGAGAGTGGTCAGTTTTGATGAGCTATTACCAGCAGGAGAGTGAGTTTGTGTGTGTATGGGGGTGGGGGGGATGTGAGAAAACCTGGATCTATGCAGGAAATAGCCCGACTTGATTATGTAAAGAGTTGTCACTTTGGATGGGCTAGCACCAGCAGGAGAGTGAATTTGTGTGGGGGGGTGGAGAGTGAGAAAACCTGGATTTGTGCTGGAAATGGCCCACCTGTTGATCACTTTAGATAAGCTATTACCAGCAGGACAGTGGGGTGGGAGGAGGTATTGTTTCATATTCTCTGTGTGTATATAAAGTCTGCTGCAGTTTCCACGGTAAACATCTGATGAAGTGAGCTGTAGCTCACGAAAGCTCATGCTCAAATAAATTGGTTAGTCTCTAAGGTGCCACAAGTACTCCTTTTCTTTTTGATTCTATTAATGTTATCTTAACTCAATAAGGAGTCAAACAAAATCAGAATAAACCAGTTTGTTTACTTGAGTTTACCCATTAAACTGGTTTTGCACTAGTTCAACTAAATCAGTTTAAAATCACACATTTAATTCAATTGTTGCAATTTGTATAGAGACAAGATCTCAGTGCCGACTTGGGCAACTCACTTTCTTTTCCTGAGGTCTGGTCTACACTTGAAAATTAGATAGATATGTCGGCGTTGCTCAGAGCTGTGAAAAATGTTGCGTCTTGAGCACCGTAGTTAGGTCAACCTAACCCCCACTGTAGATGCAGCTGAGTCGATGGAAGTTTTCTTCCGAGAGGTGCATTAACTACTGTTAGTGTAGGAAGCATCTATGCTATGGTGCTACCATGGCACAGCTGCAGAGCTGTAGTGTAGACATACCCTGAGTGTGTTCCCTCATCTTTTAAAAAGGGGTAATTCTTTATCTCCCTCATGGTATGTCTACACTACAAATGGGGTGGGTCCTGCTTTGAGCAGGGGGTTGGACTCGGTGACCTCCTGAGGTCCCTTCCAACCCTGATCTTCTATGATTCTAATGCTACAGTGGTGCAGCTGCAGCACTGGAACTGTGCCGCTGTATTGCTCTAGTGTAGACTTGCACAAAAGGACTTTCATTGGATACTCTGGGGAACTGGTTTAACAGCAGAAAATAATCCGCTGGTATCAGCTGCATTTCCACTGGGCTTGCTGGTTTAATTGTACTGGTGTATATGTATACTGGCAAACCTTTTCAAGTATAGATATGTAGGGCTGGTATTTTCCAAAGTACCCAGCGTTGACTGGCCACCTACTTTGAAAATCCAAACCCATGATATTGTGGAGTGCTTTGAGGTCCTGTATAAGTACTAAGTGACCAAATGATTTTCTTTTTCAAAGCACTTGAGACAGATTGACTTCTGAAGCATATCGGAAGGAGCAGCCATGCTTATGGAATACTGAGTTCTTTTCACTGATGCTCCTTTTCTTCGTTCAAGTGATACTTTTTAAAAAAAGGATTTTAGGTAAATTAATAGGGACTAATTCTGCCTTCAGATGCTCATGCAGGGCTCCTATTATGGCCAACAGTACATGTACCGGGGCATAATTAGGCTTTCAAATTATGCACAGTGTGTACATGTTACTGTCATAATAAAAAAACCTCTGTTTGATATGGAAGTGGTCCCCCCCCCCGCCCCAGTTGAAGAGCAGGAAACCTGTTTTATTTAAACTTCTCCAGTGTTGACCTCTTGCCGTTTTCTGGTGTAAAGAACACTGGAACTATAGAGGAATATTATCACTGATGGATGTACGTGACATTTTAAATTGTATGCTTTACATGTCTGCAGAGATCAGTTGATCCTTAATAGGATAATTTTGAAATCTGAAGCTATGCAACTGTAGCCTCTAATATTCTTTAAAACTTGGCAAAACAATATTAAATTAAACAAACTGTATTGATATAACTTTGACTTGAACCTACAAGTTGATATGTTTTAAAATGGTCTAAATGCCATTCTTGCTGTGATTAAGAAGGTATTACAGCCTGTGGGCTGCAGTTGCTTACTGCTTTGAGGCCCTAGCAGTAGCTACTCCCATTAGGGAAAGGGCTGTCTCTTTTTGGTCTCTGTTTGTACAGTGCCTAGCACAGTAGGTTTCTTGGCTGCAGCTAGGACTCCTAGGCACTACAATAATACACAGAAAACCTGGATTTGTGCTGGAAATGGCCCAACCTGATGATCACTTTAGATAAGCTATTACCAGCAGGACAGTGGGGTGGGAGGAGGTATTGTTTCATATTCTCTGTGTGTATATAAAGTCTGCTGCAGTTTCCACGGTATGCATCCGATGAAGTGAGCTGTAGCTCACGAAAGCTCATGCTCAAATAAATTGGTTAGTCTCTAAGGTGCCACAAGAACTCCTTTTCTTTTTGCGAATACAGACTAACAGGGCTGTTACTCTGAAACAAATAATAGTGCTGATAAGAGACATTGCTTCGGCTTTAAATCTGAATCTCTTTTTGCTTGGGTGAGTATGTTTGAACGATACATGGAGTGTGGAATCCAGTATCCTAAGAACTGGTACTGAGAGACTTCAGTAGGGCTGGTTGGAAAATTTTCCAGCAAAACTGTTTTTTGGTGCAAAATTGTATCTTCAACAAATTATTTTTGCAAAATATATTTGTTTTTCCTCGGAAAATACTATCAAAATAATTTGGCTGAAAAACTTTAGATTTTGTCTGAAAACTCAAATTTGTGTGGAACATTTCAATGAAAATAAGAGTTTTGTTTTTCGTCCGATTTCTGCAGCAAAGAATTTGGATCACTTCTAGCTGTGTGTTAATACACTTACACACGTTAAAAACTAGTTATGAAAGTGGCATTGGATGTTAATGATACTTGCTGTCAGTTGTGGACTGCATCTTTATTTTTGATACTTGTAGTTTAGACAACATTAAAGAGATAATGTTACAAGTTAAAATGATATAGTTATACCAGTATGATCCCTCATGAGGACACTTATTCCAGTGGGAGAATGACTTTTTTCAGTTTAGTTTAAATCCAAGTGATAAGCGAAACTGAAAAAGGCCCTCTGATGCTTGAATAAGAGTGTGCATACAGGATGTTAAACGGGGTGGAGTTATATTGGTATTAATTCACACCTTAAGTTGTACCAGTATATCTTTCCTGTGTAGAAAACGCTTTGTGTTGTGTGATTTGTGTGTGTAGTGAGATTTCTGCACTTTAACCTGAAGGCACAAGGAATTGACTTTATTAACAAGCAGATTTTCTAACTGGTTTTACAGGGCATTTGAACTATAGATAACAAAAATGTCCTATAGTCCTGGTCTACTTGCAGTTTTTGTACCAGTATAACTGTCTGTTAGGGCTGTGGATTTCTTTTTTCCCCCTTCCCCCCCATAAAGTACAACCTCAAGTGTGGACCCAGTTATACTGGTATAAATGTGCTTCTGTTGGTATATAATTGGTATATATTCTTCTTCCCATATTGGAATATGCTCTACGGGTAGATGTATAAATTTATACTGGTGGAACTAGGGTCACACTAGGTGTGAATTTTTTTTTAAACTGATTGAATTATACTGATATGGTTAAAAAGATATGACTCTTGTGTATAGACAAGCCCATAAACATTTGTAAGAAAAAAAATCTACGAGAGAGACTAAACTTGCCATTCGTGGTATTTCTAAGGCTATACGTATGCTACAGACTTCTGCTGGCACAGCTATGTCGGTCAGGGCTGTGAAGAAGTGTGATCCCGAACTGACAGAACTGCTGTTGGCAGAAGCCCCACACGTAGACAGTTACACTAGCAAAACTACGCTTTTACCACAATATATTGTTTTGTTTAGAGGTTGCAGAATAATCTATACGAGTAGCAGCACAGCTTGGCCAGTGTAAACTGTGTGCACACTTTGCTGGTATAGTATATACTGGTGTAGCTATACCAGCAAAGCACTCCTAGTATAGACGTGGCCTGAGTTGAAAAGTTAAGGGAAATATGAGTGGGGGAAATGAGAATCTCGAAGGACAGGATAGTGAAACCAGTAGTTTTGTTAATTTATGCAATGTCTGTATACACCCGCTCCTGGAGTCCATGCAACACTCAAAGGTTTTCACAGGGTGAGGTGTTGCTGTTGCATCTGGATCATGACTTTAGACTGGTGGGACTGAGTTCTGGAGACTTAGCAGCATTGGCTTCCTAGCTTCTGGATTAGGAAGTTGACTTTTCTCTACCTCTGTGGTAAATTAGCTGCAAAATGGCAGTGGGAGACCACAAAGGATAAGAGCTCCAGTTGGTGTGCAGAAGAAGTGCAATTCCCCTGTGGAAGATGGCTGCCCTCCCTTTCTTCTTGTGGCTTTCTTCTTGAACCAGAAGATTTTATTTGGAGTTAAGAGCCATAGTTAGTTCATCCCATCCATTTGAAATACCAAGGAATGTGATTAAAAATAACTTCTGTTTTGAATTTCAATGCCATTGAAGCAGAATGAAGTAAATTACTAAATTGATTGTGTTGTTTTGCCCCACAAGTGAGTTCTCTGGTGTGTGCAGCATAATTACGGAGGTACTTATTTGCACTGTTGGGGCTGTTACACTCTTGATTCCCATCCACACTGGCATTCCACCAGTTGAGAATGGGACAGTGGCAGATGATGTGATGGGAAGCATTGCTTGGAGCAAGCATGATCCAAATGTGACCATCTGTGGTGTGTTACGAGCATTTTTGTCTGTGGAGCTATGGCATGTTACAGAGCATACAAAGAGGACTACATGGTGGTTAGTAGGTCAAACTTCACTGCTTAGCCAATTACTTGGTTTCTGGTTTCCTTGTTAGTTTTTACTCCTTAGGTATTTTGTGGCTGCTGCCATCCCTGGAAAGTTCAAGGATTTTCACATCTGAGGCCATGTCTACACTAGCACTTAGGTCGGCAAAACTTCTGTTGCTCAGGGGTGTGGAACCCCGCCCCCCCCCGAGCGACACAGGTTTTGCTGGCATAAGCGCTTATGTACACAGCGCTGTGTTGGCAGGAGACACTCTGCCGCTGAGGTAGCTACCACCACTCGTTGAGCTGGTTTTATGATGTTGACGGGAGTGCTCTCTCCTGTCAGCATAAAATGGCGAGCGATCTTACAGTGGCACAGCTATATTTTAAGCTTGTAAGTGTAGACGTGGCCTGAATCTGAGGGTTTGGCTACACTTGGGAGTTACAGTGCAATAAAGGGGGCCTGGGCGCCCTAGCTCGCTACCCGTTCGCGCTGGCAAGGCGAGTAGAGCGCTCTGTCTCCATGGCTACAGTGCTGCTGGTCTCCACCTTGGCGAGTGGAATAACGTTCGCTGCGCCCCCTGCTGGAGCGCCGCGGCGCCAGTGTGGACGCCCTGGTCCGTTAGTGCGCTGTGATCAGCCTCCAGAAGTGTACCACGATGCCTGTTGTAGCCACGCTGGTCATCACTTTGAACTCTACTGCCCTGCCCTCAGGTGACCAACCGTTAGACCTGCCCTTTAAATTCTCTGGGAATTTTGAAAATCCCCTTCCTGTTTGCTCAGCCAGGCGTGGAGTGCTCTCAGCGCATCTTTCCAGGTGACCATGCCTCCACGCGCCAGGCAATCCCCAGTATGGAGCAATGGCGAGGTGCTGGACCTCATCAGTGTTTGGGGGGAGGAAGCTGTCCAGTCCCAGTCGCACTCCAGCCATAGGAATTACGATACCTTCGGGCAGATATCAAGGGCCATGCTGGAAAGGGGCCATGATTGGGACACACTGCAGTGCAGGGTTAAAGTGAAGGAGCTGCGAAATACCTACTGCAAAGGCCAAGAGGCAAACAGCCGCTCCAGTGCTGCCCCTGCGACCTGCGGTTTTTACGAAGAGCTGGATGTGATACTTGGGGGCGATCCCACCTCCATGCCGAATATCACCATAGACACCTCAGAGGCCAGTGCAACAAGGCAGGAGGAGGAGCAGCAAAGTGGGAGTGAGGGTGCTGAGGCGGAGGAATGCAGCCAGGAGCTGTTCTCAAGCCAGGAGGAAGGTAGCCAGTTGCGGCGGCCAGTGCTTGGGGAAGGACAAACACCACAGGAGGTTTCCGGTAAGCGGCTTTTATTTTGGGAAGGAAGTTATTTGGTGAGGGCTCTTGGGGCGAGGAGGGTTAGGGCCTCATGCATGCGTAGATGCGGAATAGGGCGTTGAGGTGCTCTCTCACATCGCGGCAATCGGCCTCAGTGATCTCTTCAAAGGTCTCAGCCAGAACTTGGACAATGCGCTTGTGCAGGTTTTTCGGGAGAGCCACTGTGGTCCTTGTCCCAGTCGGGCTAACTTGTCCGTGCCACTGTGCCGTGATGGGGGGGACCATTGCCACACACAGGCAAGCTGCATATGGGCCAGGGTGGAAGCCGCATTGCAGTAGAAGACCCTCCCTTGCTTCCCTGGTCACCCTCAGCAGCGAGATCTCTTCCAGGACGAACTCCTGTGGAAAATATGGGGACAGTGTTCAGTATAGGGGCCCCCTGCCGCTGTTGGCTCTTCTCAAGGCACAGAAACCCAGAGGACAGTACAGCTGTGAAACAATTAGTCACGCTTGAGCCTGTGCTTACTCACCATTTTGGGGCTCCCGTGGGTTATGTGCGCTCGCTTTGGGACAGGCAAATTATGCTATTGTGTAGACTGTGCTTGGCCTTGAATACGGGGGAATCATTGCTCTGTCTGGTGTGAACAATGCCGCCTCTGTTAAGTGTAGCATTTTGCCTTTACAGATGCAACCTTGAGATCTCAGCCGTCCGTGTTATCAACGGCCGAGAGGCTGCAAAGAATCAGGAAGAGGCCACGTAGAAGCGAAGAGGACATGCTGCATGAAGTCATGCAGCATTCAACCTAATGAAAATAAAAAGGTGCAGGAATGGTGGGAGAGTGAAAGGAGGGTCCGCCAGCAGAATGCGGATCGCTGGCACCAAAGCACAGAGTGGCTGATAAGCATCATGGAAAGCCAAGCGGACTCGATCCAGGCACTCGTAGCCATGCAGGCAGAGCGCTACCGTGCCTGCCCCTTCCCCCCCCAACCAGCCCTGAAAACTACAACCCTTACCCACTGCCCTCAATGCCCATCACTATGCAGTGAAGCCATCCTGAAGTGAAGCATGCATTGCACAGCACTCCAGACAGGACATACGCAAATCTGTGATTGTACTGTTCCCTTCCCCACCCCACCCCATCTCACCTCCTTGCCTTTTGTGTTTCCCAAGCAGTTGTGTTGTGTTTCTTTTCAATAAATTGATTTTTTGGCTTTGAAAACATTCTTTATTATTGCATAAAGTAAAAGAAACCGTAGCCCAGGAAAAAAGGCACTGCAAGTCAGCGTATCATATGTAGCAAACACAGATTCCTACCACGCTTCATCAGTGCAGGGCACCACACCAGACGTTACTGTGGGCTTTCAGCCTCAAATTCCTCCCTCAAGGCATCCCTAATCCTTGCAGCTCCATGCTGGGCCCCTCTAATAGCCCTCGTCTCTGGCTGTTCAAATTCAGTCTCTAGGTGTTGAACCTCCAGTTCCATGCCTGAGTGAATCTTTCACCTTTCCCTTCACAAATGTTATGGAGGGTACAGCATGCGGATATAACCGCGGGGATGCTGTTATAGGCTAGGTCCAGCTTCCCATACAGAGAGCACCAGCGACCCTTTAAACGGCCAAAAGCACACTCCATAGTCATTCTGCACCAGCTCAGCTTGTTGTTCAACCACTCCTTGCTGCTGTCAGGGCTCCCTATGTAGGGTTTAATGAGCCACGGCATCAAAGGGTAAGCGGGGTCTCCAAGGATCACAATGGGCATTTCAACTTCCCCTATGGTGATCTTCTGGTCTGGGGAAAGAAGTCCCGGCTTGCAGCTTCCTGAAAAGGCCAGTGTTATGAAAGATAAGTGCGTCATGCACCTTTCCGGGCCACCATGCATTAATGTCAATGAAACGCCCACGGTGATCCACAAGTACCTGGAGAACCATAGAGAAATATCCCTTCCGATTAACGTACTCTGAGGCTACGTGGGCTGGTGCCAGAATTGCAATGTGTGTCCCATCTATCGCCCCTCCGCAGTTAGGGAAACCCATTTGTGCAAAGCCAGCCATAATGTCATGCACGTTACCCGGAGTCGTGGTGGTTCTGAGCAGGATGCAATCAATGGCCCTGCAAACTTGCATTAACAGGATTCCAATGGTCAACTTCCCCACTCCAAACTGGTTAACGACCGATTGGTAGCTGTCTGGAGTTGCCAGATTGCAATAGCCACCTGCTCCTTCACCGTCAGGGCAGCTCTTAATCTCTTGTCCCTCCGCTGCAGGGTGGAGGCGAGCTCAGCACACAGTCCCATGAAAGTGGCTTTTCTCATCGGAAAGTTCTGCAGCCACTGCTCGTCATCCCAGACTTGCATGACGATGTGATCCCACCACTCAGTGCTTGTTTCCTGAGCCCAAAAGTGGCATTTGACGGTGGTGAGCATGTCCTTGAATGCCACAAGCAAACTCGTGTCGTTTGCGTTACTCGAGTCGATATCGTCGGAGTCCTCACTGTCTCTTTGGATCTTAAGGAATAACTCGACTGCCAAACGTGACGCGCTGGCAAGACTTGCCAGCATGTTCCTCAGCAGTTCGGGCTCCATTCCCGCAGACCGAAAGGGAAGACAGCGCACAGTACAAAAACTGTTGACAGATGGTGCCAATTGTGGATGGAATCAAAGGGAATGCTGGGATGCGAAGCGATGCATCACGGGGTGTTGGGACAGGATCCAGAATGCACTGCACTCCCCGCCCCCTTCCCACAAGCCACAGTGCCAGAATGGGAAGAGGTGCTCTGTGGGATAGCTGCCCACAATGCACCGTGCCCAATGCCGCTGCAAGTGCCGCAAATATGGCCATGCCAGTGTGCTTGCAGCTGTCAGTGTGGACAGACTGCAGCACTTTCCCTGCTGCGCTGTATAAAGGCGGGTTTAACTCACAGCACTCTACATCTGCAAGTGTAGCCATGCCCTGAGACTACTGATCCCAGACAGCTTGACTCTTCACAGTTACAGCCTTAAGTTCTGACATTCTAAAAATAAACCCCCTTCCTGACAGTTTAGAGAGCATAGTTTCTTTCATATCTGTGCCTGAGTCAGTAGGTTAACAGATGTTTGCCCTTCCTTATCTCTGTCCCCTTTCATTGTCCTCTCAGATTCCTGTTCAAACCAGTACCTAATTAACATATTACCTGTGGGTGTACAGGTTGCAGGGCATGTGGATTTGCTTCCGCAGTAGTTGTCCTTTACCACATGCTGAAATTGGTTTTTAAAAGTAAGACTTGATGTTATGAAGCCAAATTTAAAACTGGGTATGTATGATAGGAAACCTACGTATCCCCAAATTTGGCTGTGAGAAATACGGATTTAGATTGTGTATAACCTCCATACCACTGAGAGAGAATTCAGAAATGAGGAAAAGTCTGTTAGCTGTGTGTGTGCATATACAGGCGATACGGACTAAATAATATAGATACTATATGTATAAGTGATCGCTATGTCACAAATGCATTCTATCGTGCGTCTTTGATCACTTTGCCTGCAGTCTGCCCTTGGACAACTTCTAAAATTTCAAACGTCCCCCATTTTTTTTATCATTTGCATTTAAATGTTTCCTCTTTTCCTCAAATGTGGAATTTCCTACCCACAAGCCCTTCAAAAATTATCCTGTCTGAGGCCCAGGATGGAAAATTCAGACCTTGGAGGCTCAGTGCTTGCTTTTTGCTCAGGAAAGTCATTTTAATTTAAAAAAAAAAAAAAAAAGTTATGACTCTTAGGGTTATTTTTAGAGGTTTCTCTGTCTCCTTCTGAGCCCTTTATAGTTGAACTCTTGGTAACTATGGCTCTGGGCTTTGCAGGATGGATACAATAAGATATTCAGAACCTCCCATAATTTTCCTAAAACAGACTTTTCTGTAACATGTGGCACATGCAGAAGGGTTTTATTGGCACTCATATGGAATGAGACCTGCAGAACTCACTTGTGGCTTTACCTAAGTAATATGGTATTCCAAACACATGCCAGTAGAATCTTTGTGTCGCACAATCCTGTGTGTGTATGTGTAACACAATGAACAATTTCAATGGCTTTATAGTGGTAGAAAGGCCTCAATGTAGCTGGTATATGGTGTTATCAGTTTTTATCACTAATATCCATTCTTATTGTTTGTTATGTAACTTGCATTCAAACACACACCTCGCACTAATCCCCAAGGGTATTGACTGTAACATTTCTTATTTTCAAGAAGTGAAGGTGACATAAGTGGAAGGGCGGTTTTTTAAAAACCTTTTAGTGGTCTGTGGAAACTCAAGACAACCTATTTTCTTAAGTATAAGAAGCTTTGTTGTCTCTCAAGAAATGTACATTTTGAATATATTAACTGCGCTGGGTGGCAATTAAGGACTCCTGCCTCTCTAACTCCTAATCTACTTTAGAAGGTTGAGTCCTGTAATCTTTGGGGATTGATATGAATGGTGTTCTCCAGATGTCTGTCTGAAACTGCTTCTCTTCTCTCTCTTTTCCCCCTCCCCTTTAATTTCAGGACAAACACCATGATGCTGCTCATGAAATCATTGAGACAATTCGGTAAGTGTTCAATGCAGAACTGGACAGAACCTTTTCTTCCATGTTGGTATTACTGTATGTCTCAAATTAGACATTAGGTGTAGGGGAGGGGAACAAATACAAGGGAAGATAGCAATCTAATTATGCTGTAGCAGAACTAAACCTGGACACTAATCAGAATTACAGCTCTGTAAATTCACGCGATGCAGTAACTTCTCCTCCCCATGCCCCCAATTTAATCTTAGTCTGAAACAAACTGTTCTAGTCTGCGGTTGTTCTAAATGAAATTGTACAACAGTATCAAATTCTATGTTTGTTTGTTTTTTTATAATGAGGATTTTAAAATTTAGTCTTTGGAAGCATAAGGCTCGGAACTTAAACAAACAAACAAGCGAAACACCACCACCGCCATCTACGGTCTCTTCTTAGGTTCTGGCCCGATTTAAGCTTACGCTGTTCACTTTTATTTCTTAAAATAGTCCACTGTGGCTACAACTGGGCAGTGCCATTGGCACTCGGAAGGGTCAGGAGTGCTGCCTGCCTGAGCATAGTGGAGCTGCATCAGTGGGAGGGTGTGGCTGAAATACTACTGGAAAGAAGGCCGAGTGTAAGAGGGTTGAATGTTTTCAGGCACCACTACAGCCACACACAGTTTGTGACACAGCAATAATTCATATGCACTGTGGTTTTGGCAGCCTTGAGAAAAAGTTGCTGAGCAGAAACACTCCCTAATATGACTGGGTTTTTTGTTTATCCACAACAGAGAATCCGATTTTAAAATTGTTTTCAAGCATACTTCCCCTGCGTTTGTGGGTAGAAAATAATGTTATCCATGTTAAGGGACCGTGGTTTAGCCTTGTTCCTTGACGTTTCTTTTTTTAAATCCACAAAGGCCTTGTCTGAAACTTTTTCAGCCATTGCTGACAGCAGTTCAGCGGTAGTAACATTAGTAAGGTTGGGAGCCCTAGCTCTCTGGCTCTTGACATCTGTTTTCAGTAGCACATCAGTTTGACTTGCTCTGAGCAGGTTTAACTGCTACGCTACTGAAAGTGGCTGCTGGAGTAGCAGTCATCTGCACTCGTACTTTCTGTGTGCACACCAGCCAATGGCAAGAAGAGTCATTGCTAGATCGCAGTTGGGCCACAATCATGTTTCACAGCTTTATTATAAAAATGGGGATTTCTGTAGTGCATACAGAGCCTTAACATATGTTTGTAACTATCATTCTTACCCGTGTACCAAATTAACCACAGTGCATACTTGTTGCTTATGCTAGTAAACTGTTCTATGGAGGTGTGAGGTGGGAGGATGTAGAGCTGACCACTGGCTTGAAAAGTTGTGATATGAACAGTTGTTTGCTGCACACTGGCCTAGTTTGCGGGGGAAAAAATTGTAGAGATAAAAAAAAGTGAGGTTTTAAGGAGGTGAGTCTTCATTAGAAGAATAGAAAGAAATGTAGTTCACAGATACTTACCATTATGCCTTTTTGTAAGGTGCTGAATGTCCTAAAGAGCAATGAGAAGAGGAATATTAGTGATTTAAGATTAAGTCATTTGGATACTAAATGCGCATCTCTCACATTGGCTGTTTGGGACATTTTGTACACTTTTAGCCTATTCAAAATAAAATCAGGTCACCTTTCAGCGTAGTAAAGTGAGAAAAGTGATTTTACTGAAATGGCACTTTTAATCAACAGATCTGCTTCCTGTACACATGCAATCATGTCTTATGACTTTGTCTAAAATGTGGTTCTTTTTTGTTGCGTATTTTTGCTACTATCAATTCCACTGCAAAGTCAACACAGAGATGTGGGGAGAGAGCCTGGAATCTTTATCAGTAAATCTATTAACGTAGGGTATGTCTACACATACAGCTGCAGTGCGTGTGGTGAAGACACACTCTGCCGACGGGAGAACTCTCCCATCGTCATAGAAAACCCACCTCCGTGAGCAGTATAAGTTATGTCGGCGGGAAAACCTCGCCCACTGACCTAGTGCTGTGCACACGAAAGCTTATGTCCATCTAACTCATGTCGCTTGAGGGGTGGAATATTCACACCCCGAAGTGACATAAGTTTTGCTGACACAGGCTGTAGTGTAGACATAGCCTAAGTGTCAGTTGCATACTCTTTTAGCCAGGATGATCCACGAGCCAGAAAGAACTCAGCTTGACTGTCAGATCCGTGGTTGTCATGATGGCAGTTTCAGAAACTTTCTTTCTAGTAAGCTGACCAAATTGGATACCAAAGTGGAAATGATAAACATGGAACCCCACAAAATCATTGTTGGAGTCCTTATAGGGCCACAAAGCATAGAGGTGATGCTCTTTTGAAAAAAACAAAACAAATGCTATATAGTATTCGAGGAATCAATCTGTCCATAATATCAAGACCTAAGGGAAAGAAAATGTGGTTCCCAATGGTATTCTGTAGAGCACTCTGTATTTTGGGTGATACTTCAGATCACTGTTTCTCAGCTTGATGATTAGAAAGGAAAGGGTGTGAAACCCTTTTTCCTGATGTGACTTCCCCGGCCCTTTACAAAGACTTTGTCGCTCCAGTGACTTGCCATCCAGATTGTGGCCCTCATTGTTAGTTTTTAAGTTGTCTTTGAAAATAATTAACTTTTTCACATTTGAAATGAAATGCAGAACTCTGTATTTCTTTTGCCAGATTTAGCTTGTCAGATATCCTGGCAGTGGTCGTCAGTTTTCCATTTCTAATAGGAGCAGAATACAGGGCTGTATTAATCCTGAAAAAACCACATGCCTTTAAGAAAACAAACAACAAAAACATCAAAACCACTATCAAGTCTATTTCAAGCTGGGCCACTTAAGTGGAAATACAGTATACTGCACTGGTAGAGGGAGAAAGCGCCCTCTCACATCAACTCTTTGAAGGTTTCATTTGTGCTGAGGACTGCTGTGCATTTTCAGACATCAGGTTGCAGAAGATGACTTGCATCTACGTGTGGCAAGATAGACAAGTAGCTTTGTCTAAGGAAGTGGTTGTTCATAACTTATTAAAAAAATAAATGCATTTCAGAATGATTGTTTCTGTGCTTCACATTTCCCATTAGATTAGCATTAGCTGTGGCTTTTATTTTTACATCAACTAAGTATATTTGTCTCTTCATTGTGAAGTCAAAATGGAGTTCATGCCTATTCAAGAGCTTTATAGTTCTGCCAGTGGTAATGGGTACTTAACTTCATATTCACTCTTGTGTTGAATAAGAACTCTTCCAGCCCCATAATTAGCATTTTGTGATGTCTACTTCACTTCTCACAATATTGCAGTCTTTCATGCTTTCTGTAACACTGTTTTTAATTTATAGGAACGTCTGTCTAGAATCCAGGCGGATTGCTGCTTCAGTAAAAATAAAAACTGCCTCGTTAAACACTAATGTAAAAGATTTGGGGGTCTATTGTATTCTGATTCTTGTCTCATTGCAGGTGGGTCTGTGAAGAAATCCCAGATCTCAAGCTTGCTATGGAAAATTATGTTTTAATTGACTATGATACAAAAAGGTGAGAGGAACTCCCCCTTCCCCAGAAGGGCAGGCCTAAATGGCTTGTTGTGAATTGGTCTAAGAATAACTAATTATAGACACTGCAAACTGAGCTGAAGTTTTCTTTTAGAACTGGCTTCAGACTCTACAAAGTTATTTTGGTAGGAAATGTGTAACAGGAGTATTGGCAACGGCTGCTGGATTTAAGGACATAATTGGAAACTTCACATAGCAGAAAGCTGAGCTGGTGTACGTTGGAATTACTCACCCTGAAACAATGATCTGTATCTGTGCTGTTGGGCTAAAGCCAGCATTTGGAATCTGAATGGCATTGAAGTTTCTGCTTTTGTAGTAACTAAGAATTCGTGTTGGAAAACACTATGCCAGAGCTGCCCGTGGCACCACTGATTTTTCTCTCCATGTTTGTGGAAGGTTAACTTTCCCCACTCCTCTCCTATTCAGAATCAAATACAAGTGGCAACACTAGTTTCAACTCAAACTGTTCCTACAGCCTTTGTCTCTGGAGAAGCAGGAACAGTGCCTGATTCACAGAACTATGTGAAAACACCTACTACATGGACTGGCATGACAGGGTTGTGTTGCAGTCTGCTCTGTGGGTAGAGATTGGGAGGGACAGAATCTGACCCTATGGAATTCTTTTGTTTGTAATAAGTTCGTTTGGACACAGTTGAGAGAGTCTATATTTTTGGCTCAATTTGACTGTACTAACTGAAAATGGAAATAGAGATGACACTTGCCTGCAGACAAGTTGTGATTTATGAAAATCCATGCAATTTCTTTTATGGAAAAGATCTAAGTACACCGGTGTCCACAAAGTGATCATGTCTCCTGAGTGGGATTGAGACAGGTGAAACTGAATCAGGTCCTAATTCAGCGTTAACTCTTTGAGCACCTGGATGGCTTTTGCAATGTAAAAGGACCACTCTTTGGTGCTATATTATTCCTTTTATTTTATATGGTCTCATCGTACTAGCCCCTCCAGCCTCCCAGGGAATTAAATAGGAGTAGTGAGTGCTCAGTACCTCTTAATGTCAGGTCTATGGTTTATATGCTGATATTGTAATACAGTAATTGTGTAGCACTGGTGGGGTATGTATAGGTGTGCAGCCTCACTTTGTCAGCAATGATACTGAATAAGAGAAGAAACCATCTGTCCTCAACCACACCTGACTTATTTCTCAGAAGCTGTTCAAAGAAGCCATAAACCTGTCATCCTGTTTAATCAGTTCATTTTCCTTGTGGGGGGGGAGAATTATTTGAAAAGTTAATCCTAGAAGATTGGCTGCAGTGCTGCAAATGCAGAGACTAGGAATGAAAACCAGTGCATTATGGAAATGCAAATAGACACTCGTAAAAATATTTTTCAGTCTTGCCTGTTTTTATTAACATGGAATTAAAACCTGTTAATTGGCAGCCCAAAGCGAGTGCAAAGCAGCCGTGTTCTCAGATAAGGAGTCAGAGGCCACGTCTACACTACCCGCTGGATCGGGGGGGGGGGGTAGTGATCGATCTATCGGGGATCGGTTTATTGTGTCTAGTGTAGACGTGATAAATCGATCGCCGATCGCTCTGCCGTCGACTCCGGAACTCCACCATGGCGAGAGGCGGAAGCGGAGTCGATGGGGGAGCAGTGGCCATTGATCTCGCGCCGCAAGGATGCGAAGTAAGTGATTCTAAGTCGATCTATCTAAGATACGTTGACTTCAGCTATGCTATTCTCGTAGCTGAAGTTGGGTATCCAGGCCTTAGCTAGTTGTGGCAGTGAAGTCAAGTTTATGAGAAGTTAACTTCCTTCCCTTCTCCTCTGTCTTTCCTCCTCCCTTCCTGTCTTGGGGTAGATGTGGGATATGCCCAATTACTCTGTGGACTGGCTTTTCTGCTGCTGCTTTCTGGAATCTAGTTATGTAATGACGGTGGGCCTGGCAGGTATCCTTACCTCCTTGACCCAAAATAATTCTGTAATCCTCTCAGCCTCTGCAATTAAGGTGCCTGGCTAAACTGTGAACCCAACTAACCCACAGAACAAGCAGTATGCTTTCCTTGTAAAGCAGGTGTCTGGCGGATGAAGTTTGTACTTTGAAGAAGTTGTATTACATGGCACACTGCATGTTAGAACAGAATAGAACTGAGCTCTGGATAAGTGTCTGACTGTCTTCATAGCTGGATATAGTGGACACCGGAAGGAACAAAGCAGACTACTTTACAAGTCATCCACTGAATGCGTCCGATGAAGTGAGCTGTAGCTCACTAAAGCTTATGCTCAAATAAATTTGTTAGTCTCTAAGGTGCCACAAGTCCTCCTTTTCTTTTTACGAGTGTAGTGCTTAAAACATTTTTTTGCATGTAGGGAAGTGGGAGGAAGCTAAGAGGGCCCATGGGAATTTCCAGCTTGAATTCCTGATAGGTCAGAAAGGAAAAACGTAAGATAGCACCGAGTTATCGCCATAACTTAATTTTCCCCATTCATTACAATAAGTCTTTGGAAGCTGAACGTTAAAATCATAGAATCATAGAATATCAGGGTTGGAAGGGACCTCAGGAGGTCATCTAGTCCAACCCCCTGCTCAAAGCAGGACCAATCCCCAACTAAATCATCCCAGCCAGTGCTTTGTCAAGCCTGACCTTAAAAACTTCCAAGGAAGGAGAGTCCACCACCTCCCTAGGTAGAAATCAGTTTCTTTAAAAGAACTCTTTTTTTTTTCCATCACATGGATACCAGGTATAGAATGTCTAATGAATCGTTGGGCCGCTAAAGTCTCTTATTTAAGGAAAATTTATAAAAGTGTAAAATTGCATAAAGAATTAATGATTGTTGCAAAAAAAAAAAAAATTACAGCTACAGTATGTACACTTCAAAAAATGTAGGTCAAATGTTGTGCCTACCAACCTTGGCAGTGTTGCTTTAATGTGCATAGCTGAGCATTTCAAGACCCTCTTTACTGTTAACTGACTAGCAAACTTCGCTTTTTCTCCTTTCCCAGCTTTGAAAGCATGCAGAGGCTTTGTGACAAATACAACCGTGCCATTGATAGCATTCATCAGTTGGTATGTATTTACCTTTATTATGCTGTGGTGCCTATCTAGTTGGCTTTATTCAGGCTAGTGGTTTCAAATTCATGTACTGAAAATGACAACTAAGAAGAGCTGACTTTCTTAGCACTCAGTTGTGTGTTTGCTTAAACAGCACCATTACAGCTTTTCCATTCATTCGGGAGTTAATAAGTCGTCTATTAAACCTTGCTTTCTCGGCCAAAACTTGGCACTTGAGGATTTGAATTTATATCTTTTATATAAGAATGGCTTAATTTTTCTAAAATACAGGTTTGCAGGCTCTTAGTCCCTAATGTGCAGCTGGCACTCTTGCTTCGACATTTGAAATAGTTGAGTTACCTTTGAAAAAGGGTTCCTTTGCATGCACCATACCTAGCTTTTTTCATCAGAAATTTCACGAGGATTTAATGTATATACGTTTACTTGTGCGTGTGGGGATTGAGACTTAAAGATTCCTTAAATAGTCCAGATTAACTTGTGTATCATGGCGATGATCCATAGATTAAGAATTCCCTTACTGTTCAGTAAAGCTATATTTTAGAACTGTTCTGTTCCAAAGGATCAATCACTATTAAGGAAGAACTGGAATGAAATCTATTTTAATAGATTTCTAATAATAGGCAACTTCTTTGGTTTTCTTACCCCAAGTTTAAGGCTGGTAATGAAACACAGTAAGTGTAATCTAATAATAAGAATTTTACTTAATTTATGGAATTTAGATGCCCGTTCTGTCAGTAGTATCTGTCGTTGTACTTAACACTCATCCAATTTAATACTACATCTTATTCTACAAAAATCACAATCTCGGGGCCTTATGAAGCACTTTGACCTATCAAACACATGTTGGGGACTGTTATCTTCTTTTGTGGGAGCATTCAAAATAGACCTCAGAAAGATATGGCCAGTAGGTTAGAACTTCTCCCAGACTTTGCACCACTTTGGCACCTACAAATCTCCATATCATTTGCCTGATTCATAGATGCTGGCCACTTTAATCTTGTCTTTGTTAATAGCTTAAAAGTTGGAATTCTTCAGTACTCACATTTCATTTACAAAAAGAAAAGGAGGACTTGTGGCACCTTAGAGACTAACCAATTTATTTGAGCATAAGCTTTCATGAGCTACAGCTCACTTCATCACGAAAGCTTATGCTCAAATCAATTGGTTAGTCTCTAAGGTGCCACAAGTACTCCTTTTCTTTTTGTGAATACAGACTAACACGGCTGTTACTCTGAAACTTTTCATTTACAGTCACGCACTGAAGTGAGAATTTAGTCAGTTTCACTCTGTCCTGCCAGTGCCCTGCTGAATGTAGGAGCCCAGGCTAGCTGACATAAGGAGCAGAAGTGGTAATTGGCCTCTGAGGTAGCAGCACTGAGCCCTCAAACAGAGGATCAGATAGGAAAGAGGTGACTATCAGGAAAAGGAGATGGAAAAGATGCCCAGGGAAAAAAGCTTACAGACGTTTAAAATCCAAAGTGGGGAAGACAAGAGGAAGTTCAGAAACATCAATAGCTTCTATTTAGGAGTGAGATTATTGGCTAGCAGAAGCTTAAATTTTCTCTCCCACTCCCTCTGAGCGTGATTCCTCCCATGCTACACTTCATGGCAAGAAAATAAACCCGTCTTTATGTTGATGGCGCAATGAAATGCAGTAGTTACATCTAGTATGTAGGCAGATCTTAGATGTGTTTTCCCTCGTGTATCTAGTATGCAGTCTTCGAAAATACCTATTGGGTGAGGTGACACAGACAGTAAAGCAAACCAGCCTCCCCAAGCGGCATTGCTGCAGAAGTCTTTTAGCACGTCTTGCTGCTGCTTTTGGAAGGACACTGGATCAGTTTTACCCATGCAAGAGACGGGGTGGAGGAACGTGGATTATCTTTGTGTCAGTTGCCCTTCCACCCGCAAACGTAGGTATGTCATGATGTATTTTTCTTGTTTACATTCCCTTTCTGCTCCTCACTCTTAGTGGAAAGGAACTACCCAGCCCATGAAACTGAACACTCGTCCCTCCAATGGGCTCCTCCGTCACATCTTGCAGCAAGTATATAACCACTCGGTGACAGACCCAGAGAAACTCAACAACTATGAGCCCTTTTCCCCAGAGGTGTATGGAGAGACTTCCTTTGATCTAGTGGCCCAAATGATTGATGAGATTAAAATGACTGAGGATGACTTGTTTGTTGACTTGGGCAGTGGTAAGTGACAAACTGCTTCGTTTTCCCTTTTCTATCTCTGCCCAGGCTTTTTCCTCCGCTGAATAAAAAAATGTCAGTCACTTTACATTTAGAAAGTAACCCATCCCCACAGACTGTCTATCTGGCTGTGCACTCCTGACAGATAAATGCTTTCCTTCCTGTATTGCCAGTGGGATGTGGCACCAAATGTCACCCACCCACGTGAAGGAAGGATTGATACTTCAGGAAACTTAATTTAAGAATACTTCATTTTTGTCACCAGAGATAAATGTAGTCATTTTAAAGTATGGTTGGCATCTGAAATGATTGTGTAAAAGTGCCATTAACAGAGTCCATATTTTATACTTTCTGGCTTCTAGATCCAGTTTAAGTTCATGCATCACACTTTTTTCCCCCCTGAGTGTCAAAACTGCAAACTCCACCTGCTACCTGAAAATAAAGTGGGTTCTTTCTCTGTCTGACACAATCACCAGCAATAAAGATTTTCTGTTTATTGTGAGGCGGTATAGAATCCAGCTCACTCTTCCATAGCTGCATCTGTGCTACAGTTAGCAGTTTTAACAAAAGTAAAAACCTTTTTGTCAGTTAAGTAACCAGATGTGACTCAAACACAGATGTGGAGCAGATATGATGAGTAAGATGATCTTGTTTTATTTGCTCAAATCTGATTACCAGCAGGAAAGGAGTAATAAGAATTCCCCCTTTTTAATGTAGAATTGTAGGTTGAAATAAATGAAGTGTATATCCTCTTGCTTTCTCAACAGTCATCCTTTATCCTACCAAAGGAAACGGGAACCTGCCCACTGAAAATACAGCAGAATTACTAACCTTACTTCCATTTTATATCTACTAAATGGAATTCCAAGTTAAGGGTATTAAAGCAAGCCACTCACAGGGGACAGAATTTATCCCTCCCCTCCTTCCCCCCGCTCTGGTAACTATATTTTATGTGTCCAGTTAAGTAGAATATGAGACGCATCTAAAATGCTGTTTAGTCAGGCATGGTGCTTTGCTGTACAGAAATAACTGCTTTACCACAGTTGTGTGAAAGTGTTTGTTCAGTAAGGTCACAATAAGAGATCATATCTGGAAGTCACACAATCTTGCTGTTTGCCTAACAAGATGGAGGAGTGTGTCATCTGACTAATGCTTCTGTAGTGAAATGTTTTGTTTTCCTTGGCCTCTAACACCACCAAAAACAAAACCAGATATTTATCACCATAGAATCCCAAACCTTAATATTGGACTAAGACCAAGCATATGAAAAATAAGAACCTTTATTAGTATCTGAAAAGAATGGTTTAGCATGCAGTAGCCTCAACCGTAATTCTGTGATCACTTTTCTGTGCACTGGTTTTCAGTTGATGGATACACTGGAAAAAAATGGTTACTCACCTTCTCATAACTGTTGTTCCTTGAGATGTGTTGTTGAGGTCCATTCCAATCAGGTGCGTGCACACTGCTTGCACAGTCGTTGCAGAGTTTTCCCTTGGCAGCTCCTGTCGGGTCGGCTGTGGAGCTGCCTGTAGTGGCACCTTCATGGCACTCAACAAATAAGCCCGCTGACCCGACTCCCCTTCAGTTCCTTCTTGCTGGCTACTCCGACAGAGGGGAAGGAGGATGTTTATTGGAATGGACGTGAACAACACATCTCGAAGAACGATAGTTACGAGAAGGTAAATAACAGTTTTTCTTCGAGGGCTTGTTCACGTTGATTCCAATCAGGTGACACGGAGGTGTGGTCGGAGTTAAGGAATTGCTGACTGGAGTACTGCTCTGCCGAATGCTGCAAAATGTTTGGAATGCTGGGTGATAGCATAGTGAGTGGTTAAACGTATGCACCGATGACCAGGTTGTCGCTCTGAAGATCTCCTGAATGGGAATCTGGGCCAGGAAAGTTGCTGATGAGGCCTGTGCCCTTGTGGAACATACTGTAATAGATGGGGCTAGGACGTTAGTCAGCCCGTAGCATGTGTGGATGCAGTCTGTGATCCAGGAAGAAATGCATTGGGAAGAGACTGGGAGCCCTTTCATCCAGTCTGCCACCGCCATGAACAGCTGATTAGATTACCTGAAAGATTTAATATGCTTGATGTAGAATGCTAGTGCACGCCAGACATCCAGTGAGTGAAGCCTCTGCTCCTGTGCACTGGTATGAGGCTTGGGATAGAAGACTGGTAGAAAAATGTCTTGGCTAATATGAAGCTGGGACACCACCTTGGGCAGGAAGGCTGGATGAGGCCTGAATTGCACCTTGGCCTTGTGAAAGACCATGTACGGTGGGTCGGAGGTTAGTGCTTTTAACTCGGACACCCTCCTAGCCGATGTGATGGCGACTAGGAATACCACCTTCCACGACAAATACAGAAGGGAGTGAGTCGCCAGTGGTTCGAAAGGGGGCCCCATTAGTCTGGAGAGGACCAGATTGAAGTCCCATGCAGGCACAGGTCATCGAGTCTGTGGATATAATTTTTCCAGGCCCTTGAGGAAACGCCCTACCCTAGGGTTGGTCAACATGGAACGCCCCAATTCTCCCTGGTGGAAGGCTGAAATAGCAGCAAGGTTATAACCTGATGGATGGCCCTTTTCAGGTGCAGGAGGTAATCCAGGATGAGTGATATAGGAGCCTGAAGTGGAGGTGTATGATGCTGGGCATGCCAGCAAGTGAACCTCTTCCACTTAGCCGGAGAAGTGACCCTGGTGGATGGTTTCCTGCTGTTGAGCAGAACCTGCCTGACCAGTTCCGAGCACAGGAGCTCCATTGGGTTTAACCATGAAGCTTCCATGCTGTGAGATGGAGGAACTGGAGGTCTGGGTGAAGGTGGCTGTGGTCCTGGGTGTTGAGATCTGAGAAAAGCAGTAGCAGGACCGCCGTGTCCACAGACGGCTCCAGAAGCGTATGGAGTGTACCACTGTTGGCGTGGCCATCCTGGGACCAACAGAATTATTTCTGTCTTGTCTCTGCGGATCTTGAGCAGCAGCTTGTGTATGAGTCCGACCGGTGGAAAGGCATATACGAGGAGGTCCCCCCAGGGTAGCATGAAAGCGTCGGAGATTGAACCCGGGCTATTTCCAGAAGAAGCAGAACGTTGGGCACTTTGTATTGCTCCTGGTGGCAAACAGATCTACCGGGGGAAACCCCCACCTATGGAAGATGGAATGTACGACATCTGGATGGATGGACCACTTGTTGTGGAACGACCTGCTGAGGTGATCTGCTAGTTCGTTCTGCACTCCTAGGAGATATGATGCCTCCAGGTGAATGGAGTGGGCTGTGCGCAACTCCCATAGCTGGAGGGCTTCCTGACATAGGGGGGAGGAACAGGCTCCACCCTGTTTGTTGATGTAAAACATGGCAGTGGTGGTGCTGGTAATCACTGCCACACACTGGCCTTGTAGTTGGGACAGGAAGGTCTGGCAGGCTTGTTGCACCACTCTGAGCTCCTTGATATTGATACTGAATGAGAGCTCGTGCTGCGACCATAGGCCTTGCTTTCGGAGATCTCCCAGATGAGCCCCCCAACCCAGAGCTGATGCGTCCGTTCTTAGGGCCAGAGAGGGTTGTGGGCTGTTGAAGGGGACTTCCTCGCACACCAACTGAGGGTCAGTTATGGCTTGGAATCACATCTCTGGCCGGATCGCCCTTGCCTGTACCGAGTCCAGCACCTCCCCCAATGAATTCTATTCTTTGGGTCGGTGGTAAGCTCGACTTGTTCACGTTGAGGAGGAGTCCCAGTCTCTCAAAAGTGAATCTGGTTAATCGGACTTGAGATTCTACCTGCTCCCTGGAGCGCCCCCGTATTAGCCAGTTGTCGAGGTAGGGATATACCTCCACCTGCCTTCTGGGGAGGAAGGCTGCTATTACTGACATACACTTTGTGAACACTCAGGGCGTTGTTGATAGATCAAATGGGAAGACAGTGAACTGATGATGTTTGTGGTTGATCACAAACCGTAGAAACTGTCTGTGCTCAGGCCAAATGGCTATGTGAAAGTACACGTCTTTCGTGTAGAAGGTGGCGTACCAGCCCCTGGATCCAGGGGCGGGATGATCGTGCTCAGGGAGACCATGCGGAACTTCAACTTCGCCATGAAGTTTGAGTTGAGTCCTGGTTGAGTCCAGGACTTGCAGGTCTAAAATAGATATGCGATCCTCCTTTGCCTTGGGGATTAGGAAATAACGAGAGTACAATCCTTTGCCCCTTAGCTCCTGAGGAACCTCCTCCACTGCCCCTATGGTGAGGAGTTATTGCACCTCATGGATAAGGAGTTGTTCATGAGAGGGGTCCTGATGGTCCTGAAGGGTTTGCTGCACTTTGAGGGGCGGCCCAGATGTCTGCAGCCCTGAACCCCTTCTCATGGCTAACCCCGATGAGAGGGTGCGGGTAGCAGAGTCTGCCGCATCAAGGGAGGCTTGAAGAGAGGTTCATGCCACCGCCTTCCCTTCGTCAATGATGGCCATGAATTCAGCCCTGGAGTCTGATGGAATTTGCTCCTTGAACTTCAACATGGAGTCCCACGAGTTGAAGTTGTGTCTGCTTGTTGGTTTGCTATAATTTGCTGCAGGCCCCCCATTGAGTAGACCTTTCTACCGAAAAGGTCTAATCTTTTAGACTCCTTGGATTTGGGAGTTGGTCCTTGCTGGCCCTGCCTCTCCTTTTTGATGACGGCTGTCACTACTAGGGTGAAAGGCTGCAGGTGCGAGAACAAGTATTTGAATGGGACAAAGTACTTGCACTCAACACCCCCCGCCGTAGGCGGGGTTGTTGCTGGGGTCTGCTGCAGCATTTTGATATTGCTCTGTATAGTTTTAATTAGGGGCAGAGCTACCCTGGAGGGACCCTTGGGCACTGAGTGCTCCTTCGCAGGATGCATTGCGGTTGCACCTGGTCCTGGCTTTGGCACCGGGGAACAACCCCGTCTGTCGTCTTGTGCCACTTGTGTGGCACCGGTGAGTGTGAGCCATGCCTGGTTGTCTGTACTGAGGAGTGCCGGTGCTGAGGGTCTTTTGAATCAGAGTCTGTCTTTGGTACCGTGTCATGCACCGAGGCCGGGGCGCTCTGCACTGATGTGCTCGGTGGATGGAGAGCGGACTCCATCAGAAGTTGTTTCAGATGGAAATCCCTCTTTCTTTTCGTCATAGGGTGGAAAGATTTTGCACCTGTCTGTTTGGTGCTCTTCCCCCAGACACTTCAGGCACGCATCCTGGGGGTCGCCCGTAGGCATGGGCTTACCGCAGGTCCCACAAAGTTTAAACCCTTGGGCCCGAGGCATGCCCTGCAGCTGACGGGAGGTAAGGGATAGGGGATGTCCCTGCAGCCTAACCCAAATTATATACACTAAACTAAACTGCTAATTGAATCCTAGACTAAAACTGCAGGCCAAAGAAGAAAACTAAGGGAATCACTTGGAAGGCAAGTGAACGCCGTTCCAATGGACATCATGGACGGTAAGAAGGAACTGAAGTGGGGGCCATTTCGGCAGGGTTATATATTGAGTGCCATGGAGGCGCCACTCCAGGGGGCTCCGCAGCTGACCAGGTGGGAGCTGCTAAGGGAAAACTTTCTGACGACCGTGCACACAGCGTGCGCACACGTGATTGGAATTGACGTGTACCAGCACTCGAAGAAGAATAAAGGATCCTGATTTCTCCTCCCCACATAACTCTTGTTAACACCAATGAAAGTTTGCACATAGATGGCAGAGTTGAGACTGAATTTCCATAGCATTCTAGTCAATGCAATATAGTGTACAGTGTAGATTAGAATACCATTGTAGCAATAGCACAATATCCAACATTTACTTTAGTGCCTTTCCTACACCTCTATGTATAGGAATCATTCATCTGCCACAGGGTGTAACAACCGCTGGTCAAATGTTGCAGCCATTTTTTATCAGTAACTCTGTCGAGCCATTTAAGACTAGAAGCCAACAATATTATGTCTGGTTGAAATGGAATTTTAGGAAGGCAGAACACAGTTGTTCAAATTGGAATTAGGACAACTGTTGCAAAAAAGTGGTATCTTTAACCACAAGTGGTCTCTGATGAGAGAAGGGCAGTAATGACTTCTGATATTTTATTTGGCCCATGTAAATGCATATAGTTTTTACTGCTTCCCTCATCCTCCCCCATTCCGTTTGTTACTCAATAGTTGCATCTTCTTATTCATATTGTAAACTGTTCTTTTACTCTGTTTATACGGCACATAGCAAAATGGGGCCCAGAACCTGTATGGGGCTTCTAGGTGGTACCATAATACAATTTTTTATTATACAGGACTGTCAGTAGGTGGTTCCCCATTATACCAAAGTGGGTATTGTATCAATAATGATTTAATGGCAAGAGCCCCACCTCCTCAATGACTGGTGCTACTTCCTGCAGGCAGTCAATGAAATGGAAAACAACAATGTGTGTTCTGTGCAAATGTGCTATCTGCTTGGCTTGAATGTTTCTCTTTCCCTTGTGATCATCTATGATTCTGTGAGAAATGCATTAGTGAGACAATGCATTTTACATTAGTCCAGTACAAACAGCGATAAACGTCGTATTAGAATGAATATAGAAATGGTTTGATCGGGAGTTGTAATCAATTGCGGTAAGAAATAAATCTAGAATGATTGCAACAGCTTATAAAGATTTACCGTGTACTTGGCAAAATCTGGGTCCGGTGTGCAAGCAGAGGTTCAGCTGTGATTTTTTTTCTTTCCCCCACAAGCCAAAGAGATGTAATGAGTGCAGACAAGGTGTGGGAATGGCAGCTAATTACTGCTGGAGCAGTCTCTGATGCAAACACAATTGAGACTGAGTGATGGGAAGTTCATACATTTTTAAGTAATGTTTTGTCTTGCAGTTTAGCAAATTGCGTCTGAAATTACTTTGATGCGTATTGATCATTATCTTTTTTTTATTGTACTAGAAAATAATACTCCTGTCTTGTGTATTAGCATTTTTTTCCCAATGTGCTGAGACTTTTGTATTAGTTTTCCATCTCAATGAAAATCAGATATAAATGTTTTGTTACAGCTCTCTCCATTACACTGAGAGATTTGAACTGCAAAATTTATCTAGCTGCTGTTTGGTTTTCTTGCAAAAACAAAAAACATCAATATTTACTTCCTGTAGGACATAAGTCTTTTTAGTGGAAAATAGGCTCCGGTATTGAGGTGTAACTGTTGTGAAGTTGGAGCTATTTGTTGTAATGTAAATTGTCATATGTTTATCAATCAATGTGCTATATTATTTGTATTATGGGAATGCCTATTGTGCTAGGTACTGTACATTCTTATAGAAAGAGACAGTCACTTCCCTGAAGAGCTTAGTCTGAATAGACGATACAAAAGGTGAGAGGGAGAGATACATTATCCATACTTTTCGGATGGGGAATTGACACATGTTGTGAAATCCTTGCATACATCTTGGTCTTTGTTTTAGAAGCAGTCTCCTGTGTATGGGGGGCTTTTTTACTATAACTGTCTCTTTCTCTACCTGCAGGTGTGGGTCAGGTAGTGCTTCAAGTCGCTGCTGCCACAAACTGCAAACATCACTATGGTGTGGAGAAAGCTGATATTCCGGCCAAATATGCTGAGGTGAGTTCTGTCTCAAGGAGTATGAGATGGTAAGTGTTTGATTCCAGGGTTGGCTCAATATCTTATGTCTTTCAGGTAACTGCTATGTATTACAAAGCGGGAATCCTGAGTTTGAATCCTAGACACTCTGGCTCCTTAAGTCAGTAAGGGCTGGAAGCACAGCAGTGATGCAAATGATATGGGGAGGGGTGGGATGTGCTTCTTGTTGCTCAGTGGCAGTGCTCACTGAGTGATCAGAAATATCATTAACTGGTCTCTGAAGAGAGCTTAGTTCAGGCCTGAGAAAAAACCAGGCGGAGTGAGGCTGCGTAGTGATGGGAAGCTTATACAAAGGGAACAAAAATCAAAAGGGAAGATGCAGGTTTAACCTAGACACCGTACTGTCTAAGCTGTGGATTTCAGGACCCACTCGGGTCTGGAATGGGACTTTGAAAGGGCGTGTCACAGAGGCTAGTGCTGTGTAGGGTTGAAAGCCTCTAGGAAGGAGTTGAGCAAGATCAGAGTAGTGGGAGACAGAATGGCTGAAACTCATAATTTTTTTTAAAAAAGCTGCAATCTGGATCATGCTAAGAATGTTCTTTAGCAGCCCTAACTCTTAAACGATTGAGTTTAGATATTAAATATGTTAATATAGCTGGAGCTGCAGAGTAACTGAGACCTATCGATTGCCCTGGAGCATTCAGTTAATAGCAGTGCTCAGTATGCACCCAATTGAAGTACTTAGGATGATGTCTCATAATAAGGCTATTATACTTAGGCAAGTAGTTTTCTTTACACTTCCATTAATTCTATGTCAATAGGGACTTGCAAAGTTAATCAACTCCAAGGGAAACATGGAACCCAAATGAGTTGCAAGCAAACAATAAAAGTTGGTCAAGCCTTGCAGTAAGAATTTTGTACTTCCTCCAGTAGGTTGCATAGAGCTTCACACCTTTAACTCCTTGTTCAAACTAATGGACTTTGGTCTGTTTCAAATACCAACTTTAGCTTCTTAAATAATGTGTACATAAGCTTTAGAGCTTCCTTTTCAAATATATATGTAAAAAGGGTCTGATGCTATCATGAGTGCCATAGAAGGGCCTAGGAAATAATTTGTCCTTACTCTTCATGGTAATCCCTTGGAAATATTGAGCTGGAACACTTTTACCAAATCTTTCTCTGTCACCTCCTTGCATGAGTATTCTGACTTATTTTAGAGCAGCTCACAAAGGCTAGGTTCCTGGCTCTTTATTTAGTAGTAATCACTGGTTAAAAACCACTTATTTGTGAGAGAAAATACATATAGGGCCAGAGTTTTATTTATACAAAGGCACTTTTACGCCACTCCAGAAGTACCTACGTTAAGGACCGTTTACACAGAGCAGTGTGAAGGGGCCATAGTGTAAATGATCAGCAGGCAGTAAAGAATTACATGAACTTTGCCAGTGTATGCAGAGAATATAAATTGTTAGGGAGTACTAATCCTGATGGTGTCCCTTTTTAATAACACTGTGTCAAGTACAGTAACTCCTCACTTAAAGTCGTCCCGGTTAACATTGTTTCGTTGTTACCTGGCTGATCCGTTCGGGAACATGCTCGTTTAAAGTTGTGTAATACTCCCTTATAACATTGTTTGGCAGCCACCTGCTTTGTCCACTGCTTGCAGGAAGAGCAGCCCCTTGCAGCGAGCTGGTGGGGGCTTGGAACCAGGGTGGACCAGCAGCCCCCACATCAGCTCCCCTAAGTTCCCTGTGCGGCAGCCCTGCAGCAGGCTACCAATTGTCAGCAGTTCAGCTGTCCCTCTCCCCACTGCCATGTGCTGCTCCTGCCCTCTGCCTGGGAGCTGCTCCTGGGAGCCTCTTGCTTGCTGTGCAGGGGAGGGGGGCTAAAGTCACGGTGTCCCCCTTACCACTTCTCCATATAGAGCGGGGTGGGGACAGGTCAGGGCTCAGGATGGAGAGGCTTTGCTGGTCACAGCTGCTGTCTCCACTTCCTGATTTTTTTTTTTAAAGGCATTGTACTTAGAGTGGGGTCAGCATATTTAAAGGGGCAATGCGCCTCTTCTCCCCCCCCCCCCCCCCACCACACAGGGTGTGTGTCTCTGCCATGCTGGCTCCTCTTCCTCCATTCCTGCTGCCTTGTAGAGTGTGAGGCTACATTAACAACAACGTGTTAACCCGTGAGGGATCAGCCGAATGCCAGTTCATCATTTAGCAGTAAGGCATCCCCTAAGAAATATCCCATCCTCTTCCACCCTTTACCTCACCACCTCAACCAAGCTTCACAATCATTCTTGTGTACAGTATTAAATTGTTTGTTTAAAACTTATACTGTGTGTGTGTATATATAGTTTTTTGTCCGGTGAAAAAAATTTCCCTGGAACCTAACACCCCCTTTCCCCCCCATTTATATGAATTCTTATGGGGAAATTGGATTCGCTTAACATCATTTCGCTTAGTCACATTTTTCAGGAACATAACTACAATGTTAAGCGAGGAGTTACTGTATTTGAAGACTTTACTGGGTGAATAAAGTATACCATGTGTGGCCTTGTCTCAGTGTGTTCCGCTCTTCCTGGCAGATTACGCGAGGCTCACTGTGACCCTCTGCATAGCCCTTCTCCCTCTAGAGGCAAGGGTCACAGCCTACTGAGCCATTTTCATCATAAGCCAGCAAAGAGGTTGGTGAGAGAACTCCCACAATCTCCGTTGTCCCTATGGGCTTATTCCAGAACAGGTTAGCCTTCTGTCCTGACGGGGTCCTGTCTTCCCCTCCAAGAAGGTGTTTCTGTAGTGGAGAGTTGGAGGGAACCAGGGCCTGCCCTCTACTCCGGGTTCCAACCCAGGGACCCTAATGGCAGCAGCTGTTGGCAACAGACCTTTGAGATGCTACATTTCCCTGGACCACTTCCCCACAGTTCTCCTGCTTCCCTCTCTTAACACCTTCTTCACCCTTACCTTAGGGCTCCCTTTCCAGTGGCTTGAGGGTGTCTTCATTACCCAGCTCTTCAGCTGCACTTCCTCTCCTCAGGCTCCCTGGCTCTCCTCAGCCTGACAGGAGTGAGCCCTTTTATTGTATCAGAGGGGCCTTAATTAGAGTCAGGTGTTCACATTAGCTTAACGGCCTCACCTGACTCTTTGCAGGTTAATTGGAGTCAGGTGTTCTCATTAGTCTAATGGCTTCAACTGACTCTTTGCAGGCTAATTGGAGTCATGTGTCCACCACAGCGTGGAGCAGGCTTTGTTCTGATCAGTCAGGGAATAGAAAAATGCTTATCCAGTGACCAGTATATCTGCCTTCTACTACTCTGCTGTACCCAACTGGCTTGGGTCTATCACACATGTTATCCTTGCACTTATAAATGGCTGTCCGTTAGATTATCGGCTTGACAACTGCTGCAATTTAAAAATGTGTGAATCTGCCCTGAAATAGCCTATCTGCTTCTTGGTGCATTTAGATTGGCCCACTTTTTTTCTCAACAGATGTTTTGTGTCGGTGGTTGTATTGAGCTTGTAGTTGAATTTGTCCATAGTAACATTTCTCTGGCTACTACATCGCTTTATGCAGTTTTTAAGCTTTCACTTAAATAGGGGGGAAAAAACCCTAAGTTTCTAGTCTGTGGTTTTGAAAAAAATCTTCTGAAATGTGAACTGATGTTTCACTGTCTTTTGACTCTGGAGATTGAAACAATATTTCTGAGTGGTGTGAACTGTCTTGTTGTTAATTGGGTGTGTTAACTCTGAAGCCTAATGGGAATACAAATGTCAACACAAAATGTTTCACAGCTGACATAACATCAGAAACCTCCAGCTGATCTGAGACTGTAAGTGGAGCTTGGGATGGTGGATGAAACTTGAATACCATTTCTTTCCTCCCAATCTGAGCCCTGAATATGTGGACCCAATTTTGCAGTTTCAGTAGGTCTTAAATTGTGACTGTGTCTCGCTCTTCCCAGTGTACGTCCGTTTTAGTTTTAAATGGGGTGAGTAGGCATAACTGACCCTCACTGCCACAGTGCAGAAACACCAGGTCTTCCAAACCCCCAGTTTATGGGAAGGGGTAAGCTTTCAGAAAAATAGTCTGGGGCAAATTAGAAGCAGCACTGCTGTCTGGATGTGAAGGTCTGAAGCTCCTTTCTCCTGCGTCTGGCAATGGAAACCCACTGCCAACTAGCTGGGTTTGAACCACAGCTGCCTGCCATCCTGTGTAACCTTAGTCTCTTTAGTCATAGATCGAAGCACCCTCCCTTCCCCCCAGCTGCTGGCAGTGTGTTGCAAGGCAATGGCAATCGTAACTGAAAGAAGCTTGCCTACTACTGCTTTCTCGTTCGCCCAAGCAGACCTGTCTTTACGCCCCTTCGCTAGCTGGGCTCCGGTAGGACTATGTTCACTGCCTTCTGCTTGCTCTGGAATTATGTAGCACCATCCTTGGCAGACTACTGAGCAGTGTCAACTCAAAGTGTCTTTAAGGCTTCCGTGGAGAGGGGAGAACAGAATAAGTCAGCCTTGATACCTTGGCCCCAGTGAAGTGAAGGAGTTTCCCCAGGGGAACTAGAAGGGTAGACCTTCAGTATGTGTGTCTAGGATTTTCCAGCAGTCCCATTCAAGTGTTAATGGCAAAGAACTCTTATAGGCCCGTGAGCATTGTCAGAGTTGCCTCTTCTCTCACTATCATATAACTGGTATTGCGAGATGTCCTAATGGGTGGTTTTGTTTTTCCTCCCTCTTCTAGACGATGGACAGAGAGTTCAGAAAGTGGATGAAATGGTATGGGAAAAAACATGCAGAATACACAGTGAGTGAAACTCAGCTGAAAATCTTTGTGCTCCACTTATTACTGATGTTCAGAATTTACAGGTCTCCCTCCTCCCCTTCCCCAGCTAAGAAGCAGCTTCCTGGCCTTTATCTTGCTGCTGCTGAGTGATGCTTTCTGAAAGACAACCTCCCAGAGCCCTCCTCTTGACTCACTTGACATTTGGTGTGTGTTGTTGGGAATGTTATTGAGGCTTGCAGAAATTCTTGGAAGCCCCTTTCTTATAAACTCTCGTTACTCAGGCTGTTTTCTGCTCCCACATTCAAACATCATTAAGAAAATTGCTCCCTGATTAGACACTTACCTGTGAGAAATTCATGTAATCTTGTTCTCTAGTGGCTTTCTCAGAACCCTGAGAATACCCCTGCTTGTTTGTGTATCTTTATCCCAATCTTCTCTTAAAAAAAAAAAAAAAGTTTCAGATCTCATAGCTGCCATGCTTCTAGTCAAGGAGGGTTGAGTTGGGTCAGTGTTGTTCCCTAATCATTTGGAGGAATTGCCATTGGGTGATTCAAGGGAATCTTCCCTTCTCTGAGGTTTCAGCTAGCTACCACTGCGGCACTCCTAGCCTGAGAGCAGTTGACACAAACAGATCCTGGTCTCTCATGTGATTTGCACAGAGCTCTACGGCTAAGCTACTGGACCAGTCTGATCTACTTGCCTTTGAATTTCCCAATATTATCAAATGGCCTCTTGTTGGTAGTCAGGGTTTGGCATGAAGGTTAATTTTTCATTTACAGAGAACTCAAGTCTCATAATACTCTCATGTCCAGTGACCAGCCTTGAATGTAAGGGCTCTCTTACTTCTCCTTGAGAAGTAGGCCATCTGCTGGATTAAGGTGACAATGTTGCCTGTCTCAAAATATCCCCTTACTGAAACTGACATATAGTGTGTGGCACTGTTCCATTAGATATATGCTGATTTCATGATAGGAGTAGTTTGCAGTTGGATTAATGTCAAGGCTGCAAACTCTTTCCTGCTGTGAAACTGTATGCAGGCCTTCCTTCCCAGGAAATGGCCATATGGCAGCCTTCCAGGGTGCTACCCAGCTGGCATTATAAGAAAGAAATCTTTACTGAAGATATTTCACTTATGATCCATGTAATTTAAAGAATAGGGACAGAACCTAGACTGAAATACTGAATATGTATTGATTGCTTTAGGCTGTGAGTATTGACACATTGTGTATATTACATGTAGCAGAATCTGACACTATAATGGAAACAAGACTGCTTATTTTTGTTCAGGTCTTTGGCTTTTATAACCTTTCCTCTAATGGTAAGGACTGAGGCCAAAATTTGCAAACTTACATGCTTAATGTTAGGCTCCCAAATAAGTGTCTTGCTTTTTCAACGCTATTGAGCAGCTGAGGTCCCATTGAAGTCAGTGACAAGCTGGGGTTCATGGCACCACTAAAAATCGGGTCACCTTCTATATTGGGGTTCTTAGACTGGGGGGTTGTGACCCCTCAGAAGATCACAAGAGGTTACATGGGGGTCTCGAGCGGCCAGCTCCGTGAGGCTGGCATCCCCAAGCCCACATTAAATGAGATTACGTCCCCTTCATTTTTAATTTTTAAGTGGGGTCACACTCAGAGGCTTGCTGTGTCAAAGGAGTTGCCAATACAAATAGTTTGAAAACTACTGTTCTGTATGAATTTAGGATTCTAACATTAGGTCAACTAGGCTTGCAAATTTTCTCATCACCTCCTTATCATATACATGGCAGATTTTACTGGCTCTTTTTTTTGGCTTCTAACACCTCTTTTTCATCTGCTGGCAGTATATGTACGTGTATCTCTAGCCCTGACCAGAATCAGATAACGAACAGTTTTCCCCCAAGTCAACATATCTTAGCTAAGGATATGTACTTCCTGGTGGATTGTAATGGACTCTTTCCTTAATGCTTGTGGTATGGACATTGGGTAACGGAAATGAGTCCCAAATCCTTCTATATTTAGTTCTCCCACATGGCAACGTGCTGAGAAGCCATCTTGTCTTTGGCAGTAAGACAGTAATTCCATCTATTACCTCTGTAGTAATACAGGCTGTTACCACCGCGACTAGAATGCTTTGGAAGGCACAAGGCTGAAAAGCTTCATCTGAGTGTATGGAATGTAGTGGTGATAGACAATGCAGCCGCACTTGAGAGTCCTCTTTTGCTGCTTGTAAAATGGCTTGGTTACCACCACCCATTATCTCAGAGAAGGAGCGCTCTAGATGTTTTCAGGGGGCTCTTGAGAGCCCAGTCGGTGACAATCGTCAATATGACTAAGGACTGGAGTGGTTTGTGACCAACTAGATTTTAACTGTGTAAATTCCATGCAACTGGATTAAAAATTATAAAGTTAAATATTTTCAGAAGACTACAGAGTTGGGGGGGAGGAGGAGGACGGGAAGATTGGCAGAAATTCGTGGGAACAAGTCTCCGATCCTAGCTGCTGCTTTGAATAAATTATTTGGACAGTGGTATTAAGTTTATGCTTATTGTTGCTGCCTTGCTCCAAAAGTCAAAACTGTGACAGACATGAGACAGCAGTAAATCCTACTGTTCCTCCAGCATGAATTTTTTTTGCTCACAGCTAGGTATCCATAGTTTGACTTTAGTACAACTGGCTCTGTGTTTGTACTCTGAAAAATGACTGACAGAATAACATCTTGGGGTTCACGTTGACTCCATATCTAGTGTGCTCAATTTACAAGTCAGGTAATGGGTCTTCCCTAGTCCAGTCCCTCAAAGGTGGCCTGGAATTTGAGAACTGAATTGTTCTCTCTCCTGGATGAAGCCTCATCACCAGCAATGGATTCTGAAATCAGAACTCAGTTAAGAATTCTGTTGATTCACAGACCTAAACAAACAAGTAAATAAAATATCTAGGTTGCTCTTCTGCATTCCCATTGCATTTGGTCTCCAGTGCTAACAAGAATAAAAAGGAATAAGATATATTTTAGTGAGAAGAGTCCGCATACAGAATTTGCACAGTCAGAATACACACACAGGCAGATCTGTTGAGTAAGCAGATGCCATTTTAACATTGTCACTTTTCAGTCCATAATTGCATTGTAAACTTCTCCAGCTGGTGTAAAACATCTTGAGCCATTTTGGAGTTCAAGGCACTTGCTGAGCTACAGCTGCTAATAATGGGTTATCACTGAAACTTAAAGGTCAGAGTTCCTATTTTCGGCAGGTTTCAGAGTAACAGCCGTGTTAGTCTGTATTCGCAAAAAGAAAAGGAGTACTTGTGGCACCTTAGAGACTAACCAATTTATTTGAGCATGAGCTTTCGTGAGCTACAGCTCACTTCATCGGATGCATACCGTGGAAACTGCAGCAGACTTTATATACACACAGAGAATATGAAACAATACCTCCTCCCACCCCACTGTCCTGCTGGTAATAGCTTATCTAAAGTGATCATCAGGTTGGGCCATTTCCAGCACAAATCCAGGTTTTCTCACCCTCCACCCCCCCACACAAATTCACTCTCCTGCTGGTGATAGCCCATCCAAAGTGACAACTCTTTACACAATGTGCATGATAATCAAGTTGGGCCATTTCCTGCACAAATCCAGGTTCTCTCACCCCCCTCCCAAAAACCACACACACAAACTCACTCTCCTGCTGGTAATAGCTCATCCAAACTGACCACTCTCCAAGTTTAAATCCAAGTTAAACCAGAACATCGGGGGGGGGGGGGGGCGGGGATAGGAAAAAACAAGGGGAAATAGGCTACCTTGCATAATGACTTAGCCACTCCCAGTCTCTATTTAAGCCTAAATTAATAGTATCCAATTTGCAAATGAATTCTAATTCAGCAGTTTCTCGCTGGAGTCTGGATTTGAAGTTTTTTTGTTTTAAGATAGCGACCTTCATGTCAGACTAACCAATTTATTTGAGCATGAGCTTTCGTGAGCTACAGCTCACTTCATCGGATGTATACCGTGGAAACTGCAGCAGACTTTATACACACAGAGAATATGAAACAATACCTCCTCCCACCCCACTGTCCTGGAGAGAGCAGAAGACTGGAGAAATTGTAGGAGAGAGGTTGCTCTTTTCTCTCCTTTCTGTGAAAACATAAACCACTTGGAAAAAAACCCACCATCTGTGGCTATTAGTGCCTTCACATTGTTGCTCAGGACACCGTATCCCGCTGTGGGTCACTTGAGTCTTTTGGACAAGAGTGTTCCACCACAAACCTAAACCCCATTCATTATCTATTAATTCTTTCTTTGTTTTTTACGGTAAAAGAATATTTTCTAGTATCTGTTTCCATGGAACTAGTTCCTTGAAAGTTTGCAAGGTTAGTTTCAAACTTTTTTTCAGGGTAACTGTTGTCCCAAGGAAATTGGCGTTTTTCTTAGGTGATTAGAACTGGATAATTACATGGTCTTTCTTGGGGAATTTCAGCACATGTTCAGTTATCAAATTAAAGCTTAAAAACTCAGTATTGCAGTTAACACAGACATATGGTACTTTGCCAAATTCACACATCTAATTTTCAGTATGGTGAAAGGTTGAGCTTTTTCTGGTTTGGTCTGGATTGATGACAGAGCAATTCCCTTGCTCTTCCCCTGCTGCCAGAAAGAGCTTGCTCTAGCCGTAGGGGAAAACTCTTTCCAATGCCTGAGCCTTGGCGTAAAGTGAAGGAAAACATGTAGACTCTTAAGGTATGGCGGGGGTGTAGGTCAGTGTTATACAGCGTGTAATCTTTCCTGCCCCCACCCCCAGTGGAGTTATACAAGTTTCCATGGAGTCCTACTGTAGCCATTTGTAGTCCCCAAATCCCTGCTGGACTGTCGTGGTGTCTTGGGGCATTCATACAGCAAGTGGTCTGCTTCAGAGTTGCCTTAATGAACTTTTAAATCCAGTGTGAACACGGGTGTAAATTTGGTTAAAGATGAGGGTAAAACTAGGGTTCACTGTTATTTTGCAAAACCTTGTTTGTCTGGCTTTGGCTTTTTAAAATCAAGAGTGGATTGGATCATAGCGTTCTTTATCCAGCCTTCCCAACACTTTGATATGGGAGGTACGAGGGCTGGGAATGGAGAACAGGGAATCCAGATAAGAGAATCGTAGGACTGGAAGGGACCTTGAGAGGTCATCTAGTCCAGTCCCCTGCACTCGTGGCCGCAGTATGTATTATAATATATGTATGAGTCTAACTTTCCAAATTTTACTAAGACTGTAGATAGGTCTGATGGCTGCTTGGAGTTGTGCACTTGATTTATCCCTCTCACTCAAGCAGACTGTATCATAGAAGGAAATCTCACTCCCCGTCCCAACCCCACAAATGAGCTTGGGTGCATTAATGGTGGATATGTGTAGTCCCTACAGCAGTGTCTTTTCTCCCCCTCTCTTGTAGCCTGCAGGCCTCACCTAGCTTTTCTGGTAGGCTTGGGTGTGTCCTGGATGCCATGTGTTGCCTTTTTCACAAAAGTCTCGCTTCAGAACAAAAACAGTGAGTTTTGTAAAGCACTAATCAGTATCTCAAGCTTCCTTGATATCACTTGCACTGATGTATTTTGTAGGCACATAACTGTCATTGTCTGTGCTTAAAAGCTTCAGTTGTTTAACAGTGAGTTCTCTGCAGTCAGGGTGTGGGCAGGATGTGTATTTGTCCTAAATATTTTTGAATGCCCTATTTCAGCGGGAAACTCGATGTTTTGGTATTTGAAAAGCCCTCCAAACGTCCCCTGTGGCTTTGACATGATGCCACGTTTCAGAGGTTTGGATTATTGCCTCTAGTTATTTTTGCAATGAACAGGGGCTTAAAAATAACCATGTGTACTTTTCCAGGCAGAGTTAACTGTTTTTGTGAGCCAAGCACTTTGCCCTGAGTCTGCTAGAATGAGACTTTGTGTATTTATGGCATTGTGCAGTCAGAGCTTTACCGCAGAGCCTTCCAATGCAAGTCTGGGGAGAGAATATTAGCTGCTGTTATATTTTGGAGCCCAAAGCTCTGGGAAAGGGGACTTGGCCTTCAGAAGCAGCTGTTGTTATCCATTATAATGAATATAGACCTGCAGTAGTGTCTCTTGTTGCTTCCTATGGGTGTGACCTGCCAGTTTGCTCTGAGTTGCAGACATCAGCTACTGTGAGCATATTCCTGCAGTCTCTGAAGAGCAAACCTAGCTGTCTGAAAAGGGGAGGGAAAACCTGCCTCTGCTTCTAAATTTAGAAACAATGGGGGCTGGCTGCTCTCTGAAGTGGATTTCAGTGAGCTAATTATCCGTTTAGATAAAGCAGGTCCCCTGCGTTGTCTAATCAGATGAAAATATCTGCATTACAGATGGTCCTTTCCATTCATTATTCACTAAGGAGATTAAATTGCTATATGTGAGAGAGAGCACTGTGGGGGTGGGTACACTGATTGGAAGAGACTGAGTGCATCCCTACTGCTGCTGTTGTCATCTCACACTGACAGGCTGTGGTTTTCCTGTGTGACCTCGACCGTACAGCATTCTGTACTTAAGCAATGCAATATCCCATTAGAAGCTGGCTGTGTAGCTGTTTAATTACCAGGGAAGAGCTCACACTTCCTTACCAGTTCTTGTCCCAAATGAAATTTTGGGGATTTTTGTTTGTGCCACTTGTTTTGGCACTGTTGAGAGATCTCAAATTGAGATCTCCACTTTGGGGCTGCTTGCGTTCTCCCTTGGGGCTGGTGAAGGTCAGTAACACTACTATGGAACTATGACCTGAGGGATGATGGGTGGTTAGCTCTCTTCACTTCCCAAAATAATAATTAAAAAGCCCCTCTTATACTATCAAACTTCGCAGCAGGCAGTTCTCCCGCCTCATTGGCTGAAGGGATACTGCTACAGTAGGGATATAAGCCCGTAAATGGTTGAGACAACTAAGGGAGGATATGATCGAGGTCTATAAAATCATGACTGGTGTGGAGAAAGTAAATAAGGAAATGTTATTTATTCCTTCTCAAAACACATGAACTAGGGGTCACCAAATTAATAGGCAGCAGATTTAAAACAAACGAAAGGAAGTATTTTTTCACACAACACAGTCAACCTGTGGAACTGCTTGCCAGAGGTGGTTGTGAAGGCCAAGACTGTAACAGGGTTCAAAAAAGAGCTAGGTAAGTTCCTGGAGGATAGGTCCATCAATGGCTATTGGGCAGGGATGGTGTCCCTAGCCTCTGTTTGCCAGAAGCTGGGAATAGGCAACAGGAGATGGATCACTTGATGATTACCTGTTCTGTTCATTCTTTCTGGCGCACCTGGCATTGGTCACTGTCGGAAGACAGGACACTGGGTTAGATGGACTTTTGGTTTGACTCAGTATGGCTGTTCTTATGTTCTTACGCATCACATAATTTCCACACTGCTTTTAATTAAGTGGTGGTGGGTCACTGGTGCAGGGTCCTCTTCTTTGCTTCCATATTGAGAAATGTACCTGTTATCTGGTAACTGGAGATAAGAAACTGTTTTATAACAGTGGTTCTCAACCAGAGGTCCGAGGCCTCCTGGGGGGCTGCGAGCAGGTTTCAGGGGGGCCACCAAGCAGGGCCAACATTAGACTCACTGGGTCTCAGGGCAGAAAGCTGAAGCCCTGCTGCATGGGGTTGAAGCCCGGGCCCTGAGCCCTGCCACCCGAGGCTGACGCCGAAGCCTGAGCAATGTAGCTTTACGGGGGCCCCTATGGCACGGGGCCCCAGGCAATTGCCCTGCTTACTATCCCCTAATGACAGGTTTCAGAGGAACAGCTGTGTTAGTCTGTATTCGCAAAAAGAAAAGGAGTACTTGTGGCACCTTAGAGACTAACCAATTTCTCTAAGGTGCCACAAGTGCTCCTTTTCTTTTTATCCCCTAATGCCGGCCCTGGCTTTTATATGCAGAAAACCAGTTGTTGTGACACAGGTGGGCCTGTGGAGTTTTTATAGCATGGCGGGGGGGGGGGGGGAGGGAGCTCAGAAAGAAAACGGTTGAGAACCCCTGTTTTATAACAGTTGGGCACAGCAGTGTTTAAACATGGCTTTTTTGTAGTGTAGATGAGGCCAAAATGTCTACCCCTTTTAATGCCAGTTTCCCATTTCTGGTGCAGATTTTAGCCAAGCACTGGCTAAATGTGCATTAGCTTCTACTGTAGAAAAATAACCATGTTTGAACATGGTTGTGTGGTCCACGTGAATTATAATATGGCTACTTCTTGGCTGGGTGGACGGGAAAAACATTTTCATGTTTAACCCAGGTATATGAGCATACTAGACATCTGTCATAACCAGCACCATGGAAATACTTTTCTTCATTAACCAAGTGCAGCTAATTCAGTATTTACAATATTGCATGTTGTAATTACAGAGAATACTGCAAATTAGTAATTTTTAGAGAAGACTTCAAATATCAAGGTAATTTAGGACACGTCTACACTCGAAGTGCTACATTGGCATAACTACGCCACTGTAGTGCCTTTGGTGAAGACGCTCTATGCTTACTGCAGTGAAAGTCAATGGTTGCTGAAGACGCTCAACATCCCTGAAAAATCAGGTCCTGGGGGTGTCAAGGTGAGCACCCAGCCGTTGAGGAAACCTAACCTAGTGGACACGTTTGCAGATTTTGGCCTAAATCTTCATGCTTCAGTTCCCCATCTGTAAAATGGGAATAGTTCCCCTCCCCTCCCCCCACCTCTCACCACACACAGGGGGTTTGAGAAGATGCATTCATTTAGTGTATGTGATGAACTTGGGTACTGCAGTGATGAGTCAATAAAATCTTGTGTGGTGTTGCAATATTTGGATGGTGGGCAGTAAATGATTAGCTCCTCCTTGAGGGTAAAAGGACATCTGGATATAGGGAGTGGGCAAGACTCCTTGTCTTGGGGAGTGAATGGAGTTTTTTGACGGGATGTGGGGTAGTTTTCTCCCTGAGGCATTTCCTGAAGATTTCAAGTGGCCCTATTCATAACCAGCATCACTGAGTCTAGTATGTTAGCCTTGCCGTTTACAAAGCTGAAAGAGACATTCACATTTTTGTCTATTTTTATAGCTGGAAAGAGGTGACTTCCTCTCCGAAGAATGGAAAGAAAGAATTGCAAACACAAGGTACGGTAGAACGGTTGATTGTGGCTTTATGAATGTGTAATATTTGTCAGTGTATCATAATGGAAATTGGGAGAATGGCCAACTTGTAATACAGAATTTCCATAGCTAATATTGAAAGCCTATATGTGAGCTTCCATGCTAGCAGTATGGGGAGCCTGATATCTGACTGGAGGAATGGGTTTTCATGCATTCCCAGAAGAATTAATGGGAGTTCACAGCATAAATTCCTCTTGCACAGCTAGAGTAGGCCCCTTTTGTGTTTGCATTTCCTTTAGTCTATCGGTGACTTCTGTGTAAGCACCAGCTTGAGTGGCTGGTACTTCATGTGGCTGGGATAGCTGCTTACCTTGATAGTAAGGCTGAGCTAATTGAAATCGGCTATTCTGTTGCATTGATCCTCTTGGATAGTTGAATATTCACCCAAACTGAAGATCTGTATTTAGAGATGGACTCTTTTATTTAAAAAAAAAAACAAAAAAAAACCAACCCCAACCTGTGGCATACTGCTGCTGAAGAGGGAAATGTCATGGTTCAAAACACTCCTAAATTTTTGTGAATGGTTTCATATTCATAGAGCCTTGTTAGTAGATATTAAGCATGTACCATGATGGATAGACAAGAAAAAATGGTTAACGGCAGATGTGCTCCTAGACCACCCCCTTTCTTGGAGAGATGGAAAACAGTTGACAAAAAGGCTTATTGAAACTCTTCAGGGCTGTGGCAAGTTATGGACAGTTTCCAAGACCATATTTAAGAGCACACTCCAGGAAAGGCATCTGCCAGGCTGATTTTTGCGTTATGTACCCCAGTTAGACTTCTTGGGCTGCCTTTTAATTTGTGGGCAGACTTGTCCCAGACCTGCAGTGTGGTGTGGTTTTGCTTTATTAGTTGTTTACGTCTTTACACACACATCCCTCTATACCCCTTCCAGCTCTCTTCCATTTCTTTGGAACAATTTTTAATATAGGCTGTAGATTAGAGCCCTGCAACCCGACGGAACCTGACTACCAGTGTTGGCTCGAGTGGAGTTGGCTCTCCTTCTCCGGCCTGTGGGGTGGTGCAGTGGTGGCTACATATCCTGCTTCTGCTGGCAGAAGCACGCATGCTGCAATGGAGTGAGTGCGCAGAGGAGTCACAGCACCTCTCACTTTTGCAGCACAAGCAAAGCAATGGGGGCAGCTGTTGGCAAGAGCGGGGCATGCAGCCACTGGCTCATGCAGCCACTGACTCCAAGGACAGCAGGAGGAGAGCCATCCCTGGGGGAGGAGGCAGCAGCTGCACTGAGTCAGGCTTAGGTTGGAAATTGATTCGACCCTCTTGGGCTTGAGTCCAGATCAGGCCTAGCCTCGAGCAAACCTCTGCTATAGGTTGTCTCCTATTGCACATGGAGACACTGGTAGATCTGTGGCAGTAAATGATGGCTATTCTTTGTTACTTTGAATAGTATGCAGTTGATTGTCTTCCTACCAGCCCACAACCATCTCCTCCTTCCCACAAAAGTTCTTAAAGCAAAAAATTAGTTTTTCATCCTCAAGCCTTAGTCATTTGAGTTTTTGTGACTGCAAATTAGTCAACATCTGCTATTTTAAAGAATGCTTTGATTGATTGATCATTTGATATTTTGGCCCAAGTCAATTACCTAATAGTGAAATTTCCTCCTTCATTTTCTGTTGTAAGCAGTGTGAGCATCCTAGGTGGTGGCCTTCATGATGATAGTAGCCACTTGGATTTTTAAGAGCACTCCTAACTAGTTCATTTGGCTAAAGGGTTTTATGACGCCATCGCCGATCCAACAGCATCAGTTACCTAATCTAAATTGTGCTTCTAACAAAGTAGATAATAGGAGTTCCAAAGGTTCAAACTCTTAAAAATGCATGTTCACTTTTGAACGCATACAATTGTTCATATTTGTGCTCTCACAACCGCTGATGCTTAAGCAAGATGTGTGGCATTTATTATTCATACTGTCTGCACTTGTGGTTTAGCAGTCTGCACTGAAAAGGCAATAAACCAAATAAGGAGAAAGCCAAGTTATTTTGGTCTCCAATGTTCATAGTAAATACTCCATCAGAATGAACATTTTAAAAAGATTTCAGTGGACTTTATTTCTTTTCCCTTTCTCCCCTTAAAATTCTCTAGTGACTTTAATGCATGTGGCTGTGTTCAGTAGGTTTTTTTTGGCATAGTGGTGGGAAGCAGGATGAAAGGAGCCCATACTGGCCTTGCTTGCCAGACAAGTTTCCCATCTTTGTAAGAGCAGGGGTGGGCAGAAAAAAAGATATTTTTTGGCACATAATTTTTTTTTTTTAAATTGTGGTTTTTAAATAGTTTTGGCTACGTCTCTTAAACCTAGTGCCCTTTAAGTATGTGTGTTGTATGGAGGCACCAGAAGGGGAAAGAAGAATCTAAGTTAGTATCACTTGCAAAGAAATAAATTCTTATAAAATAGATGGCATTGGCTGAAAAAAGTCCTGAAGAGCTTGATCCTGCAAAGTGCTGAATATCTTCTGAGAGGTGTCAAGCATCCTTATTTCCCACGGAAGCCAGTGGGAATAGAAGACATTTGGAAACACCATATCTGACCCAAAGTTAAATGCTTTCAAAATTACACCCAGTGTAACGTGTATTCTCCATTTGTAATGTGTCCTGTTTCTTACGTTTTTTTTTTTCACTTCATGACACTTTTCATCTTCACATGGCCATGTTGTCTTGCAACTTGTTCGATTTCTCTTTTCAAGGCTTAAATATTTTTGGTGGGTGGTGAATCCCTTGCTAGATTTAATCGCTAAAACCACGAAAACCATAAATGTTTCCAGTGTAGGATAGAGCCAAAGACAGCCTTAGAGACAGCAAGGCTTGTTGGGAAAGAGCTAAGAGAACACGTTTCTCAACTGAATGCCTGACTGTTAACCTTGTGAAAAGACCTGTCGAATTTCACCATCATTTGTGGGGGTGGGGGGTACTTTGTAAATAAATTATTACTTGTAAATACTTCTTCAAATTACCAAAAGTATAATTGGATTCAACAGCTGTCGGTCAAGATGGGCTGTCACCATTCCTTAAGTGTGATTTAACAAGTGTCATGAACATGTTAGCGGTAGCTATGTTCATATACACTGTAAAAGGCCCACCAGACATTATGGAGGCATGATGAACATACTTTTAATATTATGATAGTGAAACTTGCCAGTGTAGTTCTTAACTTATGAATTCATGGTGCAGAAGCTGCTGATCTGATGAATGGAAGTGTCCTAATATGATACTTTTTCATATGCAACATTTCAGCAAAGAAGTACTGTGAATACTGACTATTTATAGCTTATTACTTTGTGTAGCTTGCAAGTAGAAATTTTTGGTTTCTTGAGTAAAATAGCTATACGCCCTCAGGATATATAGCATTCTCTTGTTTCAGAACCATGCACATCATTCATAGAATATAGCTGATTGCATAGAAGTAGCAGTGTATATAAAATTAAGATGCCATTTGTCTGTTCCTATTTAATAACTAGACCATTATCTTGCAGTGTTATTTTTGTGAATAATTTTGCCTTTGGTCCTGAGGTGGATCACCAACTGAAGGAGCGATTTGCAAACATGAAGGAAGGTAACACATCGAACTTAAACTCTTTTCCGTTGGTTTCCTGTTCACTATGGGAGCTGCTGAATAGTCCGCTGGGTTTTTTTTTGCTGTGCAGTAGTAGATTCAGGGTTTACTAGCTGCTGCAGCGTGCTGTCTGTTCCTGATGTGCTATCTCTAGCAACCAGCCTCCAGTTTGTCTTTTGGAATCATAAGACATCCCAGAAGGTCTATTGCGTTGTTTTAAATGTTCCTACTATATATGTATGCAAATTGTTTCTGTGACAGAAGGGCATTTCCATGGCAGCACCTTTCATAATGTTTTTTGAATATTTAATCCTGAATGTGTTTTTCAGCTTTAAATACTCTATTTATATGCAAGTTTAGCAACATCTAAAGCTCAAAGAGCTTTGTTCTGGACTTAAAATAACACTAAGATTATATTTAAAAATTCCTAACCTGCACTAACACCTTAGATCATTGCTTCTGAAACTACAGTCTGCAGAGCCCTTTGTTGTGCTCTATAGAAAAACGCATTGAGAACCAAATCGTGAGGGATTGTGGTGATAGATCTTTGTCCTACGAATTTACCCACAGATTAGAAAAAACGGAGAAACCACTTCCCTTGATTAACACTGAAAGTTCTAAACCATTAATCTTTTAATCCTAGCTTCCTTTTCACACTTTACTCAATTTCACTGTCCAAAGTGATTGGTCTCATTTCGTTTTGTTTGGTCATATTTTCTTCTGGCTATTACGCACTATACCAGTGGTGGTATGCTTGGGTTCGGATGGTTCAGGGGGTTATTAATGAGGAAACTGATCCTTCTGTATCAATCTCTATGGTTCAGATACTCTGTTCGTGGTGATGACATATTTACAGTCATCTGAAGCCAGGTTGGTGGGTTCCATTCTGTTCCTTGTGAACAGCTATGGACACGTGGACAGCCACCACAATGGCTACTAATTGGAGATTCTACCTCTTGTCTGAGTATATAGACCAAAGTCTAAATGGACTTGGAGACTGGACTGCCTTCTCTTCCTACTGGTGGCCCTTCATGTCCAGCCTTAAGGACACTGATGACTGGGGCAATTTGCATTGCCTCTGCTCTTGCTAAAAGAAAAGGAGTACTTGAGGCACCCTAGAGACTAACTAATTTATTTGAGCATAAGCTGTACTTTCCACTTTATGCATCCGATGAAGTGAGCTGTAGCTCACGAAAGCTTATGCTCAAATAAATTGGTTAGTCTCTAGGGTGCCTCAAGTCCTCCTTTTCTTTTTGCGAATACAGACTAACATGGCTGCTACTCTGAAATCTGCTCTTGCTGTATATCTTGTGGCAGTGATAAGGTTTCGGTCTCCAAGGGTGTGTTTACATTTCAAAAAGAGACCTGTGGCAGCAAATCTGAGTCTGGGTCAACTGACTGGGGCTTGTGCTACAGGGCTAAAAATAGGTAGTGTAGTGCAGTGTAGACATTCCCGCTTTGGCTGGAGTCCCGGGCTTCGAGACCCATGCCGCTCACTGGGTCTCAGAGCCCAGGCTCCAGCCTGAGGTCAAATGGCTACTCGGTTATTTTTAGCTCCGTAGTATAAGCCCCAGTCAGCTGAAGCAGGCTGAGAGACTCACTGAGCCGGGGTGTATGGGTTTTTGTTTTTGTTTTATTTTTAATATAGACACACCACAAGATCAATTCAGCGTGTTCAACTAGTACTAAATTCATTAGGTGAATTGTAGTTTATTGAGAGGCCATGTGGTCTCATGGATTAGGCATGGCTCTGGAAGCTAGAATCTCCGGAGTTCAGTTGTACTGTGCCACTGAGCAGTCAGTCAGTCCATCTGTTTCTCTTGTTTAAAATGGGGATCGTTATACTTACCTATGTCACGTGGGTATGGAGTATTAATTAGGTAATATTTGAACATGGAAAGTGTTACCGTTAAATACCCAGGGTTTTTTCCTCCTGAGAAGTTGGGCCGTAAAAGCTAGCAGTTGGAAATGTCCAGCAAGGTCATGATGGTCTTTAACTTGGCTGGAGTACTTTTAGTTTGGTAGTTTATTCCTGCCCTTCAGTCCTTCAAACACGTGACAATTTAACTTGGTTGTGACACATATTACAAAAATAGTTGTTTAATTGCTATTGTAAGGCAAATGTATAGAGTGGGCTATCACAGTTCTAAGTAGTTGTGGAAGCAGGATTATTCCCTCTGAGGCCAAGCCTAGGCATAAATAAAATAAGTAAATTCCACAACATTATAGTTATGACACAAACCAACCAAAGTCAGAAGAGTTGCAGTATGTTTGATTCTCTAGCTTTACTTCAGAGCTGGGTTTTAATCTCTATTTAATTTAATAGAGGCATGAGACATGGAGGCATCATGCACCAGTAGATAGGGTACTGGACTGGGAATCAGGAGACGTGGGTTCTCTTCCCAGCTCTAACTGTGGTGGCTGGGGACTGGACTCGGTAACCCAGGAGATCCTTTGTGGTCCTACGTTCCTAGGACCTTCAGCAAGGCACTTCATCTCTGTGACGCTCCCTGTTGGTATCCTGGGTTGTGAGGCACCTCACCACCACCTGCCCTTAATGTGAAGCAGTCTTGCGTGTGCCTGCGGTGGATCAACTCTTTGAAACCACCAGCCTCTGGCAACACAAGTGCTGCCTTGCACACTGTCACTTCCTCTATACAAGCTAATGATGGGAACCCCTGAACCCTGTGAGCGTTCCCTGTAGTGTCCAGCCCCTTCTCCACTGAGCGCTCACTGAATTACCAAGCTTACTGTTCCCAAACGGGTTGTAAGATTCAGCTCAGGATCACTACTTTGCTTCACACCACAGCATTTAGATACATTTATAGTGAAAACAAGAATGTTTTTTTCCCCCCAAAGTTCAGAGATTCAAGTGATAGTGAATAAGAATATTGGAAACAAATGGTTACATTTAAAACAAAATCATAACACGTTTTCTACAGACTAAACTGTTAACCTCCTGTCTAAAGAAGTCTATCACACCCTTTGCGCCCTTCTTCTCCCCCCATCTGCCTGCTGTGCTCTTCGTTTTTATCCAAACCTGATGAAGACCCCTTTTTCGCAAAGCAAACTTGTTGCCCATTTACTTCCTCAGTGAAGAGTGCCAGGGTGTCATCTTTATCCCCTGAATATTCCGGAGCAAACCTTTGATGCATAAACACCACCGTTCTCCATGTTTTTTCCTCCCCAGTTACTTCTCTCTCCTTCATTAGCATTCAGTTCAGACTGTTGGGTGGAGACCCACTGAGAACTACACAATACTTAATTTACATTTAAACACACAATTGGATAACCTGTTTTTCAGGTGATGACTAGCCCCTAGACACAGAATTTAAGAACATAATTTTCAGTGTATATATGTGACTTCTTGCATAATATGCATTCTTGGGTTTTGCAATGATGTTGCTGATCAGTGTGACATCAGCTTTTATGTGAGACCTCAGACGACACTCTTTTGGTAAGCTAGAATGTAAATATCACACTCGGGAGATTCCTTTAACCCCTCTGCACCCCCTCCTTGCCCCTTGCCAGTAAGAAGTTCCTGGGTCACAGCGTCTGTGCCTATATTTCCCCAATGATAAAATGGGCATAATTATACCTTTTAGAATGTTTTGAGATGTGTACATGAAAAGCCCTATCTAAGAGCTACCTAGTGGTACTATTATTTGAATAGCCTGGATCTTTACCAAAAACAAAACCCCCAAGCTTTTTTAAAGTGACCCAGTGGTGTTAGTGCAACTGTTCATGGTTGCTATTCTGGCACTAAATATAAAGCAATATAGAGCCCCTACTTTCTCCAAAGAGTTTCTGTCAAAGAGTAGTGGTAACTGGATCACTTACATCTTTTTTCCCAGGTGGCAGAATCGTGTCCTCAAAGCCTTTTGCACCTCTAAACTTTAGAATAAACAGTCGAAACTTGAGTGGTAAGATTGGCCTTTCTCTTTGCTTAAATGTGACTATATGGTGTTCAATATATGACTTTTTTTTTTTTCCAAAAGGGGAAAAGCTCAGTAGACAGCTACTGTTGTATGTTAAAGTTAAACACCAAGTTGGCAGGTGCCTTCCAAATATCAGAGAGAGAGACATGTCACAGCTCTCTAAGTATTGATGAGACTTTGCATATTAAAAGCTAAAGTTTGTCATCAGCACTTAATCCTATCCAACCTGTCTCATGCTGACCAAAATGGCTCCCTCTCACAAACTCTCAGCAAAGGAGTTTACTTTCCCTAAAAACAAACTGCTATAGGAATTCAGATAAGAAGGCCTAAGAGGAAATGACCTTCAAATATTGGGTACAGAGAGAAAGTGTGGAAACTCAATTACAGGACCTAATCTCATCCAATTACTAATTTACATGGGAAATACAATATCAAATAAATATGCCTGCAGTGTTCTAGTCCTGGGCCTCATTCCAATCTTAATGGCTTTTAAATTTTTTTTAGCTTTTAGGGAAATACTGTCTACTTAGAGCTCATGGCACCAAAATCTGCATTTCCCTGACGTAACAGGAAAGTGCATTCTCTTGTTCTGTGGTCCTTCATGCATTCATCTCACCAGATTTCCCATAAACATTTTTATTCACCAGTTTTTGCCCTGATGAGACACAGCTGGCACACTCTGCCTCTGGTTATTGCTTTGCTTTTAAAATCTGTCTGGTTAAATGCTTAGTTAATAAAACTGCATTGGTAACAATAATGTTACCTTATTTTAAAGCTCTTTGTAATCCAACTTCTTTGGGACATTCTTAATTCCTCTTCTGGAGGGGGAAAATAATAAAATGGGATATGGTGAGAGGGGAGACTTTGGGACAGATCAAAAATTGTTTTTAAAAGTTTGGTTAAATCATACTGGCTGTATCCTAAACCTCATATTTGTCTGCATATAATGTTCATATACATTCAGACTCTGGTGGATCAGCGTCTTTCAGCAGAAATAAGTATCTGTAATCTCTCCTACACAGTCATGCTATTCACTCAGGCATTTGGTTGTTACAATTTGTTATGTAGATAGGATCCAGTAGTATTGTGTATCTAGGCTTAAGGCCTTGGTTACAGTCAAAGCTTTATCCTGGATATGTGACCCCTTTCCAACAAAATTAAGGCCCTGTTCATAGTGTTGTAGCGATATTGTCAGTGGGTTCCTTGAACAAGTTATTTTGGAAGCATAGTTGGGCTCACTGTTAGATTGAAAGCCCACTGTAGCTCCTTTTACTCCGGAATGGTTGAGTATCTGCAAGCAGAATAAAAACAATACAATCACAGAATCATAGAATATTAGGGTTGGAAGAGACCTCAAGAGGTCATCTAGTCCAATTCCCTTCTCAAAGCAGGACCAACACCAACTAAATCATCCCAGCCAAGGCTTTGTCATATGTACCCTAAATATGCATTTTGCATATCACAGATTTTTACCTAAACTCATAGTGATATGTGGAAAAAGTACCGAATTACTTAAAATATATAAATTAGACCACAGTGTTTCCAGGTCTATTTGAGCAGTTAATTAGCACTATATAATATGACCGAATATATCCTCTTTCGGAAAGGGTTTACTCACTTGGCAGTAGGGCTCTGTGTGTGTATTCCATGTAGATCACTTTGAAATGTTGGGGGTAGAGGGGTTAAGTCCACCGTGCAGCTGGTCAGAGTTCCTGCATGGACTGGCTTGGCTGGGTAGAAGGCGTTCTGTATGCTAAGGCTACCGTTGCTGTGTTAAAACACAGTTCTGAAACTGCTGGGCCACTTTTACTTTTGATAAATGTGAGTGGGAAATGGGGCTCACCTTGATTTCCTAACTGGCCTTTTTCCCTTCAGATATTGGCACTATAATGAGAGTTGTGGAGTTATCACCACTGAAAGGGTCGGTTTCATGGACCGGGAAACCAGTTTCTTACTACCTGCATACTATTGATCGCACCATAGTGAGTATAAACATAGGCCAGTGAATCTTTCATTTTTCCCTTGGAAGCACCGTGTTAGTCTCATACTCTGGAATTCTCAGGGTTCTTCCCTATCTTCCTTTTGCATTTAGGGACATGCATTATGGTTCTTGGGGGCAGGGGACAATTTATTCACACACCGTAGTCTCTTAGCATGAATACACGTATCCAAATTCCACTTCACCTTTGATTCCTTCCGTGCAGCAGGCTTCTCAAAGGATGCAATTCTGTGGAGCTCTGCGGTTGTCTGTATGTAAATAAACGAGTCAAAATACACTTACATATGAAGAAATGTAAATTCCTCTAGCATTATAATTCATTGACTCTGCTGGTGTTTTTCCTACATAATAGCTATTTCATTCTGAGTAAAGACTATAGAGGAAATTTTTAAAAAATTAAAAGTGTGCTGTATAATAAATGTGTGAAGCATCTCCTGCTAGGGCATCAGGATACTTTATAATAATTCTTAATCTGAATTAAACTTTGAGTTGCTCTAGCATTAGCCTAGGCATCTTAAATGCGTCTGTGCATTCACCTTTATTTTTATTTTTTTGCTTCATAAACAAAGCCCATAGAAATGTAACTCTTATTTTGTGGAGAAACACTTCACCTTCATGATCTGAATTTTTGTAACCTGCTTGTACAACCTTGTTTTGTAAATCTGCTCTAGTTTGCCTGTGTTGTAGATGTGTATGTTAGAATGGAGATAAATGTTTTACTTTCGTTCAGTACTAGAATAGAGTTGCCTCCTATTGAAAATAACCTTCTGGTGGCTAGAGATATAGAACACAAAGCTTTATAATAAGGATGTGCTGCATTGAAGATGATAAACCATGTTGTGGCTTGGACTGTGTCCCATTACGCCACATGCTTGCTTTTTTCCAGAAAGAATGAAATGGAAATAGCTTCTTGATGTAGCTTATCAAAGGGGAAAATTGTCAGAACATCTGCAATTTTGTACTCCTGTTAGAAATCAGCGTTTTACGCATCAGTGTATTCTGATATGTATAATGACTATCTTATCTTTCCCTTTTCAGCTTGAAAACTATTTTTCTAGTCTCAAAAATCCAAAACTCAGGGTAAGTTGTGTTTAAATTTCTTATAATGTATTCAGAGTAATGACAGGTTTCAGAGGAGCAGCAGTGTTAGTCTGTGTTCGCAAAAAGAAAAGGAGGACTTGTGGCACCTTAGAGACTAACAAATTTATTTGAGCATAAGCTTTCGTGAGCTACAGCATCCGATGAAGTGAGCTGAAGGTCATGACAGCTTATGCTCAAATAAATTTGTTAGTCTCTAAGGTGCCACAAGTCCTCCTTCTCTTTTTCAGAGTAATGAAACATCCAGTATGATCATTTTAAGCATTAGCTTTATAAAGACAACAGAAGCAGATGGGGAAATATGTTTCAAGCTCATCAAGAAACAATATCTGCAGACAATCATGTTGGAATGAAGTAACTCGTGACTGCAGTAGTGCTGTGACAGCGCATCCAAATAAAACAATAATTCTTAAAAATGTATCAGGGAAGCCTAGAGTTCTTGCAGTTTTCCACTTGCATTGTATTTAAAGGATTATTAAATGTTAATGACATTAACAGGCCAGATTTTAAGAATTTAATGATGGCTTAATTCTCTTGTCTCAATGCTGAGCCTTGTCAGTTAGTGAGTTTTTGAAGAAAGGCCCTCTCAGCTATTACTTTTGGACCTGCCATTCACTTGGAAATGTAACCTATGTCATTGATCTCTGTGCTTTACTGCAGTGCATGGAATTCAAAACTCCAGAGGTTTCTGAGACGGTCTCACTGAATGGGACATATTAAATAGTGGTGAAAGATGATGGCTTAGATGTAATTTACAAAGGGCGTATGGGGCTAGACTTTTCTGTACCAATCTAGGAAACATCTTGCATTTGTGGAGCCTCTTCATGTCAAGCTTTAGGGCTCAGTCATTGTCCTCCAAACCTGACCTTTAATGGTATTTGAGATTGGGTTTAATGGTAGCTGTTAGATTTGTGGGTTTTGGACTGTTGATTTTAAATTTGAGAGAGTGAGATTTTGACACTAAGCATGGAGAAAACCCACCAAATTTTGTCTTCAAATATTTGCGAACTAATCACATAAACTATTTTTTGGCAGTTTCCTGGCTGCTAGCAATGAAGATATTGAATTACTATGAGAGAGTTGGAGTTTGCCATAATCCCCTGATTTACTTTTACTTAGTTCGTAAAGATATTATAGTTGGTAGAATTGTCAACACATTAAACCTCATCTGGAGAGTACAAGGAAGTGTTTGTGGAGTTTCATGTCCTTAGTGACTAGGCAGGACTCATGCTTTTTCAGCTGCTTTTCATCTGGATTGTCTTATCTACAGACTTTGTTAGGATTTAATTCAGCTCTCTTTCAAAGAGTTGATTCATGACTTTATATGGCAAGGCCCTTAAAGATGCGCAGTGATGCAACAATACGTGAAATGGTGGTTATAGATAAGGTCATTGATATTTTAACAGGCTTTTTAAAAAAGTTCAAAGACCTACTCATTAGGGTGGAAAACGTGTGGCTCTCTCCCTCCCTTGTGGTTGCTTATCTGCATAGATGCTGTTTAGGAGACTGCCATGGAATATAGTGTAGCTTTTAAAGCTAATTTAGGTTGCCTTCCTTTTCCCACCTGCTATTGTCTGGGACAGGGTAAGTCAGTGTCTTCCTGCCTACTAAGAAAAGATGTTCTGTCATTCCTTAATCACTCTGACTAGTCCTTACATTATCCGTGCCTATCCCAGAGGAACTAGCTTGGCAAGATTGGAGTCTGTACTTCAAAAGGGAGAATATAGCAACTATCTTTTGGGCTTATTTGTGGATGTTTTTTAATGCCATTGTTTAAATTGCCTTTAGGAGGAACAAGAGGCAGCTAGACGTCGTCAGCAAAGAGAAAACAAGAGCAACACAACTACTCCAACGAAGGTGCGAGAAAACAAGGTCAACTCCCTCTTGAATATTTTACACAAAAAACATGTTCTCTCTTTATTATGGCTCGAGCTTGCAGTCTGCACCAACCATAAAAGCTTGTCTACGTAGGGAGTTTGACCTGAAAATCTATTCCAGAAGAGCTCCCTGCATGGATACACTGTTAGCAATAAAAAACACTTTATTTCAGAATAATCAGTGTTGTTTGTGAGCTCTTCTGGAATAGTTTATTCCAGAGTAGAGTTTCTGGTCTCTTTCACCGTGTTGACAGGCCTTTTACTCTTGAGTAGGGGTTCCTAAACATTTGCAAGGGCCATACCACATGTTAATAGTTTGGTATGTGGACCACACTTTCCCAGCCATAAATGCACAAGCTACCTCCCTGTTATAAAAGCAGCAATTGCTCACATGGATAAGTAATAGGGGGAAAGTTTTGAATGTGACTTCAGCTTTTATTTCAATGCAGTTTAGTAGCTTGTAATAAGGCTCCCTGTGAGCAGCAAGTTTTGTATGGATCAGTTTGGGAAATCCTGCAATGGATAGATCTAGAGGAGAGGCAGCGTAGTGTATTGATCATAGCATACTGGGTACCAGGGACAATTCCAATCCCAAATCTAACCACTAACGCTTTGTAGCCTTAGGCAAATTACTTAATCTTTGCGTGCCTCTATGTCCTTCCTATAAAATGGGGTTGATACTTGCTTATTTCAAAAGGGTGTGGTAAAGATTAACTGATATTCTGCAAATGCAAATTGCTCAATATTAGAAAGCTTTTTCTCTTCAACATTTCTTTAGGATTCTGGTGCTGAAGAAGAAAAAGTTGGGACAAATGCAGTTAAAAAGACATCTCCCTCCAAAGCACGCAAGAAGAAGCTGAGTAAGAAAGGAAGGAAAATGGCAGGGCGGAAGCGAGGGCGTCCCAAGAAAATGAACACCGCAAATACAGAGCGCAAGACCAAGAAGAACCAAACTGCACTAGAGCTTCTGCATGCTCAAACTGTGTCTCAGACACCCTCATCCTCTCCTCAGGGTAAGCTGAGAAACTCAGCGGTTGTCAGTGGAAGAGCGTCGTCCGTATGAGTCTCAGTTAGTGTCCAGGAAAGTTTTTACTCTTAAGAGTGAATGCTCAGAGCTCTTTGTGTTCAGAGACCCACAGACTTCTAAATCTTTCTTGTCAGTTTCGCATACCTCCTCTCCCTGTTTTCTATTGCATTGTGACATTGTATCACCTGCCTTCCAGCTGGGATGATTGAGGCTCAGACAGCTGGCTGTTAATGTTAATCCAAACTTCTCCAGAATGGGGGGGCAGCAGAACAGAGGGGTTGGCTGAGTTTGCCTTCACTGATGTGTTGAACACGAATCCTGAGTGTATTTTGAAAGCTGATCTGTTGCATGAGAGGCACTTAGCCAAGTTACTGGGTCCTGTGCTGTAAAAAAACATATTCCCCGATGGCAAAGGGCATCTTCCTCATTTGCTATGTTTCATTACTTAAAATGTGGTCTGCATTACTTTCTCCTCTAGATGCATACAAGTCACCTCATAGTCCATATTACCAACTACCTCCTAAAGTGCAACGGCATTCATCTAACCAACTGTTGGTGACTCCTACCCCACCTGCACTACAGAAGCTGCTAGGTAAGAGTTCCCCTTCTGATGCATAGAGAATGAAAGGAGTAAATAATGGGTTGATCACAGTTTACTATCTGGGTGGTGGTTTATATCATTGCTGTGATATAAAGATTCAAGGGAAACTGAAATACTAAAGCTTTAATTTTGGGGGAAGAAAGGTATATTTTAATACAAAACAGTGAAGTGCAAAATATTGCCAGCTGGAACTGGATTGGTAATGGGATATGGAGCATTTCACCTGAGGTCCCCTAAAATCAGTAGGCCTGTTTGGCCTTTGTGAAACTGGATTGGGTGGTGAGTGGGGTGGGGGGGGTCTTATTTTTTTTCCCTACATAACCAATGGCCTAATATCCCCTTTGTTGGCAATTCCAGCAGAGGACTGAATGTGCCATGGCGAGGCCATTTTGCTCTTAGGGATAGTCCCTTCAGAATAATGATGAGGTCCATTGGGGCCTGGGCAAAGGTGGTAGATGCATGCTGTATCAAATGAAATTTAGTCTCCATTGCCTTTTTAAATGGGGTATTTCACTAGCGCTAAAACACAAGTCAATAAAATGTCACTGTTAAAATTTGGACCATGTTGGCAACTATGTTGCTTGTTACAAGAACCTTTACACTGAAGATGCTAAACCTCTGATAACTAAGGAGAGGTTGTTCCTACAGTAAGTCTTTGTCTTGCATACATAACACTGCAGAAGGGAAGGGAGGACCTGCCAGTTCTCTTCCAGCCTCCACCAATTGCCAGTGTGTCCGTTCTTTTGCATGTTGCTTAAGTTGAAGCCTTGGTCTACGTTTACTGCAATTGACTGGGTTTCAGCTCTCATGTGGCATGAGGGAAAAGGACAGACACTGCTGGTCCAGAAACAACTCTGCATTATTTTAAAATAAGACGGTGCTTTAACTTAACGAATAAGGAACATGGGGGGCAGAATTCTGTTTTCCCAGAACCAGAAAGCAAAGTAGAAAAATAAAATCAGATGTTCTGAGGGTTTTGGAGGACAGTGAGGCTATATGGTCAGGGAGTCTGTTCTAGATGTAAAAGATGGTGTGAGGAAAAAATGTGGAGTCCTTTCTAGGAGGAGACCTGGAGAGCAGTAAGATGAGTTAAAATGGCAAAGTATAGGAAGTAAGCAACAAGAGTTGAGTTCTGTATAAGACACAGTGCCTTGAAGATTAGGAAGAAATTGGAAGTCAGTGAAGAGATCAAGGATCACTGTCATGGTGGGAGGGAATCGGAGAGAAAGATGGCTTTAACTGTGGCTTGATGGATAGACTTGAGGGGTGCATTGTGATTAGGGAGATTACAATTAATCAAGAGCATGGACTGAAGTTTTGCAGTGAGGATGGAGAGGAAGGGGGAGAATTTTGGGGTATTGTAAAGAACAAGTAGAGTTTCACAGCTGTTTAGCTGTGAAGGAGGAAGGAGTAGAATGACCCCAGGCTGTGAGACTGGAAGGATGTTGGAGCACCGTGAGTGCATTTCTGTCATGATTATAATGGGTTGCCTGTTTTATTGCTCCTGCTTGCATTAAAGTCCATTAAGAAACTCCTTTTTCAACACACACATCATTAGGGTCCATCAGCTTCCTGTCTGCTTCCTGAAAATGTGCTCTTAGAAATGTTATAATGAGGGAGCTAATCTATGTGGTTAATGCATGACGCACAGACCAGCTAAGGGTCTAAGTAATATGCTATTGGAGAAAGTTCCAGGTTAGTTTTCTTAAAACATTAGTTTTCTTGCAAAGGAAAGCACATTACTGGAATAACCATTCCTAGAGCAAAAAGATGGTGCAAAACTATTGTATTTAAAATAATTGAGGTCAGCTTGCATTGTAACTAGGAGTTTTCAGCATTCACCAGAGTGAGCTCTACAGCCTCAGTGTACATGTTAACCCCTGCAAAAGGCAGTAGGGAGAAACCATGGTCCAAAATAGTCTTAAATTGTTTTTCTCCCCTTCCGTCCTCCATGCATTTGTGTTACAGACTCTTTTAAGATCCAATACATGCAGTTCATGGCGTACATGAAAACTCCTCAGTACAAAGCAAACCTGCAACAGTTACTGGAGCAGGAAAAGGTGAGTGTCTTTTTTTTTAAATTGGTCTCCTGACCATTTCTAGCTATAGATGTACAGCCTCCACATCCCCTTCCACAGATATTTGAGAAAATGCCACAGACCCAGAATTCCAGATCAGTATTTACATAATTCCACTGTAGCCCCTGACGGAGTTAAAGGGCCCTGCTTAAGAGAGACAATGCCTTTTTGCTTAAGGCACAGGACTGAGAGTCCTGTGTTCTATTCTCAGCTGTGCCACCAATTTACTGTGACCTTGATGAAGTTTCTTTGCCTCTCTGTCCCTGTTTCCCCTGTAAAATGGGGATAATGTTCCCTTTTTTCACAGGATTGTCCAGATTTAATTCGTTGTTAAATTCCTTTTCATTAAACTCTGTTAAATATGGTTGAGCTATTTGCCTGAATATGGGATCACCTGTACAGACGAAAATGAGGGTTTCCCAACACTAAAAATAGCAGACAGATAGCAGGAATTGAACTTTCAAGAGAAAGTAGTGCCACACTTTAAAGCACCACCATTTCAGTGGCCGCTCTTTCCTCTGATGAGCTGCAGAAGAGAAGGTGACCAAAAGTTACATGAGATGGTCTTTTCCAAACTGGAAATCTCAGTTACAATCTCAGTCAGGTAATTGTGGCTCAGTAAGAGCTATTCTGAGATCACAGATGGGTCATATGGGACAATAAAATTGTGCTAGAGAAGATAAAATATCCCTTATTCTGGTTTTCTGGAATAGTGTCCATTGAAAGCTAATCTCTGAGTCAAAATGCCTTTTACAGTAGTATGTGTGGAAACCAGGAATTGCAATGAACCCTAGGCTATAACCCTCAAACTAATTTAACATCAAGAAGTTGGTTTGTTCACCTTATAATAAATGGAAGAACTAAAACAAAAGTAAAGGAATAGCCAACAGTCACACAGCAGGTTGGATAAAATATCCGTAAGTCCCTGAATAGGTGTTGGGGCATGTTATAAAAACCTAGAGCGATGTCTGTAAGGTGCTTGAGAGCCTAATGGAAAGCATTATAGTTGTAAAATTTATTATGCATGAGCTTCCAGTTCAGCTGAGCAAATAAGTATTTGGTACAGTAGCTGAACCAAAAAAACCCACCCCTTGTTTGTTCTGAACCAAAACTGATTTTTCCCCCCTGTTATTTCCCTCAACAAAATGAAAATCGGAAACTTTTGCTTGTTGATTCAAACAAAATGTTGAGTCCAATTGACATTTCTGAAACTTTTCAAGTTTTTTGGCTAAAACTATTTGCTGAATTTGCAAATTGTTTCCATGCCTGAAAAAAATGCATTTTGGGGTAAAATTCATAAATGCTTGCTGTGACCACAAAAGTCTCGCAGCTCTCCTTTCAGTGCTCTGCTACAGCAGAGCTATCTGTCCAGCAGAGGGAGTACAAGTTCACTATCCAAATATCTTTTCCTTCTTGGTTTTGCCCCAGTTAGGGAATTAATGAATGCCCTTGAAAATAGGGATTGTGATTACGGAGCCAGAATAATGGTTCTTCCGCACAACTCTACCTACACAGTAACATTCTAACCCTCAACACCTTGGGTCTTCCATTTCTAAGCCTCTGCCAATCTCAGAGAAGAATGCTGCTGGATTATTCCTATGATGTGATGCGCAATCCAGGGTAATAGCATAAAGTCACCAGCCTGTTTCACAGACTTTATAGACTTTGCACTGTTCTCCATATGGGAAGGCTGGTGTTAGCCTTTGGTGAGAATGGTCAACCACTGCTTGCTGCATTCACTGTGCAAGAAGTGCTTTGAGGCATTGTCAGTGATGTTTGACAGTCCCCTACCACTTCGGCTTATGGTCCCCTGAGAAACAGAGGACAAAAAATCCTTCTGTTCACATGCTTGGTGTCAGGAAAATGAGCAGCATAAAGTTAATTCTGTCCTCTTGCACAGCCTATTGTGCTGTATACTGGAGTTGTGATTTCAGACGGTATGGACGAGGGCAAGTTGGTGATGGTATCTAACACCTTTTTCTCCCTGGGGTAAACTAAAATGTGAAACTTTATTTGTAAGTCAAAATCTCTTCATGGAGTGTAGTATTGGGCACTGAGAGAATCACTAGTTAAGAATTGTGAAACCTGAATCCCAAACTGCTCTGGCTAAATAACTTGTTCTGTGGTATGTACTGGTTACAGTACTGCCTCTGACTATGTGTCTTATTATGAAAACCTAAATGTTTTTAATAAAGCTTCTGAAGTGCTAGTATACTAATGTACCTTTAGATGGAGCTATCAGCTACTGTACTGGCTGTAACACTTAATGAAATGCTAGGTGTTCATAGCACAAATGATTTCACAGCCTCACCTAAGCAATGGGTTTAGTGCCATGGTGATTGTGTGTTTTCCCTTCCCAAAATCCTTGGAGGAGGTGACAAAGGGGGGGGGTTGATGGTTGCAGAAGTATTACATTCGACATTTTCCCCTATGTGTAGAACATTGCTCCTTATCCAGATGGATAGCTCTTGAGTGCAAGACCCCTTCTTTTTCCCATCTTCAGCCCTTAGCAGTGAATACTTTGCTCCTGCAGAAATCCCCTCTAGAGCTGGGAGATAAATGGGGAAGAATCACAAATTTCTGGTTTCTTTTCCCCTCCACACACTATTGTTTTTCATAGAAATTTGAACCTTTTCCCAGTTCTACTCCTGTTCTTTGCAGGTATAGGGAGTGTGGGAGACTGGGACACAGAAGCAAAAATGTAAGGCGTGCTTGTAGTGGTCTGGTGAATATTCTATGCATGAATTGCCCTAGAAATCAAAGGGAGAGCAGGTAGTGTAAGGAATTTTGAGAGAGGCTCCTCTAGGACATGACGTAACATATTTCTGATTTTTTCCCTGACATACTTTCGTTTACTGAAGTTCTTTGAAGAAGAATATTCTGTGAGAACTTTGGGGATCTGTGTTCTATTCCCAGCTCAACCACAGACTTAGTGTGTCCTTGATGAGTCATTTAATCTCCTTGTGCTTCAGTTTCTCATGTATAAAATGTGGTTGGCACTTGAGTTGCTGAGAGATTATCCTGGTGAATACTACAGAGAAGCCTATAAATAAATATCTGTGACTTTGTGGATGAACCCATATTTTAAAACAATGTTAAACTCTAGGAAATACAGAGCTGCAGAAGTTGGAGATGGAAAAGGTCTATGAAGTCTATTTCCTCTTCTCTTCTAGTGCAGGATCATTCTTAACTGTCCCATACAGTTTTTAATATTTCAGGTGATGGGACTTCCTCTGTTTATCTTGGAAGACCATGCCACAGTCTAATAGATCTCACTCTTACGATAGGTTTCAGAGTAGCAGCCGTGTTAGTCTGTATCCGCAAAAAGAAAAGGAGTACTTGTGGCACCTTAGAGATTAACAAATATATTTGAGCATAAGCTTTCGTGAGCTACAACTCACTTCGTCGGATATCATCGCCTTATGATAGGGTTCCTTATTCTTGCCTGTGTAAGCGTCTGTATCATTGAAATGCCAATTGGTGAGGTGGAACTTCCCACACACATTACAATGGGAGTCTGACATAAACTTTGTGGGGTGTTTTTTTTTTTTTTTTTTTTTTACTTTTCCAGGAAAAGAACGCTCAGTTGCTGGGGACAGCACAACAGTTATTCACCCACTGCCAGGCACAGAAAGAGGAAATTAAACGGCTCTTTCAGCAAAAGCTCGATGAGGTATGGTTTGGCCTGGAGGAAATGGACTAAAAATGAATGTTTGCAGATAAATATTCTTTCTGGAAATTAATAATCCAACACTCTTGAAGTTTTGCTCTGGTTTCGACATCTTGTCTCCTTCCTGCAGGTGGCTGTCCAATGGAATGTATTTCCTTCTCTTGTCCAGTCCATCACTGTTGCTTAAGTTGTAGCTTACCAGTCCCACCACCATGTCTTGATCCCAGAAGAGGTGTTAGTGACAGTCCTCAGGGCTGATTTTCCATTAAGTAACCAAGGAGCACGCAGAAAGTACATTCATTTCCCCTAGTTGAGTAGACTTGCCAAGTCTGCCTAATCTTTCTCCAGAAAGTGCACGCCTGCACTTGGGCGATTCACAGGCTTTGTGTTGGCGTTATGTCACTACACCATTTTATTTGTGGATTTATGACCCTGTGCTCCAGCCACTTCTGCTTATGAAGGGGGAGAACAGAACATGCTTGGAAATTGAACAAAGGGATCAAATACAAATATCTTGCCACCCCAGAAGCAGTGATTTCATTCACCCGCAGCATAAAGATTGACAAAGTGATTGACAGTGGTGGGATTAAATCAGTAACTACACCCAAACCAGGCTAAACCGCCCTTACGCACAACATAGTCCTTGCTGCGCTGCTCAGCAGAGTCCTCAAAGCTTCATTGAATTGGTGCTGTGATTAAGCCCCTGGACTGCAAGAGTTCTGGGTTCAGTTCCTTGTTCGGTCAGACTGTGAGAGACCTAGGGCAAGTCATGTGATCTCTGGGACAGCATTTCTTCCACCTGCTGTCAGTCTTGTCTGCTTAGCCTGTGAACTCTTTGGGCTAGTCTAGAACTGTCAGGCCTTGACCTCATTTGGGGAGTCTTTGTGCTCCTCTGGTACTACCAATAACGTTGGGTGGCACAGAAATAATAGAACAGCTAGCCATATTTACCCACCACTTTTCATCTGTAGTGCTCTGTGTCTTGCAAAAGAGCTCAGCATTGTTGCCATTTCACAGATGGGGAAACTGAGGCACGGTAGCTTCCTATTTGCCTATAGTGGCTCTAAAAAGCATGGGGGAGGGTACAGTGGGACAAACTGGTGGGTACCACACCAGCTTGACAAATGCAGATAGGTCAAATGAAAGTTCAGAGGCCTACAAAGAAGCATGCTGCTTCACTGCATGAACAGGTGATCATATGGTCCAACTAGGGGTCAACTCCTGGTTTGTATTCCCAGCTTTGCCAGTGACTTGCTTGTGACTGCACAAGGTATCTCGCGTCTCTGCCTCAGTTACCCATCTGTAAAGTGGGAATGATGATGGTGATACACTGCCTCTCTGAAGCGTTGGGAAGTTTTAATAACAACTGTAAAAGTGGTGTGACTCCCCTAAAGACGGGCAATATAGAAATGTGAAATATTATTACTGTATGTGTGTGCCGACTCTGAAATTGGAATCCTGAGTCCCATTTGAATCTGATCCTTTCTCCCCCTCATCCTGTAGTTGGGAGTTAAGGCTCTGACATATAATGACCTGATTCAGGCTCAGAAAGAGATCTCTGCTCACAACCAGCAGCTGAAGGAACAGACAAAGCAGCTGGAGAAAGATAACAGTGAACTCAGGAACCAGAGCTTGCAGCTGGTACGTACTGTGCTTCCATATGACGAGCAATGTGTGAGCCAAGTGATGGCCATTTTATATATAGAAGGCAGGTCATGAATTGCTGTTTTCCCTTTTATATCTTAATGAGAACAAAAACTGAATGGAAATCTTCATTCCTCTAGAGCCTAGAAGAATGTTGTCCATGCAAAGAATGCTACACTGGTGATGGGAAGAGCTTGTGTGTCCAGTTCTTGTGCTCACTGTCTGGTTTCTGTGCTATCTGTGGCATTCCTCTAGTCCTAGACCTTTTGGCTTCTGAAAACAGTCACCGGTTGCTTTCTTTTCTTTCTCTTACTACTTAGTCAAGATGCATTTCAAAAGAATGAATCTTGATCCAAAGGGTGGGGTGGGTGGTCCATTCTCACAGACGACTTAATTGAAATCCAGAAGTTTTCTGAAGTGACAGCTGATTTGGGTGGCCCCAACCTCGTCCACAGTACGCAGCTGTGCAGACAGGCTCTGCGCATATGGGATAGCAGTTTGAAGTGGAGGTGATAGAACACCATGGACAAGAAGTTTGCCCAGGGCTCGCTTGGCTGTAGCTGTCATTTATATATCCGTCACTTTCAGCAGTTCGCACAGTTAATATTAGGGTGGTGGAGAAGCTGTATGCAGAAACATTTAGGGATGTTGAGTAATGTTAGCCTTATAAGCCCCAACTCCAGCTGCTTACATAGGGATTGGAAACCAATTTTTCTGTAAAGCTGCAGTGTTTGCCTTGAATTGAGAGCTAGTTCTCAGTATGATAGAAGTTTCCCTTCAAATTTCAGTGGAAAGGAGGATGGGATTCTGCCCTGCTCTATTGATAGTTTGGAATTGTGAAACATGCCACTGACCAAGCCTTTAATGCACTTGCAGCTTAAAGCACGATGTGAAGAACTGAAGTTGGATTGGTCAACGCTGTCATTGGAGAGCTTACTGAAGGAAAAGCAGGCACTGAAGAATCAGATTTCTGAGAAACAAAAGCACTGTTTGGAATTGCAGGTAGAACCACGAGCAAATTTAGTGCCACTAGCTTGTAGTAGTATTCAGCCAGTATTCCAGTTAGGGCACATGTTCGTCTTTTTGCATTACGTGACATTGGAACATAAACCTGCTGCCATGGTAGTAGTATGACAAAATGATTAGAAGGTGGGTTGATAAAACTAGGAAGACCAAAGCTGCAGATAATCTTTCAGGTATACAAAGGGCAAATAATGGAAGTTTGCTTGGCCTCCAGTATTGCTCTGAGCTTCTGAACCTGAGCATCGGTTTATCAGTTTTTCTCCGTGTCCTTAAAATGCTTTGTCTAGTGAAAAGGAAGGTCCTATTGGTTTTGTTCTATTTCGTTCTGTTGCTCCTATATTGTATCTCCTGTGTGTGTCTCATGTCAGACATCACTTCCCATAGAAATATCTTGCCAAGAGGACTTTTCTTTTCACAGTGGGGTTGGTTCTCTTGGCTTCTCATAAGAAGTGGTAACCCAGTCCAAATGTGTTATCGGGCACATGGTTGGATACTCTTAGTATGGGGTGTGATTTCCCCCCACCCCCACCATCCAATTTAAATCTGACTTTTTACAGACTCTTTATTGGAAATTGTCTGACATGCTCTAGAAGATGTTCCCTAGTAGTCTGTTTGAACATTCTTTTTTCTACCTGTACCTTTGTTTCACAAATCCAGAGCGGTGTATTGAAATTTGTTTTTTAAATCATAGATTGTTTGCTTTGAGTTATCACCAAAAAAGGGGACACTTTTTCTGAGAAGCGTCTGGAAGGGAAAACTCCAAAATGTGGTATAATTCTTAGGTACAGTCTTTAATCTTTGTCCTCCTCTTCATTTAAAGATCAGCATTGTGGAGCTTGAGAAAAGTCAAAGGCAGCAGGAGCTCATGCAGCTGAAATCGTATATGCCTCCTGATGAGTCTCTGTCGGTACAACTACGCAATAAAAACCGTTTAAGCCGTGAGCCCGAGGCCGATCATGGCAGATTCCAACTTGAGCTTGAGTGCTCTAAATTTCCTATGCCCCACATCAATGGCATGAGCCCTGAACTGTCCATGAATGGCCATGCTACTCCCTATGAAATTCATAATGCTCTTAGCAGGCCCTCTTCCAAGCAGAACACCCCTCAATACATGACCTCTCACCTGGACCAAGAAATAATTCCTTGCACCCCAAACCACAGCAGCAGACAGAAGGTGGACAAGACAGCAGGCTTGTCCTTACCTGATTACACCAGGTTTTCCCCAGCTAAGATAGCCCTAAGGAGACACTTGAATCAGGACCATGCAGTCAATGGAAAAGCAACAACTAATGAGATACACCAGAGGTGAGAGTGGTTAGTTCCTGTGTTGGGAAATGAGGTGTGGTAATGCTTGTCGTGTTGCTGGTAATATACCTAGACAGTAGAAGAAAACAGAATCTCTGCCTAGACTTTAGTGTGGTAAAGCTTGGTGGCATAGTCATTTAACTGTAAGCCAGTATATCCAGCAATGCCAGTTGATCAGGTAAGCAAGGCAATAATGCCTTGAGTTTGTAATAGGAATTCATTTTGGACGAAGGGCATTAGAAGGAAAAAGCTGACGTGTACATCTTTGTTCCAGAGCTGACCATGTAAAAGAGAATGGCCTTACATATCCAAGCCCTGGCATTTCAAATGGCATAAAGCTGAGCCCTCAGGAAACTCGGCCCTCTTCCCCAGCGGCCTTACCCATTGCAGGCGAGAAGGTAAGGAAAGCGTTGGCTTCCCTGCACAGAGCTGTCAACAGAAATGATGCTTCTTACAGAGCAAAGAAATAAAAGCTCTAGGCTAGATGGTGTGGACTCAGCCCTTTCTATGGCTACCAGAGAGGATGAACTCAGCATTGGGTGTAACATGAAATGGAAGATGTCAAAAGAAGGAACTGGATGGTGGAGAGAGTCTGGTTATGAACTAGGCTGGTGCCTTTCACTGAACTCTGTAAAATGAGTAGGTGGTTTTGCTCTAGTTCACTTAACCAGTCTCTGCTGGGTGTTGGCCTCAGCAGAGAGGCTGAGGAGAGAATGTACCATGGCGTGTCAACTATGCTCTCCCATGGAGAGGTGCCCGTTCTGGAGCAGGGTAGAGGCACGCGAGCGGGTGGCAGTGATGATTGCACTGCTGCTGCCTGCTCTGTGTCTGCTCTGTGGATAGAGGGCTTCTGCCTACAGATTTGTTGGACAAACACCTTTCACCAGCAGCAAATCAATGGTTACGTTTCTCATTGATGTAAATGTTGAGAAATAAGAGGCTGTGAATCCCCAAGCACAGGTAAGGATGTGAGGAAACAAGCTTTCGTAAACTCCCTCCCTCTCCCCCTTGAGGCCCACATCAGAGCCTTCCTGTCCAAGGTGATCTGGTTCAGATTCCTTAGGAAACCGCTGTTCGTCTATGGTCGCAGTGGGTTGTTGGCTGAACTGATGTGCTGTCAATTTGCAACACATTCAAACTTCCCAAACACCCTTTTCTCGTATATAACATGCTGCCTGATGGGAAAAAATACAACAGCAAAGTGCCTGGGGAAAAATGCACACAGCTTATTTGTATATAAAAACGTCAACATGTGCAGAGAAGTAGCAGGGTTTGATCGTCGTTGGGGGAAACTCACTAGTGAGTAACAAGCCCCCTTTGAAACAGGCTGCCTTTGTGTTCGCAGGTTTTGCGAGAGAGGACTTCTGCGAGTAATGGAGAAACTATCACCAGTCTACCTATCAGTATTCCTCTCAGCACGGTGCAGCCCAATAAACTCCCTGTTAGTATCCCTCTGGCCAGCGTAGTCCTACCTAGCCGTGTTGAGAAGGTGGTGAGTAAGGGATTGTCAACACTTTCCATCCCTAACTAAAAACCAAACTGGGGAATAGTCATATACCGTGCACCAGAATCCTGGCTGGGACGTTGAGCTAGAATACCCTTGCTGCTTTTGGAGTGGCTGCTGACGCTGTCTCTCTACCTGGATCTTGGACAGTTATTTTCCTAGAGTATGTTAGACCAGCATGTGTCCTGGACAGGGTGGGAGATGAAGTTCCTGCACCAAACAACTTAGTTCTGAATCTATGGCATGCTGGAGGGGCAGGCATAGTCTAATGGGTAGGACATGGGCCTATGAGTGAGGAATCCCAAGTGCTAATTTCAGCTCCGCCACTGATTTCCTAGGTGACACCGGGCAAATGAAGGTCTGTCTTGGTTTGCTCATTGGTATAATGGGGCTACCTTGTGTGGGTGCTGAGGTTGAGTTTGCACGGTGTTTTGAAATTGTCACACTCCAAGCATGAGCTGTTGCAGTGGTGTTGACTTTTCAGCTTTCACAACTGGAAATGTTTTGGGACTCTTTTTTTGTGATCTCAGCAGACCCTTATGCTGGTGTGTGTTCCCAAGGGGAAGAGCATGAAAAGGACAGTGGGGGAGGGAGGATCAGTGCTTGACAGAGCAGGGATGTAAGGCATCCAGTTCCCACCAGTGCTTCTGCCAAAGGGGATTCCAGTAGATTACTAAGGAGCATTCACTACCTTTCTGTGGGAAGCATGGATTTGGAATCTAACTGGATGGTAGTGGAGGAAAGAGGAGGGTTAATGACTCCCTTCTCAGCCCATTGAACCATCTCAGACTGGCTGGATGCTTCCCAGTTTGTGACCACCAGTGTGGTGTTTGAGTCCCCTCCAGCAGATCACCAGTACAGCCTTGTGCAGCAACATACAATTGGACATAAACTTCCCCCTGTAGCCCGCTTTCCGTCATGGGAGAGGGAAAGATCTCTCCAGCCTGAGATCATGTATCCCATGGCTTCTGCCAGCCTCCCCCTTGTACTTCCTTCATGTCCTTTAATTGTTCCTAGTTGATGGGTTGATTGCTCTTATTAGCTCAACAGCCTCCTGCCTAATTAAGCCATTAAGCACCCATCCCCCCAATTAAATCCATTCGGGGGCAGGGAGGAGAGCTAGTATCTTAGGGGCCAGAGTGCTGGGTCTGCTCTAGCACTCTTTTACAGGGGGTTCTTTCTTTGATGAACTAAATAAGGGATCATTAGACAGATGCCACAGCGAGCTGCAGTTGGAGGGTATTGTAGTCTGACTCCCCATGTTCCTTCTCGCAGCAAAAGGCCTTGCAGTTGTGTTGGAGAGCCCCTGTTGTCTTAGTTCCAGGCAGATACATCTCTTAAAATGGAGGAAGGTGGCATCGGTATAGAATTACATTGCTGCCCTTGGGAGTTAGTGCCTTCTTTGGGAAATATCCCTTGCTGAAAGCTGGTTTTGCAAAGGGAGAGCTCGATTCTGAAGTCTGTGAGCACCTGCAATGTGTGCGTACATGCACTGGGGCAGATCCTCAGCTGGTGTAGTGTGGGATAGTTCCATAGAACTCAGTGGGCCTATGCTGACTTGTATCAGGTGGGAATCTGGTGCTCTCTTTAGTGTTCCTGATGGCTTATTCATTATGGATGCATTCTGAGAACAGAAATACTCGGGATGACACCAGGCCTTCAGTCTGTGTGCACGTCTCACTGATTTCAGGGGAGCTGTGTGTATGAACTGAGGGTGCGATAAAGCTCTTTGTTTCTTTTCCCATCTACACTAAAACTACGGTTCGAGGGATCTCATTACCACACAGTTGTCTTGAGTCAAAGGCAGAGGGACCCTCTTTGATGTGTTTGTACAGCCACTACCACATTGGGATCTGGTCCATGACACGGGCTGGTAGATGCGAACTCAATATAAATAATAAAAGTTGTAGTGTAGATGGGATCTAACTGTGTCCCGTAACTGGGCTAACCCTTGAATAGAACAAACCTCTAACCCAGTGGTGGAACGCTCTTAGGTCATGTCTAACCAATCACTATTAACTATGATGTAGCTGCAGTGGGTTTGTCCCCTAATCTAAACAGATCTGTGGCTTGGTTATAGCTGCAGGCATTGATGGGACCAAAGAGTAAACCCTTGTACACATTGTTGAGTTAAGCCTTTGTTCCTCAAAGGAGAGGAGTCACTTCCGTCCCTTTCCTCTCTCTGGTTTGTGAGCACAGGTTACAGGCTTGTCTAACATCTGAGTTTAGTCTGGGACCCTGGGAACCCTGTCAAACCAAGCACTTCCTTGTGCTTTTGGAAAATGTGGCATTGTATGTGAAACCAGCAATTCTAGAAACAAGCTACAACACAGTAGCAGGAATGCTACCGAGGCTCTGGAATTACTGCAGGACTCTAATTTGCGCACCAATACATTCCTAGCTATATGAGGTCGGAGACGGTAATTTTTATTCCAGGTGCCAGATTTTTTTTGGTGGGGAGCGGAATATTCCTTGTGCATGGACAATGACGCTTCAGGAGACGATCAGATGAAGCCCCTGGGATCCTACAGTGCAGTCCCCAGGGCCTGGCTCTCACTGCTAATACAGAAGGTGTCGTCTGCAGAGAGGTCATGTCCCAGCATGCCGTGATGCGTTGTGGTGGGAAGATTGTTACATGCTGGGACATGACGTCTCTGCAGGCTACATGAAACTAGATGCAGCGAGTTGCCAATGCAGCCCTTGGTTTGGGCAGCCTGGAGTTAAACTGCAATTTTCTGAAAATAGACAAAGCCTAGAAGGTTTAGGGAATCCAGAGGGATTTAAAGCCACAAACCTACGAACGCCCATGAGTTCTGTTAAATGAACGGCTATTGAACAAACTTTCTGGACTGAAGTGCCTGTGTTTTTTCGCCTCCTCCAGAGAAGCACACCTAGTCCAGTTCATCAGAATCGAGACTCGTCGTCAACACTTGAAAAACAGTATGGTGCTAGTTCTCATAATGGCGTAAGCAATGCTGCTGGAAATAAGTCACTGGCTTTGGCTACCTCAGGTAATGAACTCCTCTCTACGGAGCCTCCATGTCTCTTAGCAATAACTCTCGTCATTATGTGTGTTTGAGCTTTTGGGCACTTGGGATTGAGAGCCCCTGGTGCTGCAGAGAGCTGGATGTATGGTGCAGTTTCATATCAAGAGATTGAATGTTCCTGGGTTAAGGAGAAGGACCTGGATTGGGGGTGTATGTAGTAGGGCTGAAAAAACACAGAGAAGGGAAGGGTCATTCATTAGTGAAAACATATGAGTGTGGCAGTTCAGACAAAAGAATCACAAACCAAGATGGGCAGTGTGTTCCCGTTGGTCAGTCTTGACCACCTAGTGCGAGAAGTCCCCCTTAGGCTCTCTTCCAGCATCTGTATAGATTGAATTTACTCACATCCAACTGCTTGCCCGTGTGTGGCCCCTCTTATCCTCCCGATTCTCCTAGCTGCAGTTGCTGTGTGGAATGCTGGCAGACCATTGCCTCTAGCTCTTCCTCTCATCAGCACAAATAAAGGATGGAACAGATGGTCTCCCCACCCTTGGGGAAATCCTACCTCCAGCTGTACTGCTATGGTGGATCCTGTTGCTCCCCAGTAATCTGAGCACATTCCCAAAGGGAACCCTGGCACAAAGAGAAATGAGTCAGGCCTTTTTCAGTAGTCTGGAAAGGCAGCTGTTGACTTTGTGTCTGCCACTCTCAACAACAGGGAGCTTAGCAAACCCACTGCTCTCCTACACTCCATTCAAGGGGCAGGAGCCGTTTCCCAAAAAAGCACCCAGAGACGCTTTATTCAGGCTTCTTAGGACTAGTGAGTGCCTCTTCAGCATAGCCTGCAGGAAGCACTCTTCCACAGCTGTATCCTCATCAGACTTGCACTGTCATTCTTCCTCAGTGCTCCCCACCCTCAGGGGCTTTGTGTGATTAACATCCTTTCAGCAGATAAGGGTTGAAGGAAGCTCACTCTGAAGCCAATTATAGTCAGTGCTGTAGAGTAACATTGGGTTCCCAGATCCCCTTAGTCCCAACTATCCCAGGAAAGAAGGCCTTATCTAAATTCCATTCATGATGCATTGCTGCAGATACTTACTGAACTTCATTACTTCCCTTTTCCTCAACTCCCACATGGGTTCCTTCAGTCCCCTGACTTCCTGAAGTTTTCCACAGTTTTCTCCCTGCTTCCTTTTGGTTTGAGCTATGGGATGGGGCTAGGTGTGCAGATGACAGCCTCTTTGGAAGGAAACTTGTGGTTGGCTGGAGCAGAGAGATTCTTGGGTTCTAATCCAAGGTGAGCATTTTATCCTGAGAAGGCACTTGAGCTGTGACAAAGGTTGGGTTAAAGGCAGGACACTTGCATGTTATGTATGAACTTTTGTGAGTCCGTAAAAGGGAGCAGAGTGAACTGACAGATCTAACTTAATTCACCAATGCATGCAGCTATGTTCTTGGCTTCACTGTATGATGGGCAGCCTTGCAGAGTTCAGTACATGGTATTATGCAGATGACTAGGAGTTATTGCTTTCCCAGAATTGCCAGTTAGGATAGTTGAACACTCAGACATATCCCAGAAATTTAGCACTGGCAGGTATACATCATTGCTTTTATTGAGTGAGACTTTCCCTTTCCACAGGTTTTTCATATTCTTCTGGCTCCATGGCAGTTAATGGAACACTTTCAAACAGCCCAGCCCACCTTAACCATAGTGTTGATCAGGCATCTGTGGACGACCCCGGGAGTTTGTTTAACTCAGTAGGGTCTCGGAGCTCCACTCCACAATACCCTTCTTTGCTAATGATGCAGTCACGGAACTCTGGGCAGAACTCCCCGGCTCACCAGCACTCAGCAAGCCCCAAGTTAAATGGTGCCTCTCAGAGCATGGTAGGGGTTCTGCAGTATGTGGATGCTCAGAAGATGTTTACCGAAGGAACAAAGGGGGAACTTCAGCCTGATGCCGCCTTTTCAGATCCTGAGAACGAGGCCAAGAGAAGAATCATCTTCACAATCTCTCCTAGTACAGGAAGTGTAAAACAGTCTCCTTCTAACAAGCACAGTCCCCTGACTGCAAGCATTCGGATGGACTGTGGCCAAGCATACATGCAGGATGGGAAGAAACGAGGTCGAAGGAAGAGATCCTCCACTGGGAATCTAAACATGAACTCTGGGGTGTCCCCTAAACGCAAATCCTTACCAACTGTGGCTGGACTCTTTGCTCAGCCTTCAGGCTCACCGCTTAATATAAACTCAATGGTAAGGAAAAGAATGGTGGGAGTTACGGCTAAGTGTAGGTATGTTTGGCATGTCAGTACTGTACATTGTTACAATTTTGGCGTTCTGGACTATGGCATAAAAACCAATGTGAACATGTTCCTCTAAGAGCCAACAGGTTGTTGAAAGTTACAATGATCAATTTAGATGTAGTTACAGAATCTTCTAAGTCCTCTTACCTTCCCCTCAAAAAATTCTATTAAGTATTAAACAGAATCTTTAACAAAATAATTCTGATTCTCCAAGTGATCGTGAAACATGTTTGCTTTTTGTGAAATCAGAATTTTACCCCGTCTAAAATACATTCATTAAGTGACTTGAGTGCTTATGTCCCATTGACTTTAAGCAAATACTATTCAGTAAGTGTTATCTTAAAACACACAGCAGATGTTTCTAATGAAGACCTGTAGGTTGTATTCGTCATGGCATCAGAAATTGATATTTGAGGTGAAATGTTCTTTCCCTTTTTTCATGCATTTAACTGCCTAATTTTATCATCTTCAGGGTCAAGTATTCAGCCATGAAAGCTCAGAAAGGCAGCCAAACCTTGTGCAGGGATTTTAGGGTTGTGACACTGAAGGATAGCATGACTTTTGGTGTCAAACGCTAAGCTAGTCTTAAAGCTGAAAGCCAAGTGTGCGTGAATACTGTCTTATGAAGTTCTTTACTAAAAGAATATTTTCATCTTTAACATTTTTTTTCTTCCCACCCCAGGTCAATAACATTAATCAGCCTTTAGAAATAACGGCCATTTCCTCCCCTGAAAACTCCCTGAAGAACTCTCCTCTTCCCTACCAGGACAATGACCAGCCTCCAGTGTTGAAAAAAGAGAAGCCCCTGATTCAGACCAACGGCGTTCGTTACTCGCCACTGACTTCGGATGAAGAGCAGGGATCGGAAGATGAGCACAATAGCACCAGGTGAATATAACTCTGTCGATGTCCGGTTAGCAGCTTTATCTGATCTGAAGATAGGGTGACCAGATGTCCTGATTTTATAGGGACAGTCCCGATTTTTGGGTCTTTTTCTTATATAGGCTTCTTTTACCCTCCACCCCGTCCCGATTTTTCACATTTGCTTTCTGGTCACCCTATCTGAAGATGCAGCTTTCTAGGCCTGGTCTGTTAGTTCTCCAAGTACAAAGATCTATCTCATTAACTCATGCTGCTTGTCAGCCAGAGTTTGTTTTCAGCATTATATATATTGTGTACTTTAGTAGCTAACATCTCTTGATAAACTGTGAAGGTGTTGGAAAGCAGAATGAGCATAGGGAACCTACTCCTAGCTGGGTTTTTAATGCTTGCAGCGGGTGGCTTTGTTTGGAAGAATGAGCATAAACTTTGCAGGAGTGTTCACTTCAGCACCCTGACCAAGTCTTACCTTTTGGGTAATTTTTAGCTAAGAAAATTCCAACTTCCGTTTCAACTTGATACAGAGTTCTTCACTTCCTATTCCAAAGTGTTGTGTAATGTTGCTCTATGTTGTTAAACACCTGTCACGTTCTTCCCCATTTGTGGGTGTAGTAATTGCTCTGTGTGTATGTGAAGTACTTTAAGAGTAAAGGTGCTGTAAATCTGGCTGCCTGAGGAAGGAAAAAAGCAATGAAAAGTTCCATGAATAAGTATTCTTGGTATGTAGGTAAAATTCACAACCTCTGTTCAGAGTCTTTGGTAGCTTATTTCTTGGTAAGGATATATTCCACTAGTACAGTGGTTCTCAGCCAGGGCTACACATATCCCTGGGGGTACACACAGGTCTTCTAGGTATTTGCCTAGTCTTACAACAGTCTACATAAAAAGCACTAGCAAAGTCAGTACAAACTAAAATTTCATACACACAATGACTTGTTTATACTACTCTATATACTATACACTAAAAGAAAAGGAGGACTTGTGGTACTTTAGAGACTAACCAATTTATTTGAGCATAAGCTTTCGTGAGCTACAGCTCACTTCATTAGATGTATCCGATGAAGGTAGCTCACGAAAGCTTATGCTCAAATAAATTGGTTAGTCTCTAAGGTGCCACAAGTCCTCCTTTTCTTTTTGCGAATACAGACTAACATGGCTGCTACTCTGAAACCTATACTATACACTGAAATGCAAGTACAACGTTTATATTCGTTGATTTATTTTATAATTATAGGGTAAAAATGAGAAAGTAAGCAATTTTTCAGTAGTAGTGTGCTGTGACAGAATGTTGGGAATTGTTAAGAAAGGGACAGATAAGAAGACAGAAAATATCATATTGCCTGTATATAAATCCATGGTACACCCACATCTTGAATACTGCGTGCAGATGTGGTCGCCCCATCTCAAAAAAGATGTATTGCAGTTGGAAAAGGTTCAGAAAAGGTCAGTAAAAATTATAAGGGATATGGAATGGCTGCCGTATGAGGAGAGATTAAAAAGCCCTAGGACTTTCAGCTTGGAAAAGAGATGGCTAAGGGGAGATATGATAGAGGTCTATAAAATCATGATCGGTATGGAGAAAGTAAATAAGAAAGTTGTTGTTTACTCCTTCTCATAACACAAGAACTAGGGGTCACCAAATGAAATTAATAGGCATCAGGTTTAAGACAAACAAAAGGACATATTTTTTTTATACAGTGCACAGTCAACCTGTGGAACTCTTTGCCAGAGGATGTTGTGAAGGCCAAGACTATAACAGGGTTCAAAAAAGAACTAGATAAGTTCCTTGAGGCTAGGTCCATCAATGGCGATTGGGCAGGGATGGTGTCCCTAACCTCTGTTTGCCAGAAGCTGGGAATGGCGATGGGATGGATCACTTGATGATTACCTGCTCTGTTCATTCCCTCTGGGGCACCTGGCATTGGCCACTGCTGGAAGACAGGATACTGGGCTAGATGGACTTTTGGACTGACCCAATATGGCCGTTCTTATTTTTGTTTGATTATGTAAGCAACTAGTTTTTAAGTGAGGTGTAAGAACAAAGAGCAATGGTCTCAAGCTGCAGTGTGGGAGGTTTAGGTTGGATATTAAGAAAAACTTTTTCACTAGGAGGGTGGTGAAGCCCTGGAATGGGTTACCTAAGTAGGTGGTGGAATCTCCTTCCTTAGAGGTTTTTAAGGTCAGGCTTGACAAAGCCCTGGCTGGGATGATTTAGTTGGTGTTGGTCCTGCTTTGAGTAGGGGATTGGACTAGATGACCTCGTGAGGTCCCTTCCAACCCTGATATCTATGATTCTGTGTAACTTGGGGGTACGTCAGACAAATCAGACTCCTGAAATGGGTACAGTAGCCTGGAAAGGTTGAGAGACAATGCACTAGTAAATTTGCATTGTACATTTTTAAATTAGTTGGGCAGACACAGAAACACAAAAATCAAGAGGTATGTCATGGGGGTAACTCAGTAACAGCAAGACTTCAAGAAGCACTGTGTAAGTAATCTTTTTCTTTTCTACTAGAATTGAGAGGAAAATTGCAACGATATCATTGGAAAGCAAATCTCCACAGAAGGCTATTGAAAATGGTAAGTTTGGGGAATGTTAACCATCGAATGCATTGTGATGCCTGCTGCCCTGTAATTTTTAGACTGTCAATTGATAAGCAGGCTTCCTGGGAGAGAACTTGTGGCGTATAGCAGACATGCCTTTCAAAGCAGAGGTCTGTGCTAATACAGATCCTTAAGGGGATTGCCTTAATCACATTACAAACTTTGGGGCCATCTCTTTGTAGTTGGTTGCTTCAAAATCCCTTTTAAATTTATGGGCACAGGTTGTAGTCCTGACTCTTGACACCTGGGATAAAACTATGGGTGGAATAAAGCATTTTAGAGGGTTTTACTTTTTTCCTAGACAAGGATGCCTGGCCAGTTTTTGGCTAGGTGTGTGTCTGATTTGAAGGCTGATGTAATCTGCTCTTCCAATAGCCTAATCAGTCCTTTGAGATGCATTTAACTAGGGTCATAAAGGGATTAATAGCTGCTGTGAACTTTCTCCCTGTGTGTTCAGAAAGGAGAATCAACTATTAAAATGAGTAAATTGTTGGACAGATTGTGCTTATTGAAGGTTAAATGAATTGTTCATTGATGCATGCAACCCTTCTTCCAAACTAGGTGGCAGTTTAGCTGGGAGGAGACAAGCACAAACCAGTGAGAACATGAATAGCAGTAAATGGAAGTCTACCTTTTCACCAATTTCTGACATCAACCTGACCAAAACTACAGATAGCCCATTGCAGGCTGTTTCATCTCTGAGCCAGAATTCCCTGTTTGCCTTTAGGCCGTCCTCTGAGGATGGCATGGCCATCGATGCCAAACTTGCAGCACACACAAGGAAAAACATCACCATGTCCTCCTCTGGGATGGACGGACTCAGCCCCAATACAAACTCCGTTAATGGATCCATGTATAACGGTGGACTGACCACAGACATCGGTTTACACAGCTTTATTGATGGTGCTTCTCTTCCTCATAAGACTTCAGATGTGACGACCCTCAACTCCTCTCTGGGTTTTCAGTCACAGAGGAGCAAAGATGTGGGGATTATGGAGACAAACCCCTTTTTGAACAAGAGGCAGCTTGAAGGCCTAGGCAGCATGAAAGGAGAAGACTTAAACCGGTCAGGAGTCAAAAGTAAAGAGATCAGTGAATTAACCATTCGTCCAGGGGCTTCTTCTGAAAAAGGTTCCTTGCAGCACAATGGCAAGGTCGGCAAAGGACGGGACCGTGATGTGGAGTTTAAAAATGGCCACAACCTTTTCATTTCTGCTGCTGCTGTATCTTCTGGTGGCCTTCTTAATGGCAAAAGCCTTTCCACTGGTGTCTCATCTGCAGGCAACCCAGCACCTTCTGTTCAGACGCACCATCCTTTCTTAAACACATTGACCACTGCATCGCAGTTCCCCCTGGGCCCCATGGCTTTGCAGGCAAACCTCAACTCGGTCACAAACTCCTCAGTATTGCAGTCCTTATTTAATTCAATGCCAGCTGCTGCCAGTCTGGTCCACGTGTCATCAGCTGCAACCAGACTGACTAACTCTCATGCTATGGGGAACTTCTCTCCTGGGGTTACAGGTGGAACAGTTGGAGGTAGGCAGAACTTTGTTTCTCTGGTATAAGGGCAAGGCTAGAGGAAAGTGTGGCTGTGTTTCTCTCCAGGTACAAAACCATTTCACTTCTGCAGGAGGTGGAGCAGCTCTACCTTGGATTGACTCTGTCCTGCATCTCTCACGACTGATAGAATAATCAGCTTTCTTTCTGCTAGATGAACGTAGAACTAAGATTAAAGGAAATGGGAATGCACCTAGATGTTCTGATTTCATAACACGCGGTTGCGTCAGTTGTCACTATGCTGGAACTAGTTTAGGTCTCCCTGCAGGTCTAAAGGTTTAACGTGCCGTGCTGCCCTCTCTGAATAGTTAAGGATATCTGACTTGTCAGCTTCAGTGAAGGTTGAGATTAGGACATAAGATTCTTTCTCCCTCTTCCTTGTTTGTGCTGAATATCTGTATCCTTTTCAGATGAGAAGCTGATGGGATTTGTGTAGGATTCTGCTGGCTCTTGAACTGAGACTGATAAGAGTGTGTTTCTGGGCCAGGAATGGCAAATGCCATGTGGACCTCTAGCATTCTGTGCTGCTGTTCTCATGAGACAAACTAGTGGAAGCAGATAGGAAAGAATCTTCCTTTAACCCTGTAGTATTGGCAGGTTCAGACAGGTCCTGCCCATAATCATTCATGCACCATGTTGGGAAATCCTAACTCTCACCTCTTAGCGTTTTAGATTTGCTGGATATTCACTCTCTGGCTTTGCAGCCTTGTAAGTGGGTAAGCAGGAGGGAACAGCAGTCATTTGAGTCTTCAGGTAAAGAACTCTAGTGCCTGGATAATCTCATCAAAAGCTTACCCATGTGGCGTAGAATTAAAAGGTCTGCTTTCTCTTGGGTCTGGCCATTGTTCCCCATGGCATTTACAGGCTGGCAGTAGGAAGGTAAGTGACTCTTGGACTTCCTGGCCTGCACCATTATCTCTCATTGCTTGCTGCTATTTCATGCTGCGTATTTTGTATGGGGCTGTAACTGCTATAATTTTGCTTTTTTTGGCTTTTTGTTGGTTTCTCTTGTCACTTGTGACTGTACAAAGCCCATCTGCTGAAGCTGAGTTTCTTTCTCCTGTTTGCAGGTATTTTTAACCATGCGGTGCCTTCTGCCTCCTCTTCTCATCAGTTTGGAGCCAGTTTCAGCAGCAGTGCTGTTTCTAGCAGCACAATGCTAAGCTTAAACCCTCTGCAGGCTGTTGCCAGCACCTCATCCTTCCAGTCCCCCTCCTCTAGCTTAGTAACGTCCAGTGAGAACAGAGCACCAGTACAAGCTGTTTTTCATACCCCTGCTCCCCCCCCTCCTAATGTTTCATTGCCCCCCCCTCCTCCATTACTCGCTTCTCACTCTGAGCCTGCGCTCCTGCAGAACTTGCCGTCCATCCCAGCTAATGATGCTTTCTTACCATCCTCTTCTGCTGCTTCTGTCCAATCCGCTAACGCTGCTCTGTCTCTGAAGCTAGCTTCTCTTCAGCACAAAACTTCCCGTCCCTCCTTTACAGTCCATCACCCACCTCTGCCCCGTTTGGCGTTGGCACAGACCGCGCCCACGATCCCGCAGCCCAACGCCACCGGCGCGTCCGCTATGTGGGTTACACTTGGCATGCAGTCTCCTTACGCTTCGCACCTTTCTGGGGTTAAGCCACGATAAAGAGCTTGCTTAGCTAACAGTTCTTATTTTGTAAGGTAAGGCTAGAGAAAACAGGAGGTTTGTACAAGATACTAAATGACCTTCCTTTCCTTTTCAGCCATCAGCCCATAACTGAGCTTGGAAGCGGGGTGGGGACAGGTTCTTTGACTTAGAGATCCCAATAAAATTTGGAGAGCAGGTAATCTCCAGGCCTCAGTTTTGGGAGTCAGGACTTCTCGACACACTGAGTGCCCATGCTGTAACTCACCTGGTATCCAGGAACGTTGTGGTCAGGCCGGGGGAGCTGCAATGGCCCATTTACGTTATTTGAAGCAACGTTTCCTGTAGTACCATGGCTTGAATACTTTAGAATATGTGCCGCTTTGAGAGCATGAGAAAAATTAGGAAGAGAAGCTGATTGTTCATCTTTTCCAAGCATCTGACTTGAGCTACAGCCCTTCAGGGTTTTGCTGCCCACTCTGCGTTTTGCAGGGTTATCTCCCTCACAACAGGGTGTGCTCCCGTGCAGGTCGGCATGTCATTACCTTGCATGCTGTTGCTGCTTTGACAGTAGGTGGCAGCGTGGTGACGGTTTTGTGGCATCATACCAAATTTGCCCTCTATGGGTAACAAAGGAGAACTCTAGGCCATAGGCTACAACCCTTTCCCCCCCCCCCACCCCCTCTTGGAAACAACTGAATAAGGATGATCTAGTGGAGGGTTGCAGATACTGTGAGCCTAAGCAGAGTGCTGTGGAAAGTGGAGTTACAAAAGCAGCCTGGTGACTCATGTCTGCCTCATAGTGGCAACCTGATCTAATAATTCTCTGTATAATCTGCCTGTGATTATCATTTGAATTAGATAAGAATAAAGCGGGAAGTCTGCTTCCTGTCCCTGATAGGTAAAGCACGAACAGATTGCATCAGCCATTGGGCTGTTGCCTGCCTTGGCAGTCTTGGGCTTGCTAGATTGACTATGCTAGGTTAGTTAGTGGAATACCCTGTGCTAAAATCTAGCCCAAGCTAAGTAAGGAATGAGGCTGTGGAAGAGAGAAAAACTCTGGAAGGTGTGTGCAAGCATGCATAACAGTAAAGCAAGTGTCAAAGAATCTTTCAGAGCAGCTGCAGAATGATATGCACAACCAGAAAGTCTCATATTGTCCTTATGAAAACCTTTGCTTTTATAATGCAGTTCAGGATTGCCTAGTTAAGCCCTCCTGCAGGTCCTTGATGCTGCTGCTATCCTCTGATACAGAAGTACATCGAGTAGAGCAGAGGTGGGCAAACTACAGCCCACAAGCCACATCTGGCCCGCGGGACCGTCCTGCCCGGCCCTTGAGCTCCCGGTTGGGAATGCTGTCCCCCCTCTCCCGCAGCAATGCGTCTTGTGCCTGCCTACCTGCCAGGCTTTCCAATAAGCCTGTCCTGCCACTCTGAGCGGCGTGGTAGTGGGGCGGGTGGAGTTGGATAAGGGGCAGGGGGTGGTTGGATAGGGTGGAGGTTGGGGGGCGGTCAGGAGACAGGGAGCGGGGGGGCTGGATAGTGGGTGGGGTCCGGGGGGGGATAGTTAGGGAGGGGGGCGGTCAGGGGACAAGGAGTGGGGTGGTGGTTGGATGGGTCAGAGGTCCCGGCGGGCCTGTTGGGGCGGGGGTGTGGAAAGGGGTCGGGGCAGTCAGGGGATAGGGAGTGGGGGGGTTGGATAGGGGGTGGGGTCCTGGGGAGGCAGTTTGGGGTGGGGGGTCCTGGGAGGGGGCGGTTGGATGGGTCAGGGGTTCTGAGGGGGGCAGTCAGGGGGCGGGAAGTGGGAGGAGGCAGATGGGGGCAGGGGCCAGGCTATTTGGGGAGGCACAGCCTTCCCTACCTGGCCCTCCATACCGTTTCGCAACCCTGATGTGGCCTTCGGGCCAAAAAGTTTGCCCATCTCTGCAGTAGAGGGTAACACCCTTTGCCTTTTGTGGCATTTGACTAAATTACAGTACACTTGAGATTCTTATCAAACACTTTGCATGTAGATAGTGTGTTCACCGTCATATTGTTCTCCAAATGTGATCAAATCCTCACAACACCCTTGTGATATAGGTAAGTTACCTCCAGATTTGCTGATGGGGGAAGCTGAAGCAGGGAGGTCAAGTAACTTGCCTAGAGCTGCAGCAGCAGTTGGAGTCAGCGGAAGATGTAAACAGTCCTGAATTATAAAGTGGAATAGGGTGGTGGCTGGAAAATAGGCTTGAGGAAACGGGGGGCGGGGGCTATGGATGGAAAATTGAATTTGGAGAGGAGGGGTGTGAATAGAATGGGAGGGATTTTTTATGAATATTTTTTCATTAGAAAATGCCAGTTTATCAAAATTGAAACTTTTTGCAGACAGGCATTGGTTTAGACAAAGCTGTTATCTGGAAGGTGTCTCAGGTTGCAGGGGAAGAGACCCACTCCTCAGAATAATCAGCTAGACAGAGCACTCACCTAGGATCTGGGAGATCTGGGTTCAGGCAGGGTCTTGAACCTCTCTCCCCCATCCCAGGTAACTGTCCTATCCACAGGGTCACTGAGTGCAGGGAGCTTTCTCTGTTTTGGGGGGAAAGCTTTCAAAAGGTCTTAGTTTCGTCCTGCTGCAGAACAAAACCAAAGGGCAGAACCTCAGCAGTTTTCATTGACAGGAATTCTTGTATTCGGGCCCGTCTAGATGTGACTGTGGTTACGTTTTTGGGGTCCTTTGTTTATAGCTGCATGACGTGGATATGAGCACTGTGAAAATACCTTATTTTTATTAAGTAAACCACACCTGAAATTAGGACTCCTTGGTGCACTGTACAAATTCATTAGATAGTTTCTGCCCCAAAGTGCTTCCAATCTAAATGACAAGACATTACGGGGGGGAAGAGGCAGCACCAGAGGTTTATAAACACAGAAGCTAGATGTAGAGCAAAGGCCTAGGAACTGTGGCCCTGGATTTGACACATGGAGGTGCCTAGGCCAGCAGATGAAGAGGTCAACGCAGACAAATATCTAAGCCCCCAGTTCAGCATGGTACTTAAGCATAGTCCTGATCCAAAGTCCATCACTGAAGCCAATGGAAAGGCTGCAATTGACTTCCAATGGGCTTTGGATCAGGCTCCATATGCCTGATTTAAACACATGAATAATCCCCATATCTTCAATAGGACTACTTGCGTGTTTACCTTTTTGAACTGGAGCCTAAATCTAGGAACAAGGGATCAAATTTCATGATTGCACAGCCCGAGAAGGGTTGAGGTGTGATGGAAGAGACCTGTTGAGTTGTCATCTATCTCTGATTTTGACTGATATCAACACATAGATTGTTCTTCTTTCTGTCCCTGTTGATCCTGGCTAACAGAAGGTCTAAGAACTATATAGTAAATGACATTTCTGGCACACACTTGATTTGATGCATCTAATTTAGATGGGTCTCTTCCTCTCCTCCTGTCCCACAGGTAACTAGGATTTCTACCTCAACCCAATGTGACCTATGCAAGGACAACGTGGACCAACTTCACTCAGCTTCCACTGAAAGGTGCTCGCCTGGCCTGGCAGGGGTTTCTACTCTCTTACTACTGGACAAAGTAAACAAACAAACAAACAAAAGACCTAAATAACAGAGAAAATATTCTACTGTGAATCGGAGTTGAAAAATAACTGCAAAGGAAAATGCTTAAAAAAAGCTCCAGTTTGTATTGTCGATAGTTTAGATAAAGTATTTATCTTTTTTTAAAAATGAAAACAATTTTGGCTTATTTTATTCCATCTAAAGTCATAAAAAACCACAACTCATTGAAACCATTCTCTGAATAATAAAGGACTGGCACACCAGCAGAGATGTAAAGAGCCTCCTCTCGGTGCTATTTCATCCGTCAGAACTGTGCCTCTCTAGTTCAAATCCTTGGTGCTGAATTTGAGGGTTGACCAATGCCAAACCCAGTTCTCAGAAAGGTCTGCTTTTATTTATTCAACTCACTCTGTTCATATACCAAAGTCCATTGGTTTACAGCAAAGCAGGAGCTACAGAGAATGGCAGTCTTTGGTTTTGGGTGGTGGTTGTTTTTATTTTTAACAGAGCTTATGGCTCAGTTATCAGGCATTTAATATTGTTTATTACAAACAAGAATGCAATACTCCCCTCTGGAATGGCAGCTAGATTACTTGATCTGACCCGTGCAAACTCAGCTGGTTCAGACATTTTGAACAGAAGAAGCATAACTTAAGTCTAGTCCTGTTAGACTACTTCACTGGGCCCATTAAAGCCTCTGGTGGCGCTCAAGTCACTGTGAATTTCAGTAGCTAGACTGTTAACTTGTTTTGGGGTGTCATTTGGCATATGAACAGGGTGCATAATCACTGGTGTTGGTCAGGCCCTTTTTAACAATATCGGGAAGATTGAAAACCGAGCTTCTATGCTGGGGCAGATAGCAGCAGATTTGCTCAGCTTGTTTTTGTTGAAGTACAATGTATTTTGTTAGTAAGGTTTTGATACTTGATTCCGAAATGGCTCAGCCTTGTACATTTTACTGACTTCTAAGTGCATTCGCTTTTGTATTTCTTTGCTTTGAATAGGTTTAAATGGTAGTTCACAAAAACACCACAATCTAGCTTAACTTGCTGCCACACTATCAAACTGGTGCATTTTGAATTGTATTGTGACTTGGTGTTCTGTGTACAGAAAAGTGTCGCTCCGAGCAGTGACCGTATTTTATAGACGTGATGAAAATTTATAAATTTCATAAACTTTATTCAGTTTATTTTTTAGGTTGTGTGATGCACAGTAAACTTGTAAAAAGTTTTTTATTTATTCAAGTGCACAAAACGGGGAGGAGGATCCATTAGTTCATAAACATCAGTCTGCAGCATAGACTGGACCAAGCGCCAATGAAGGAAACCACAGTAACAGAAGGGGAATCACTACAGCAAAGTGACTTGATTCAGAACACACTGGTGCTAAAGTGAATCCGTGCAGGCCTAAGTTCTGTGTGGGGAGATACGGTCGTATTGCATCAAAGGCACTGGTAGCCTCCAGCAAGCAGCCATTCACTATAGAGTTGATCTCTCCCTTACCAACTCCCTAGTGTGGTTTCCCTTTGTCACAAACTGCTGGGCTTCGTGAATCAGTGCCTAATTGCACTTGGAGCAGGCCAAATATCTCTTCGCACTCTCCTGTGCTGTGCTTCCGTGGCTGGTTTGGTTGGTATCTCCGTGAGTACTGTGCTGGTTCTGTGTGTCCAGAGGAGCTGATGGAAGTGTTCTACTTTCCTATTCTCACCAGCTCCCTCCTTTCCCCCAGGAGTGAATTTGTTCTGGAAATTTGCAGTACCCTGACTGACAATGAACACCTTCAATGTATTTCAAATTGGCTGCTTCCCTCTAGACCACATAGCGGGCAATGGCATAGAAATTAACAAGCTCGGTTACCCCCTCCACTCCTAAGTGTCTCAGCCTCTCCAAAAGGTGCCATGTGTGCAGAAGCTATTAATGTAATGTTGCTTTATTATTGATCGCTAAAGGGACTGATCCTTATCCCTAATCTCCAGGAATATTTTTAATCATTTTCTGGTTTGTGCATGGGAGAGGAGAGGGAGGAGGTGATGCATCCAGCTGGATTCCTAGCAGCAGGGAAAGAACCTAGAAAAGAAAGTAATGCTCAGGGAGTGGCAGCTGAGAAACATCCAGTAGCTTCTAGTGGAAGCCATATACAGTTATGTCCTGGAATCCAGGAAAACATGTAACCCAGTTATTGTTCAGGTGTGAATTGGGCAACGCCAGCCTGATCCAGATCTTTGGGTAACGGAAAGGTGCAGGGCCTTCTCAGCAGTCTTAATCTCAATTAAAGGCAACAAAATGCAAACTCAGTACCTTGGAGGATTTAAAAAAAAGGTAGGTAGTGAAATAGTGTAAACAACTGCTTAAGGGCCCGTAGCTTTACCCCGCTATGTGTCTCAGTTACATCCCTGATTTAAGAGATGGGTGGGAAATGCATGACATCACTTGAGTCAGTCTGCTTTCACCAGATAATGAATTCCCATCCTGGCCATGTGCAATGGGAGCAAGACCTGCGGCACTTCCTAGCCATTATCCTCTTAAAGCACATGGCCTCTTCAGCACTGTTGTTTTGCTAAAGGGTTTAATGAGAGCCTTTGTTGTATTGTGAGTTTCAAACATGCTTCTGAGGGCAGTTGGCCCTGCAGGGATTCCAGAGCTTCTCTGCCTTTGTTAGCTTCTTCCTTTAAATTTGACTGTTGCAGCCTTCTGTGTTCTGTGCACCTTGCTTGCTTGCGGATTTCGTCTTCCCACTAATCTCAGCTGAAATGGACTTCTGGGTAAGTGTCAGGCAGGCTGATCCTGATTCAGGGCAGAGTAATGGGGCAGGCAAGGCTATGAAATTCTGTTGCTTCTCACCAAAAGGCCCCTTTTTCTCTATGTTGCACCCTGGGAATCTCCACTTTTCCACGGAGAAATTGGGAAATAGATTTTTAAAGTTTTGGGGAGTCACATGATGCACCGGGGTCAGGCAAGAGACCTGGGTCTTACTCCCTGCTCTTTCACTTATTCACTGTAATCTTGGGCACATTGGTTCAGCATCTCCATATGTTTCCCCATCTGTAAAACCAGGAGGATACTTGTCTTGCTTTGAGATCTCTGGGTGAAAAGCCCCACGTAAGCGTGAAGCATTAGTAATAAAGATCTAATCTGCATGGCTGGAAATTTATGGATATTTGTGACCTTAGGAAGAAAGCTTAGTGCCAGAGCTGTGAGACCTGTTCTCAGTAACCTGAGGTGGTACTTTATTTATTTAATATTATTTAAGCCAAAATGTGAAGTGCAAGAAAGGAATTCTTTCTGGTTTACACTTTCCTATGCTTGGCCCAGTCATTCTTCTACTGTCACAAATGTTCCTTCTCATTCACATTGGTGCTGCTGGCAGGGGGACTCATAATGAAGCTAAAATGCATTTTGTAGCATCTGCATTGCCAAAAAATCAAACTTCCTGAATGTTGTGTTGAGCTAAGCCTGTGTGGCCCTTTGTGAAACAGGTGGGGGGTAGATGTTTGCAGATGCAGAGACAAGTTGTTACACACCACCAAAAAAGGGAAGAGTGCATCTGCTCCAGTTGTCTGGTTTGCCTTTCCCAGCCCTTGGACAACATCTTGGAGTGTCAGAAAGTTAGGAGAGCTCCCAAGGCATTAATTTAAATTAGCTGTTTTCGGTGGATTAGTCATTCAGTAAGAATTCTGATATGGGACAGTGCTACCTATGGCTGAGGAATCCAGAAAATAGGCCACTTTCCCTTGTGTACATGAGGGCTGCATTGGAATGGAACTGGAAACCTGGCTGTTGTTGACATGGTTGACCTCTCTCAAATCAGTTTCTGCCTGTATTTCCTCATCTGTAAAATGGGGATAATGGCACTTGGCTGCTTTTTGTAAAGTGCATTGATCTTCCTGGGAAGGATCATAAATACTAGATATTAAATCTCGTCACTCATTTAAGTGCAGGTTGCAGGAGTGATGGTTTCCCCAAGTATTTGGGGAAACTACCGGGCAGCAAATTGTGGGGGAAGGGGAGGAGAAAGTGGGTTTGTTCCTAAATGTGCTGAGTCATTTGCTCCTCTCAAGTGGAGTTGGTTACGGGTTTGTATGGAGGATCCCATAGCCTTCCATTTAAAAAAAACAACCCTGAGACAGATACATGCAGCTCTCTTTAAAGCTTCCCATATGTATGAACATCAGAGATGATCCATTGAGGGTGCCCTCTCTCCTTGAGAGAGGTGTTATTGTTAGCAGTGCCACTCCCCTGCTTGTTTCCTCCCAATTTGTTTATAATCTAGACTGTCAGGTGAACCAGGAATTAAAGGCAACCGTTTTAGAATTGCATATTAAAAGAATTCAAACTTAGGTGAACTATTGTGGTAGCACTTAGGGCCGCTGGTCGTAGATCAGGTCCCCTTGTACTAGGTGCTGTAAGAGAGAGCGCTCCTGTCCCAAAGCACAATCTACGTATGAGATGGCAGGTAGCACAAGAAGACAATGAGACTTTCTAGTTGTTTCAGTTATTCTTGCTCCCTTTACTGTGGGGATAAATATCTGTTAGAACACAAATTGCATTCACCCCATTGATAATTGGCTTTGTGAACAGTTTCAGTAGCGAGGCCAAGAATTGGAGTGGGCTATGTAGGCTGAATTCCCCTCTGTATAACAGTTGTGCAGGTAGGTACGTTGACTGGGGGTGGGGAGAATCTTGTCCAATGACTGCTTTTGCTGTCACTCGAGTTGTGCTTTCTGAAGTGATTGTGCCTATCGCTGGCCTGTGGATAGACAAGAGTTTTAAAGCTCCCGTCCATGCCATCCTGTCGCACTTTCCCACCCCCAAAATCACACGGCTTTGGTTTTAAATTGGTGCAGTTATTAAGGTGCCAGAGCCTGTTTTAATATAGTCATGTTAGCTGCACAGCAGTGAGTGTCTCTGAACTCACTGATTTGGGTATTGGAGAAAGTCATCTGAACCAGCAGATTTCAGGCCCTCTTGTTAGAGGAGTGAAAACCAGCATTTACGTTGCATCTTTCATCTACAGATTCCAAAGTTCAAGCAGTTGCTTCAAATTTGCTTGACAGATGTGGCTGTTAGGCTAAGCGGCATCTCGGGCCATGCACACCTTTAGCTGGGTGTCGCTTGCAGTGGCCCACGTGCCTTATCCTGCCTTTCTCTTGGCTGTGAAAGTTTGTGTCTACATCTAGGATGAAGTAATTTTTGCTTCTGGGGAAAATGGCATCTGTTTAAAAATGATCAAATGTCACGTGCCTCAGAAGATTGGTTTTTAAGCACAGAAATGGAGCTAAAAATGGATGGAGAGGCAGGGAAAAGAACATCATTTACACCCAATCCTCCCTCCCTCATTCCCCTTTGTACTGGAACTGATGAAATGATGACAAAAAATGGAGGGTAGAAGGAGATGTAGCTGTAAAACTGTTTGCGAAATGGAGGCAAGTTTTATTCCTATCTTGGGTGATTCAGTCCTTTATTGATAGCTGGGTTTATTTAAAGAAAGATCCTTGTAGAGGAAATCTGTAATCCCTCCCTTCCACACCTTCCCTTTCTGGAGAAACTGACAATAGCTCTGGTTAAATAGGTGTTAGGGTAGGTGGGAAGGTGACACAGAGCCAACTGCTAGACTTTCACCTCTGGAGACCTGGGTTCAAATCCTGCTTGGATTGTGCATTAAAGTAAATTGGGTTTCAATGATGTTTGTTCCCAGCATCCTGCCATTTTGCTGAGAGTCCTAGGACCAGGATAGCTGGAGTGTGTCAAGGCAGGGAACTGCATTAACCACGCTGCGTCAGGGACAATTTGTAATGCCTGCCATATGCCGCGGTGTCTACTTACGTCTTGCTAATGTGAATGCTCATTTGTGGGAACGCAGTCGCTTCCAGTTGTTTTCTTAAAGTCCAACATACGCTTCCCTTCTCTCAAAAGTTCATTCGTGGAGCCCAGTTCTTTGTGACATCTAGGGAGACTCAGACAATTTCCAAGGGTGTTGGTAAGATGAATTCAGGGTTCAATCCCTCTCTCTAGAGTCAGCCAGGCAAATTTTAAGATTGACTTCAATGAGAGCAGGATTCCTCCCTGTGGTGTAGCTGGAGGGATGGATGAGATAACTTCAGCACAAAGTGTGTGTGGTGTTTTTCTGCTATGTCCCGGTCCTGCAAACACTGACTCCTCTACCAGGAGTATCTCACTGGTAGTAAATGCTATGCCCCCAAGGAAGTGTTGGCAGGATCAGACCCTTAAACTGCTCGTGTCTCATCACTCTTCCTATTTATATATAGATACAATACACACACACACCAGTCTGCACAGCTGAAGGCTGCACCCCACCTTTCCCATGGTTGCTGGAATGGGGGAGGGAGATGTCAAGAGCTGGGGCTTGCTGCAGTCTCCCATAAGCTGCTGTTTTAGGGACACATTTTCCCCTCACTGACTAGACTTCAGGCCTACAATAAAAGCCACCCTCCACCCATTCTGAAAATGGTGCTATTTTCCTCCCCAGGGACTATCAATACACTTGACAGTTTTCTTCACTGACCTGGAAGTAGCCTTATTCATTAGAGTCTAACCAGGATTGCTAAGTAACTTCAGTCACAGGTGCTGCTCCCTGAAGAGCTGTAATTAGCTTTCTAACTCTGTACTAGCTGTGAGGGCTCTTTTAGGAATTTATTGACCACATATAGTCAGTTTGCTTTCTGTATTGAAAGCAACCCTTGTGTATACCAGAGCTTGGAAGCATGAACATTTTGACACCCTTTTTCTTTAGAGGGAGTTCTCCTAATTAATACTCATAGGTGGTTGCTGTTAATAATTCTGCTTCTCTTGTTATGCCTGAGCCAAAAGCATTAAGAGCACTGGTAGCTCAGAACGATTATTGCTTTCTAATAAGAAATGTAAACTGTACAGTGGACTGTAAAACCTTAACCTATTTAAATCACAGTTTGGGGAGAAATCAGTAAGTGTTTTTGTGAACTATCTCTGCAGCACTGAGGGAAATCACAGTAGATGAGGTTTTTTAAGTATAAATTTAGTCAGTATAAAAGTATCTGATTTTTTTGTGTTAATTCAAATTCCCTTCCCCCGGTCCCCTGAACAATTCCATAGATGACCTTTGTTTTTCACGAATGAGTTGGATTTACCTTTTTATTAAATTTTGTTCCATATTTTATTTATCCTTTTATGCATTATAAATATCTGTTTAGACTGAATATTGCAATACCAGATGCTGTTGTTGTGGAACTTCAGGGCATAAACCCAATACTAAAATGGCAAATATCCCTCCTGTCTATTTAGTGCTTGTGACTGTCTCAAAGTCTTTTTAGTTTTCATGCTTTAATTTCAATATTAAAGATGAGCTAACCACTTCCTAAAGGTTTGAAGATGTTAAGCTGAAGTTCTCTCAAGTTTGACCCTGTGATTCTAAGGTACATCTGGTTGCTTTTCTGGTGCAGTGGAATTGTCGTTTGGAAAGGTGATATTTCTGGTGTTAATAAAGAGAAGGCAGAATGGACTAATCCAGCCTGCTTGGCTCCACCCTCCTGCCCCCCAATATAAATTCTTGAAGTGGTCAGTTTTAAATTAAAAACCAATTCTTTAGGTCTCTGTTCTTTTTAAGAAAGCATTTTAGGAGTGGGAGTCTGCCCTTGCTGGGTGGGACTGGACAGAGGAATGCAAATGAAGTTGCTGTTGCTCAGGAATTGATTAGTAAAACTTTTAACTACTAATAAAAATCCATTTTTCAATGGATTTAAAACAAAAAATACCCATTTTCTTGCTTAAACATGTGATATGGGATGTTTCCTAGTGAATAGGAATTAGTTTATACATTTTAGCCTATGAAATTGAATTATTTAAAATTCAAACTTCCCCTAATTTATCTTTATTTGGTTTTTTTTATACTGGTATGTTGCCCTGTCATTCTTCCATAGAACTAGTGTGAATTCTTCTGGTGTGTATATATGTATGTAATATTATATATATATATATTATATATATATTTTCCACCCACCCTTCTAATTTCCACAATGCAAGAATTAGTTTTTTTCTCCCCTCCCTTCCACTTTAATTTCTTGTCTTTTACCTTGATTTGTAATTGAAACAATGCTTTGAAGTTTTGTCTTTATATTAAAATGTATGTATTTTAATACATTGTACTGTGGTGGTGCTTCAGTACTTTAGCAGACGGGTTTTTTGCTTTCTTTACATTTCAGCTGAGGATCGCATTCTGTATCCTCTACAGCACGAGTGCAGAGATCCCCTTCAATACTCTCCAGTTGCTGGAGCAGTGGACCTGCAAGGCTCCTGTCACTGAGTGTAACTGGGCAATTGACTTGACTCTAGCTGTAACAGTAGAATATTCACTTTGAGCCTCCATTCCCCTATAAAGCACTACATGATCTTCTGAGGAGCTAGCAACTGAAAATCACAGTACAAAAAGCTTTCCTCTGACTCTTGCTAAGTGACTTGGTTGCTCAACTTAGTTTAGCTTTCCTTAAACTCTCCTGCCTGGAGCAGAAGTGATGGTTTAAAAATATTTGCTCAATGGGTATCTTGCAGTGGAGACAAAAGGCCTCACTATTCAAAGCATTCACATGCTCCACTGAATAGGGATGGATTTAAGGCTGGGCTTATGTGAGGAACTTACAGGGTCACAGCAACACACTGAACAGGTGCTCCATGCTTAGACACACATTTTCTGGAGTCCTTCCTTTGCAAGGCTTCCCTACAGTGAGTCAGGCCCCAGTAGAGGAAAGCATGTCAGGAGAGAATTCAGTAGCCTTTGACCTGTAGAGGGGATAATATTGGCTGGCCCATTGGGCTTATTCGGTGCTCCTGCTATGGGATCTCTGCTGTTACACTCCCACTAGGAATCTCCTACCTCACTGCCCTACTCCTGGCAGCTGCTGTTGATTTTCATTTGCCATACCCATTTCAGCCCCACTGCTGCAGCTAACCATTCTGGCTCACATGGGTAACAAGGGTGATGCTTTCAGCTATAATAGTCTTTCTATTGACTCTACGACAGTTACACCTCTGGTCTGCTGTTTGCTTCCTTCCTGTCCAAAGGGTCATATCATTTTGAGGGTAGGTGTTTCCAAAGCCCATAAGTTAAGAGCACAAATCCCACTGAAAGTCAAGGGAGCTTAGGTATGAATGAAAATCCAACCCTTACTGATTGCAACGTTTATTCCCCTTTCAACCTTTCTTTTTGAAGAAAATGCACATGGGATTCTTACACAGCAGCTGCAATTTATGCCCAGGTTAAAACCATGACAGGTGTTTGTTTAAAACATTGATTGTACAGCCGATGAACAGCACCCATATATAACGCTTTTGTTAGAGCAACTAACCACAAAAAGGAACCTGAACAGATAATGAGAAACTCTTGCATATAAATGACCAGTAATAACAGATTCCTAAACCTGTTTCCCCTTACTCCTGAACCGTAAAGCTAGTTTTAGTGAGTTACTGGGCACCCATGCTCAGATAACTGTTCACAGCATCTGTCTTCATACATTCAATCAAGTAATGAAAGTGAAATTTACGTACCTCCTAATCTAAGCAAATAGCTGGAGCTGTTCCTTGCTCACCTAATGTACCTCCCCCAACCCTAATAAAATGCCCATTTCTGTACAGTGTGCAATGGTAACTGTAAGCTTAAGGTCTGCCCTTTGAAAGGGTAACAAGAAAAAGCTAGTGTTTTTGTACAAGGAAGGCAGAAGAGGGAATATTTATACAGTAGTTTGAGTGGTCTAAATAACCAGTTCTCCAGTTCTGAAATCTTAGCTGTCATGAGCTATGTTCACATGGCCACCTGCCAGGATTTTAAATATTGTCAACAATTTCTCATGTAAGGTGACCGTAGGGCACAAAGGGACAGTCCAGTAACACAAGTATTGAGAATTGAGTCAGCCAGCATACTAAGCAACGCTGATTCTAAAGGCAAGTGCCCAAAAGCAAGCTGGCTGAACAATCAAACAAGGTTTGAACATGAGAGAGAAATACTGGGTGTAATCTTTCCCTAATTCAGTTTATTCTGTATGAAACTACTGCATTTCCCAGCTTCCTCCTAGCTAAAAAAAGGCTCCAGTTTCCCTAATGGGATGTACCAAAGTTACGGAGTTAATAAAGAGCCTGCTCCTGGCTTAGGCTGAGTTGTCTTAGCTGACTTAAAGGAGACGAGACACTGGGAATACAATTCTTGCTGTCTAGCTGCTGACAGTGGGGATGGGAATGTAACCGTCACAACAGAGTTCAAAGCACCCTCTTAAACACCATTTCCTAGGTCAGTTGCTATGGAGCCTTTGCCTCAGCTTTGGTGAAAGTGGGCAAAGACTTTAACTGCAGCAAGAAGACAGCTGCTAGAACTGAGCCTACTTTAGTAACCTTGGAAACTTTAGCAGCCCCCAGATAGCAAGAGCCATATTTGAACAAACCTTGTCGCTACTCTCAAAGGGGAGTGCTGGGCTCAGTACCAAAACCATGGATCTGTGTTCTGCTCTACCTCTGGGTAACAGCAAAGGCTAAGAAAAGGGCTGCTTGCGAATGCAATATAGAGGCAGCTGAGGTCATGTTCTCTAAAGCACAAGCTCTAGTGTGCTCTTGCCTAATCCTCTCGCTGCTTTCCAGGGCAATGAAGAGGAAGGCATGGCTGGACTCCCAAGGTCTTCCAGAGCCTCCCTCACTCTTACCAGCCAGAGGTTCACCACTGAGCAGCCTCAGAGTGAGTCACAAAGTGGAGGAACAACTTCCACCCATCACCCAGCCTGCAGGATGCTCTCCAGTAGCATTCCGTGTGGCCAGGACAAATGATCAGTTCAACTCATGTACTACATCCTCTTTCCCACACTGTACAGGGCTCATCCGCTGAGTCCTAGAGCTGCATGTAGAAGCTACTAGCAACAGCCTCCATCGAACACATGTGGTCCTGGTGCAGAGGTGGGCAGGGCCCCCATCTCTACTGGAGATAGTAAAATGTTGCAGCTGATGTCTTGTACTAAAACAATGAGCCTCAACTAATGTTCTAAACCTGAATTATTTCCTCCTTGGGAGTCTCCTAAGAGCAGTACATGCCTGAAGCACTTTAAGAAAAAATTAGGTCAGGTCTCCCAGCCCTCCAGAAATCACTGGATTGCTTTGGTCTTTTCTGCTCAAGCTCCTGAGGATGAGGGAAGCTGCAGAAACAGATGAGGGAAGCTGCAGAAACAGATGAGGGGTGTTGTATATGGAATAAAGCCTGAAGTAGCCCTGTACAGCTATTCTTCGTGCTGTGGGACCCTGTCTCCCAGCTCAGCATGGACAAGATGCGGTTCTACACCCCACACAGTTCTACCTCTCACACTGCCTCCAGTAAAGGGGACTACAGCAGCATCCACCCAGCTGTTTTCACTAGCCCCACAGCAGGCCATCTGCTCTGGGAAGCTAATGACTGCACAGCACCCCCCCAGGCAAGGGAACAATGCCACTAAGAACCACAGCTTGCTCTCAAGGTCAGGGGGAGGGGTTTGGTTTAGACTGCCTCACAGCAGGTGTCTTTCAAACCCTTGCTTTTCTCACTCCTGGGTACTGGTGAGAAAGCCACAACCCCACACTGTGCGGGAAGTTGGAAGTGCATTTTAAAGATGCTGTAGGGTGGCTCGTGGTAGCTGGATTCATCTGCATAAGTTCAAAATTAGACCTTAGTAACGGTGTTGAGCTGAGACAGGCCCCAGTAACCCTGTGTGCATGTCACAATGCAATCGCTGCTGCTGTAGGTTTGTGTAAAGAAATGAAGACACTGCCCCCTACAGCTACACTGTCAGCCGGAGCAGCAACAGCTAGGGAGGGGGGCAGGAGCACCAGCAGTCACATAAGTTAACCCTGTTTAGAGTAAGGGCCAGTTCCTCCTCCCTCCATTTGGGGGTCGCAATCCATAACAGAGGAGGGCTTCCCTTACCTGAAACAGCTGCTCCCTGCATCTATCTTCAGTAGCTGAACAATGTCCAGTACAGATCTAGCAGCTAGAGTGGGCCCGACAGAGTTAAGTGCGGGAGAGGGGTGAGTCTGGCATTTCAAGGCCGAGGACCCCACCGCTATGAGCAAAGGAATGCCATCGGCCAAAAAAAAAAAAACCAAAAAAAACCCCCACACCCCCTTAATGAAAGACCCTCCTCCTCCCTTTGAGATTAGCCACTTTTGCAAAAGCCAGCAAAGCATCAGCCACCAGTTGGCTCAGGGCACCCAGGTGACAAACTTCAGCCACCAGGCGTGCAGCAGGCGGCCTGCAGAGCTGGATGGCCAAAGCCCTGAGGCCATTCCCAGCAGAAATGCATGTTTTTGGCCTAGAACAGACACCGGCCCTCTACCCCAGATCACCCCTGCCTTATAATAGCACCATATGCTGGAAGACCCCTGGGCTGCTCCCACCAGGACAAGTCCAGCCAGGTTTCCACATCAGCATCATAGCTGAAATCCCCTGGGACTCTGAATGAGGGCTTTCAGTGGCCCTAGGGGCTAGCATCTAGTGAGTAACGGGCAACCCATAAGTCCCTCAGCCTAGCAGTTTTATGGTCCATCAAGTTAAAGCTGACACAGCAGTGGCCAGTTAAGACTCTTGCTGCGGGGAGATGGGAGCTCGGAGGGGCTGAAGACAAACAGGAAGGGGAGTGTGCAATGAATCCGTTAAAAAAAAGACATACAAGTTATCTGGCCCATAAGTAAGTCACTTGGTCCCAGGAGCTCCCCCCGACAGGGGGTTGGTGTTTTCACCCCCATCCCCCACCAGGAGGTGGCTGAATGCCAGTTAAGCCCCACTGGGCTGGGTGGGGACGGAGGCTGCCAGGTTACAGCTTGCGTGTTCCCAGCTGGAATCGGGCTTCCTCGGAGATTCCGTACTGCTCCAGGGGGTCCTGCAGCGAGAGCACATGCCCGTAAGTAAGGGGGAGCGAGGCACCCAGCCTGCCTTTCCCGCACAATTCAAGGGAGGTTTGCCCAGGCTGATCTCAGTGCCTCCCCTTATAGGACGGGGCCCCTTCACAGGGCTGCAGTACACTGGGACAAGCTGCAGCATATGAGATTATACAGCCAGAGCCATTCCTTTACTTAAGGCCTGGGCATCCGATTGTGGTCAAATTAACTTCTAGACTGAGTGTTGATTCCTAGTCAAAGCAGGAAACACAGGGTGGCGGGATGGGGAGGTGTGGCAAAGATCAGTCCATCAGCCTTTCTGGAGGCTGTAAGACAGTCAGTTATGTGGGCTGGTTTTTTAGCCACCCTAGTACAGAAGTGTGTGTGCTGGTGTCACACAGTCACCCTATGGCTTGCCGGTCTCTCCGTTAGAAAGCAGGAGCAGGGCAGAGGTGGGGGAAGCCCATGCCTGCACAGGCAGAAGGGTGCAGGGATGTTACATAGCCCTTGCCTGATTTTGCCAGGTTCAAACATTCATCAGTGTTAAATTAGTAAGAGTTCTGCCAGATGAGAACTGGGCATCAGGACAATTACACGCCTGCTTCACAGCAAGCCCCATAGAAGACATGGCACGACATGCTGTAAGCACTTGGCATTGCATAGGCAGGTACTTCACCTGAGTCCCAAGCCCCTGAAGGACAGAGTCCCAGCCACCCCCACACACCAGTGCCACTGCACCGAGCAGGATCTAACCTGACCTGCACTAGAGGTTCCCCAGCTGGAGGCATGAAGTTAAATGGGCCATTGCTGCCGCAGTCTGTACAGCAACCTTGGGTGCAGGCAGGTTCCTTAAAACCGATTGGAAGCTCTGACACCGATGGTTTCAAGAACTAAGTTATTAAGGGGTTGCTCTTTCCCAGGGGCTGCAACAAGCCCAAGGGGGGAAAAAACAACAACAACCTCACAACAGTTCTGGTTGCTCCAATTCTCTCCTGGTATAAACCAGGCAGCAACCCCCCCACCTCTCCCTAGGGACTGACTATTCCTGGCCTTAATGGAAGGAAAGGGGCTAGCAGATGATAAATCAGAGACACTCACCTTCCCTGTCATCTTCTGAATCTCATTCCGATAGAAAATCAAACTTCTTCTCATGAACTCGTAGCTGTAAGACGAGGAGTGTCTAGCTGAATCGAGGGGATCTATTTCACATGCTGCTCAGAGCCCAGTAGAAGGTCTCCGCTCTAGCGCCAGTGAACATTCTTGCAGCAGTGCTCGTGGGGATGGGGCAGACTATGCTAGATGGCCAGTGGGCATTTCCCCCATGGGCCACGGCAAAGGACCGTTGGCTACAGCCACCGTCCCACCCTTGTCAACAGAGCGAATGCGCCTTGTGGCTTCCTATAGTCGTCTCTCCACAGAGCTCAGGCGCCAGTTTTCCTAGTGCAGTGCCAGAGGCTGTGATCAGGGAAGCCACCAAACAGCATGTGAAGGATCAGTCCAGGCCCAGGAACAATTCCCTATTCAGCGACCAAGATAATGACGTACAAGAGATGTCTCTACTGCACTGGGCAGAGAGCTCCTGGTGCTGCTTGCTGCCAAGCGAGCTCCCTCTTCTCCGCCCAAGTCCAGCGGGGCACACCCAGGGCTGAGCTGTGTTCTGCAGAACACGAGAACAGCGCAATGGTGGAGAAGCTCCCCCCGCCCAACCGGCTGCCCTACCTGGCTCTTCGGAGAGCCTCAATCCACTCCTGGCATTGCTCCTCAGTGTCACATTCAAAGGAGTATTTCCTGTCTGGCTCCTCAATGAAACCTGCCGGGGACAAGGAATGGATGGCTCAGAAATGCTCCCTCACCCACCAGCAGGTGTCACTACGAGTTCCTCAACACCAGTGACCCCTTCGCCTGTGTCAGGCCACAACTATCCTTTTATTTATTTAAAAAGGGCAGGAGATCCACTAGCAGAAATTAGTAGGACCAGGCCCCAGCCCCCTTTCTCTCCCCATCATCTCCTCACTCAAGCCCCTTGTGTAGCATGGCCACAGAAGCACTGCCCCACGGGACACACCCAGCCTCCCAGTCACACACTTTGCAGTGGGACTAAAGCTTTAGTCAGTTGCTTTCAAATCCTGATGGGGCAGTTTGGGGCAGAGCTGCTGTGAACCCCACCCCCAGGAAAGCCAGCGGCTGCAGCACCCAGTAACGTGGTTTGTCATGGGCACAGCCCAGTAACCCCCAGTCATTTTATTCTCTTGGAAAAGTTACACAGCAGCCAACTGGGGAAAGGTCACTGCCAGCAACTGTCCATCGAAAGTGGCACAGACCCAGTGAAAGGGGCTCATCTCCCTCTTAATGCACATTTACATTGGCTCATGCTCACAGGGAGAGGGACAGCTCAGTGGTTTGAGCGTTGGCCTGGTAAACCCAGGGTTGTGAGTTCAATCCTTGAGGGGGCCATTTAGGGATCTGGGCCAAAAATTGGGGATTGGTCCTGCTTTGAGCAGGGGGTTGGCCTAGATGACCTCCTGAGGTCCCTTCCAACCCTGAGATTCTATGATCTATTTGTACCTTTCATCCCAAAAGACACCCTACCACAGAGCTATATGAAGGATACACAAAGGAATCAGCTCATGCATCATTGCAATGCAGCCACCTCTGGGATGGAACAGGGCAGCTGTTTAAACCACACCAAATTTCAGGAGAGGCAGCAAAAAGCACCACATCTCAAAGCTTCAGCAGGGAACCTAACAAGGGAGAACATAGCTGAACAAGTTGGAATTAGGCTCAGTGTCCTGGTCAAACACCTCAGTTCTCAAAGAGGGCCACCTCTATGCGAAGCAGTGCAGGCAAATGTCTGAGGGAAGGAACCGCCACCTTGGTCTGCTTTGTTGCTGACTTGCAGTCTGTCGTGCTGCTGTGCAGAGCTTTGGGATAGCTGGAGTCTGTGACAGTCATTCCAGTGGGATGGCAGGGAAGGGCTGGATGGCTCAGTGGTGTGGCAATAGGCTGCAATAATCTGTCACTTTCAGAGCACCTGACAGACTCCGGCCCAGGACAGCAGTGAGAGCTGCTGGCTCATCATTAGTTCATGCGAAGGGAGCTTTGATGGGTCTCATGAGCGTGACCATCACAAAAGCCACCACTAATTGCCCCATTTTGTTGGTAGGCTGAGTAAACTCGCCTGTCGCCCTGGGAGGTGATCTTTCCGGAGCAGGAGACACCTTGTTGGGATGGCATGGGAAGCTAGCAGTGCCCTTGCTGTACCCATTCAAGGGATACAAGACTCCGGTCTCTCGGGCTGCCAAGCCAGCACCTTTTAGCAGAAAGCTCATGTCCCAAGGTTACTGCTCTGATGAGGGGCCGGGAAGGCCCCAGAGCAGCAGGAATTCAGGCGGCAGGCTGGTGCCCAGGCAGCTCTCTGTAGGCACACTGTTTCAAGAAGGTCCAGCGGAGACCGTGGGAGTTTGCCTCCATTCCAGCAAGCAGGGACTGAAGGCTCCGCACATTGAAGCAGCTGCGCCGACAGCCAGGCCAACAGATATGGGGATGGCCTTGGAGGAAACATCCTGTTATTTTTGCCACATACCATTTGCACAATGATTGCTTGTTGGATGAAAGGCTGCTTACAAAGGACAACAAGCCACGAGCCAGCTGGAGCCACTGCTATCGACACAAGGCCAAACAGCATGGCGGGAGTACCGGGAATAGGACAGCCCTGACAAGTACTTTATCTGAGCCTCTTCATTTTATTTTTACCAGAAAGAAAGAGCCTAGATGCAGCAATGTGTCAATATCCAGTCTTCCCAGATGAGAATTTCTTCCACTGGTGTTTAACAATTCATACGCTTCCACTTCTCCTTTTATCCCACCAAGCTCTACAAACTGCACTCAGGGATCACTTCAGCCAGCAGTGAATGCAGCCACCTCTGGGACAGAGCACAGCAGCTACTTAGCACACAGCACCACTGTATCACGGCTTAGGAGAGGGAGTGAAGAACTGAAAATTCTTACTGAAAAGCCTATTGATAATACAAGGGGGAGCCAAGAGACAAAATATATCATTTGTCCAGGGCACCAGAGCTAGCGTCCTGACTGACAAAACGTGAGACAGGGTCTTGGTTTTCACACCTCAGCCATGAGACTGCCTCTTCAGAAACGCAGTAATTATACCACAAAGTGGCAATGATGCAGTACAGAGAGGGAAGAGGGGCCTCTATTGAATCCCCAACACCACTTCCTACAACACCCAGGGTTTTCCTTAAGCGTCTCCCCTTTCAAGTACTGCCTCTGTCCCATTTGGGATCTGACATCCCCCCACAATACGGTACATAAGCTCCAGAAATGTTTACACTTGCCCTTTCAACACTTGACTGAGAAGGAAAAAGTTACACACCACATTTTAAGGAGAGTGAAATTCATGAGAATCTTTATCCAAAACTCACTGATTGAAAAGACATTCTCCTCTTCTTTGGTGATTCTACAGTGTTCCAGCAGCAAAGCTCCAATTGGCTAGAAAGAAACCCAAAGAGAAGGTTTAAGACACCCCTCCCCATTGTTCAGCCAGTTCTATAAACATGCAAGACATCGTCTTGAGAAAGGGAACACTGAGAGTGATGTGGGGGATACAGTGACTGATTCGTGAGAGAAAGATATAACTGAAGAGATGCTAGTGCAGAAACTACATTTCCTAAGGTATTTTAGTTCTTTGGTACTAGCTAGATAGTCACAGTTCTTTCACGGTTTCCCATGTCTAGTTTGCTACAGCAGGGCTTTCACAGCAACTCAAGCAAGCAAAAATATTTTTAAAGATAGGAAGACACTGATAAACCACAAAAACTACTGAGGGATGGACTTCAGGGAAGGCATCGTAACCAGAATAGAACTGAGTGAGTTTAACATGGAGTGTTCTTTAGGCAGCCAATTTCTTTATCTCTGCAGCCAGGCTGCACTGTATAAATATATTTTGTGCTGATTAGTATTTGTACAGTGCTTTGGGCATTTATATTTGCTCAGTATCATTTTGGTGCTTTAACAAACAGCTCAGTGATCTGCCCAAAGAGAGGTGAAGGTAAAAGTTTATTTCTAGTTCTCCAGAATCGAGTCTGCAGAGCAAGTTTGGCTGGAAGCTGCAGCAGGACAAACTGAAATCCAAATTTAGGTTTGGTAAAGAAAAAGCGTGAGACTTTGCAGAAGACTAATGGAATGCGTCAGGGCATTCAAACAATTACATTTATTTTAAACAGATGAATTTCACCTGCAAAATTTGCAACTTATATATTGGTGCATATATATATATAGGGCATGAGCAACCAGAGAGCAAAGCTAAGTATAAACAAAAGTGAAACTGACTATTCTATTCTTTGTCCAGGCTGAATGAAATGCAAGAGACAAACAAACAGAAGAGAGAGCAAAGATTTTTTTTTAAAATCAACTCAGTTTTAATAAAAGGTGTTATTTGTATCATGGCTAAGTATCCCTTCAGCACACATTACTCTAAGCTTACAAACTATTTTTGGACCATTTTGGATCATCTACCCCTAAACACAAAGGGAAATATTTATAGTTTCTAATGGCCAGGACAATTAGCAGAAGCAGCCAAAATCACGTAAGCAGAGGTGGAGGGAAATCTGCTACTGGCACTGGCCTCTAGTCTCAGGCAGTCAGAGCTCTAACACGATTTCACAATCACCCAAGCATGATTGTGAAGTGTGGCATCTTCTTGGCCAGATCCTGTGATTGTGACTCTCAGAGGAGATAGATAAGAAGGAGAGAATACCCTAAAGTGAGAGTGCAAGGATTCTTAGCCCTGGTCTACGCTGGGGGGGCCGGGAGGAAGGGAGAAAAATCAATCTAAGTTACGCAATGATAAATCGATCCCCGCTGGATCGATCGCTGCCTGCTGATCCAGCGGGTAGTGTAGACATACCCTTAGGGTCACATGTATTTGTGATTGGCACAAACTACAAAAACATCACCCCCAAAACCTTGTCTTCAAGATTGTTAAATGGCATAGAAACAACAATGCCACGCTGCACTCATCATGCATCTTATATCCAAGCACTTTATAAAGTGGGTTTTATTACCACCAATGAGGAAACAAATGTAAAGATCGATCAAATGACTTGCTCAAGGACACGCATCAAGTCATTTGCAGGAACAGAACACAGGAGTCTTCAGCTCTCAATTCCTCTGCTCTAACAACCAGACTTATAAAGGTCCAAGTAAGGAATATTAATAAAACACAGCTATTACATTGCTTCAGGATTTTCTTTTTACTTTTACCAGGTCTGGCACATAGGCAATGATGCAGGCATTGTTTACAAAGGAATCCCAGTTCCATTGGTAGGGGATTAGTCTAAATTTAAAATCCACCTCACTAGTTTCACATACATGAATTGCAGTCCTGCACAAAAGCATGGCAATGATTGCGTTTCAGAGATCGTTTTTGGACCATAGCACGAGAAACACAGTGGCCAGGGTTGGGTAGCACAGTGGTTACTTATCAGACCTAGGCCAAGCAGAGGTTTCATAATGTTTGTCAAACACCAACAGCGAACATCACATCATGACTATTTCAATTGTACGTTCTTCAGGGCATGGGCCATCTATTACTCTGTGTTAGTACAGTGCCTAGCAAAATGGGATTTTACTCTTGGTTGGTTCTTAGACACTGGTGTAATAAACACATTAAATAATAAGGCAGGTTCCTGTGACACCAGCTCTAACCAGCACATGCAGCCAGTTTGCCGCAGGTTATTTCCATACCTCTGCTTCATCTGTTCGGAAGTAGAAGAGAAAGTTGACAACAAGCTTCACGAGGCGTTTTTTCAGCACTGCAAAGAAAAGAGAGCATTCAGAAGTGAAGTCTGAGAATTCAGAAGTGGAGGATGGAGAGCTGGAGCTGTTTGGGAAGGGAAGAGACAGGCCCATTCCACCCTCACTGCTACACAGCAATGTGCTGGTAGGCTGCATCTCTGCCTTGCAGATTAAATGGACCCTATGAGGCAGCTCCATTAGAATTTAAATCACCACTGCTTATTGTAAGCGGCTTCTGGCATTTAATTCTCACTTGAACAGCTCTTTGGTGACCACACCTCAAGCAATCTTGAGTCCATCCCGGACTCGCCAGCCTTGGCTAAGACATCACTGATGAATTATAAAACTATAATCACGCATGCTTCCATAGCAGCTCCCAACTGGTAGGATCCCAATGCGTGCCACCAGCTGTACGTGGTAGGCCACAGAGAGGCAGCCGCCTGCAGGGCGGAGGGAGGCCGCCCACCCATGTGCACCCCCTCCCCATGGGGAGCGAGGAGAAGAACTCAGGGGTGGAGATACCAGCACAAACGCCTCTCTTAGGGAAAGCAGCCACACGGTCCCCGATATCCCCACAGGGATATGCACAGTGCAGGGGGCTCAACGGAGCGGCCTGGGGAGGAGGAAGGGTAAAGAGATGGCTTCAACTGTGTGTGTGTGTGTGGGGGGGGGGGGGGGGTTGCTAATAACGGTCTCCTGGGTGGGAGAAGTTGATCCCCACTCCCCACGAAAGAGCCCCCTTCCACCAGACATGGGCACCCCCTGCCTTCCCAACCCCTTCCCCCACCCTTATGGCTCACCCAACACCCCTCAGGCCCTGGCCCACCCCCGGGCTCTTCCCCCTTCATGCCCCCCCACCTAATTCCCCACACCCCCCCACACAGACACACACCCCCCCCACACACCACACACAGACACACCCCCCCACACCACACACAGACACCACCCCCCCCCACACCACACACAGACACACACACCCCCCCCCACCACACACAGACACACACGCACCCCCCACACCACACACACAGACACCACCCCCCCACACCACACACAGACACCACCCCCCCACACCACACACAACACCACCCCCCCCCCACCACACACAACACCCCCCCCCCACCACACACAACACCACCCCCCCCACCACACACAACACCACCCCCCCCCCACACACAACACCACCCCCCCACCACACACAGACACCACCCCCCCACACCACACACAACACCACCCCCCCACACCACACACAACACCACCCCCCCACACCACACACAACACACACCCCCCCCCACCACACACAACACCACCCCCCCCCCCCCCCACCACACACAGACACACACCCCCCCCCACCACACACAGACACACACTTTGGTCCTGGCTCTGCCCCACCGGTTATTCCCCCCAGCCCCGCCCCGGCGGCTCCGCTCCCTCACCGCTCCCCTTCTTGGGCACCCGCATCAGGATCTCCGCCGCCTTCTCCGCCGGCTGCCGGGACAGGGACAGCAGCTCCCGCTCGCTGTAGCGCATCGCGAGGCCCCCGCCGCATCCCCCGGCCCCGGGCGCGCGCACCTGCGGGGGCCAAGCGAGCCGCTCCCCGCTCCCCCCCCCCCGCAACGCGGAAGCGCCGGGCCCCGCCCCGAACCCGGAAGCCTTTTGTCTCTCGTGACCCCCATGGCGAACCGGATGCGCTTCCCCCGCAGCCGGAAGTGCCGTCTTCCCCGTCCGCTCGCGCAGGAGTCGGGGGGGGGGGTCTCTCGGGCGGACCTGAGAGGAGGCGCGAGCGCCGGCGGGGGGCTGGGGCGAGGAAACATCGTAGGCCTCGGGGTGAAACGTGAGCTGCCCTCTGCGTCGCGGGGCGGGGTCTGGGGCCTTGTCTAGGGGCGAGTTGGGTTGGCGGGTCGCAGGGGGGGTTCCCGGGCCTGGCCGCGGGGGGGAGCGGGGAGGAAGGGGGGCGTTCCTGGGCCTTTCCGGGGGGGCGGGGGGGAGGAGGAGGAGGAGAAGGAGGAGGGGGGGGTTCCCGGTCCTTGCCCGGGGGGGGGAGGAGGGGGAGGGGAGGGGAGGAGATGGAGGGGGGGGGGGGGGGGGGGGGGGGGGGGGGGGGTTTAGGGGGAAGAGCAGCCCGCCCAACAGGCCAGAGGAGTGGGTCGCGCAGAACTCTGAGAGCAGCCCTGGGGTTCCCGGTCCCGGCATCCGATGAAGTGCATCCGATGTGCATCCGATGAAGTGAGCTGTAGCTCACGAAAGCTCATGCTCAAATAAATTGGTTAGTCTCTAAGGTGCCACAAGTCCTCCTTTTCTTTCTGTCTTCAAAATGCTGCTCAAGTCCAGTGGCTGTTCTCTAAAGCTGAGGCCGCACCTCCTGTAGCTTCCTGGCTTGCCTTCAGGAGCAGATCTGAGCCTCAGAGACTGTGTTTTGAAAATCCTAGATAACTCTGTGCTTTTAACATGTATGCTGTGGCCACTTATGCACCTCAAAAATAAGCATGTTCATTGGTGCAATGCTAACAGTCAACGTACTCACAGTAAACTGCTCTTAATGAGAATTATTATGTTCTTGTGCAGGCCCCACTCAGGACCAATCCTTTGACGCCTCCAGTAGCAATGAACAAACACCTCTGCTGACATGGTGTCTGCCCCAATTTGCTTTTAGTTGATGTGCAGTATTTTTCTGCTTATTGTTTAGTTCTTGTATCGTTTGGTTCTTTTACGTATAAAATACTTGAAGTGGCAATGCAAGATACAGTACTTACTGCAAATAATCAATGATTTGTAGCCATGCTGAATTTCCAATTGTGTTACGTGTCCAACTTTTACAACATAGATCTGGGCCAGTAGACATGCCCGCTCATTAACTAGTAGCTTTCAAACATTTTTGCCTGATTCGCGAGTCTATTAAATATCTCAGGCAAAAGTGCAGAATCTTGAAACGGAGAAAAATATGTAAAAGTAGCCAGGAAAATGAAATCACCCGTGAAACTGCCCAAGGCTCCCATCGAGCCATTGTATTAGGTGAGCTAGTGCTGTTTGAGGGTGCTGATTCTGATCCTGCATCGCTTCCTATGGCGCATAGCAGCCAGCGGGCTTCTTATGAGAGTCGGTCTGTAGACATGGGGTTTATGCTGGAGAAATTAGGTTGGAAAACTTGGTGGGCAGGTTGGGTGGGAGAGAGCCTGCTAGCAGATCTTGGGGAATTTGGTAGCAGGAGAATTGGTTCCTACCTTATTCAAAGGCTGCTCTGGAATCTGGACTGAACATGGCAGGGGATGAAATTCAACCAGAGTCCCATCAACACTTGACTGCTTCCATTGGGCTTTCTGCAATTCAGCTGCCAATGAAGGAACATAGTGTAGCCTTTAAATAACGACTCACTGTGAATTGTACTCTTTATTTTTCCCAGACTCCTTTTCTCACCTAAGTCACTTGAAGTGCAAAAGCCCCAATCATGGATTTTCAACATCGCCCTGGAGGTAAAACTGGGAGTGGAGGCGTAGCCTCATCTTCGGAAAGTAACCGAGACCGCAGAGAGAGGCTTCGGCAGCTGGCTTTGGAAACTATTGACATCAACAAGGTGAACTTTGATCTCATTATGTACGTAAAGAGAGGTAGACCTATTGACTCTCACCAAAGAGATGTTACAGGATTGCCATAAACTGAACAGGTGATCAAGAAAATATTTTAAAATAAAAATGGATTTCAACTTTTAAAGAAGTAATATATAAATGGTCACAGGGAATGAGTATTACACTGTGCCAAATTCCAGGACTTGCTATATTCAGGCCAAGGTCAGTACCAAAAAAAGAACCCACTATTAGACTGAAGGATCAGTTGTAGTTTCATGTGTATTATCCTTCAGACTACTGGAGCTAAATATGACTCCTGTGTATCAATGGAAAGTTGAGGTGTTGGCCTTTCAGATTATGTGATAGTGGATCTTTAAAATTAGTTCCATGATTTTTTCTAGTAATCCTCTTTTCTTTCTCACCCATACCCCAGCCCTCTCCTAGTTCTGATCTGATATGGTTGTTCAGGGGGTGTTACCTCACAAGCTTAGAGTTAGATCCAAAAACTGGGGTTCCTGTTTTCTGAAAAATGTAAAACTAAAATCAAGTCAGTCTTGAAAGTGATATGAAATAATGCAAGACTGTAATCAGAATGATGTCATTGACTTTGAAGTCCAGTATGATGCAACTTAAAGATGCTAGATGTGATTTGTTCAGAGCTGTAAAACTCTGCCAGAGCCAACAATCTTTTTCGAAGTGGTGATCTTGGACCAGGAATTAGAGAGAGAGAATTCTGATCTTCTGACCTGTTGTGAAGGACAACTAAAATTTCAGAATTTTCCCCCAAAACCTTAAAAGATGGAGGCCCAGATTACACTCTTATTTTTTCCCTCACTGTATTCCCTGCAAAGACTTTCCGTCCTTGGTCTAGAGTAACCAAAATCAACATTTTAAAGCCATCTATTTTCTCCCACTTTTTCTGCTTCTACCCTTCCCTAAAATCTGGGAGGAAACCCTCTTTGACTGCTGTGTTTAATGAGTAAATAGCAAGAGCGAAAGAAGGTGCCTGACCTAAGAATTCTAGTGACTATCCCACTTACGGGCACTTGGTTATTAAGATTATTATAGTTTGCATTAAATCATTGCAGAGTGCTTATTTAGGCCCTAATTCTGCATGTTGTGATGTGCAGGTAGACTGTCCATGCAGCGCCCCATTGAAATCAGTGGAGCTCTGTTCATGTTCAGAGTCTACCCCCAGGAAGTAGCTTGTGGGGTCAGGGCCTTAGTGGAGAATTATGCATGGGAATGAAATACTTCTGGTGCCCTCCTCATTAGGAGGGATTTTAAAGACAGAACTGAAACACTGTCATTTGATCATATAAACAGTATATCTACTTTGATTGCAGACTTCTCCGGACAGGACCATACTTTCCCATTGCCATTTGTACAGCATGAAACATGCAGTTGATGCTTAACAAATACATTGTTTTTTAATCCTTTTGAAAGGAATGTTAGTCTCATAATTGAAATCAATGAGCCTAAGATTCCTCTCTCCAGTCCAGGAACGATCTTGCTGTATATATACTAATTACCTTTGTCTGAAAATTCAGTGTAGTGCAGATTGCTGATATTTGCGTGTGAGTTCTCTCATTCAGTTCTTGTTCTCTTATCCTCTCCTTAGGATCCTTATTTTATGAAAAATCACTTGGGTTCTTATGAATGCAAACTCTGCCTAACGCTGCACAACAATGAGGTGAGTTGAGCATCTGCCTGTTGATCTTAGTGGAAAACCACTGTTCTAGAGGTGCATCGGGTTCTGGCAACTTTGATTCAGAGCGTGTGGGGGCAGTGAGAGTAAAGCACATTTAAACTGATGCTGTAAATCGGGTGCTCTGGTTTTGTGCACGTTCTACACATTATTCAATGCAAATTCTTCTGCCATACAAAATATGGGGTTGACATTAAGGGGACCCTAAATATGAACATTATTAGGGAGCAGATCCAAGAATAGCACAGAAACTGGCATCCATCTTCAAAGCAATAAAATGTTAGCTACCTCTCAGGAATTTCCTAAATTGATATCTTTTCATATTACGCTGTCTCAGCGTTACTTGTTAATGTGAGCTCCGCTTCAGAGCAGTTCTGTTTAAAAGGACTTTCCTTTGAACTAATCCAAACTGTTCTTGTGTTGGGTGTGTATTTGAATAAACTTCCAGTGGGTCAAATTCAATCATTCATCAAGCTTGAATGAATGTCTTTAGGTCTTCTGTCTACTCTGCTGTTAAGTATAATAGACACACAGTTGTGCTGTCTTCAGATGTAACCCCTTAGAGATGGTCTGATTTCCAAGGGGATGACTCCTACAAACTGGCTATTTTTTGTTTTGTTTTGGAGGACATTGGATAGAACTTGTCCCTGAATTTCACTCTGTGACAAAAGGTTCTTACAGTACCTAAGACCAGTAGAAATGTATCCATGAGTTAAAAATTAAAAAAGCCAATGGAAAGGTTTGATTAGGCTGAAAAAACATAGACTGTGTTTGCAATGCGCCACAGCACAAAGCTAGTGCAGGAAAGCTAGAAAGTGGTTGCTGAGAAACTGAAACAAAATAAGTAAATTTGCCATTTCATATTATTTCACTTTTAATAATCTACCTAGTTTAAAAGTACCTTAAAGATGTCTTTTTATTTAAGAAAAAAAAAAGAAAATTAACTTGACGGTTTCTTTGTAAGAGCTAGGAGAAGGAGCATAATTATATGAATTGAGGTTGGTTTTCATGAGGAGAGAGTAGTAGATCCAGACTCTTGTCTGAAGAAAGTACCACCCCACAGCCCCACTGTCAAAATCCCTCCACTACTCCCTGTGAGGTCTGTTACCCGACTGCCAGTTCCTGAACTGACCATTGGGTGTGTGGGAGTGGAAAATGGGCGAGACCTCCCAATGTGGGTTGAGAGGTAAGGAAGTGGGGGGTTGGGACATGTAAGAGAGGAAGGGATTGGTGGTTGAGAGTTGGGTTGGTGGAAGGGATGGATGAGGCCCTGAAAAAAAAATAGATTTTCCAGTTCCTCAGTGTAATTATGAGGAGGAATAAATTTTCCCTTTGTGCTGTAAGGGGTAAAATGTCAGTGTTTCTTAGAGCTTTCTTCACAGGACAGGTTAACTCCCAGTAGTATTTCATCTGTGACAGTTGGATACCTCCCAGCTTACTGTCATATTTAATTTTCTTATGTCTTGTTTTGTTGCAGGGAAGCTATTTAGCACACACCCAGGGGAAAAAGCATCAGACCAATTTGTAAGTTCTTAACTGCAGCATTTTCCAGTCTCTGGACATTTTAAAATACATAGTCACTCTTTAATATGTACTGTGTATAAGTTTTAACAAATACTTCATCCCCATTTGCAGTAGAAATCAGAGAGCAAAATTAGTTTTGCTGTATGCAGGAGGTGAAACAGTCCAGTTTGGTTTTTAAGCTTCCCTCTTTCCCTGGGTGCAGCCCAGTAAGTAGTTCTTATTTTCAGACTCATGTCTTATTCTTATGTATTGAGTGATTAAAGTGGCTGAACACAAGGTGGCTGCAGCTGATGGTGAGGAATATCTGGGAAGCCATTACACAAAAACACATTGTACCTGACATCACTAAAATACAAATATATTGTAAGGAACAGCAGGCATGGAACGTTTGTGATCTATATGGTGTCTAATTCTATGACCTGACAAAGTAAGTTATGGGACTTCTGGAGTACAAAAATAACTTTCTTTAGGGCATTCTGAAAGTGAGCAAAAGCTCATGAGGGTGGGGGATTTGAACATAGAGTGTGAAAGTTTGATAAGCTGTTTGATGGACGTTTTAGAAGCTTACTTCCAAGGAGCTGAGCAATGCAGTGGCTTAGGGTGCTAGCCTAAGAAGAAGGGTGGCCCACTCGTTAAAGCATTAGCCCGGCATGTGGGAGAGCAGGTTTAATCCCCTGCCCTGCCACAGACTTCAGGTGTAACCTTGAGCAAGTGTCTGTGCCTCGGTTCTCCAACTCTGGGAGGAGAAATACAGTAATGTGGCGCCATACAGTCTCCCTTACTGTAGTGTCTAAATCCTTAGATAAATACCGTTTCATGTTCAGAGCATTTAAATCCATGTGTCAAGACACCACATGCAGTTTAAGGTTATTCAGTGCGCCTCAGTTGACAGCCTTTGCTAAGGGGAAGCTGTGGGTCACAGTTGACCTTGATTGACGGAGTGGAGTACTGGGTCTAGACCATACTATCTCTTTAAAAATAAATAAGTAAATAAAATTTAGTGCAAATAAAGAGCTTGATGCAGAGGGGTTGGGGCTCCCCTCAGTATGTCCTTCTCAAGCCAGCGCTGGTGAGCCCTTAATTTCACAGGCACTAAATTCACCCACAGAATTAAATAACAAAAGTGCCCTTGATTCAGTTGGCAGGAGCCTCCAAGCTGGAGCAGCTTCATGTGCTAGGTGGAATGTGACGCACATGGGAGCTCTTGGTTCAGCATTGTTGCAGTGGTGGGTTCAAATTCAAAGCCTTATGGGCTGTAGTTCTCTGCATCAGGGAAGGGGTTGGGAAGAGACGGATGGCAGGGTTTCAAGGCTGGAGAGAGTACTCTGGATTGAAAGGATGATGTTCCTACGTGTAGTTAGATGATGACCGTCTCCTGTCCTGATTTCAGGGCTCGCCGCGCTGCCAAGGAAGCTAAAGAAGCCCCTGCACAACCTGCACCAGAAAAAGTCAAAGTGGAAGTGAAAAAGTTTGTGAAAATTGGACGACCAGGTTATAAAGGTAGCTAGTGACTGGCATGTCTGTTACATCTGGGTACATGGTGCTCTTTGGTGTTTGCTTGAAGTGCAATGCTGTGGGTATTAATTATAAATAAGCCTTTTAGCAGATCTGGTCACAAATTATAGGCCCTCGTCCCTCTCTCCTTGCATTGTTTTGTTTTCCCATAGAATGACTCTTTACAGCTGGCAGTCAAACAAGGATCTGTTCAGTAATACGTTGGTAGTCACGATCTTTCAGCTGTTACAGTATCAGCGGTGCAGGAGGTGGACAACATCAGATGTAGTCAGGCTCTCCTTGGAGTATAAGTCTCCCCCTTTCTTTCCACAAATGCTGAGGGTCACTAGTGAGATTTCTAGTATCAACTTTGCCCACCCGTTTTTATTAAAATAAATAAGAAAATCGCATGGCACTAAAAATGAGGCTTTGTCATTGTGTTCTTGGCCAAAACTTCCCTTCTCCTTCTTCCATGTTGTGTCCCCCTTGTGCCCCCCCCATGTTGTTTTGCAGTGTGGTGTGTGCCAGTTCTCTGCCTCTGCCCCAGAAGTGGCTGCACTTCACTGTTGCTATATGTATAGCTGAACACTTTGGGTTAAAAGCTATCAAATAACGTAGAGTATTAAAAACACTAAAAAACTCCGAATGTTCACGCAATTGTATTTCTCTGGAATGGTGCTATTTGCAATACTATCAGTTCCTAAAATAGGATTAGTGTCACTCCAGCCTCAATACTGTATTGCAATTTTCAATTTTTTTTTTTCATTTGTGCACCCCTAAAAAATTTTGAATGGAGGTGCGGACCCCTTTTGAAAATCTTAGACGTAGTCTGCGGACCACAGGTTGAAAACCACCGTTCCATGGTAATGGCAACCTTTTGTGGACCTCTTAGACATAGTATGAGGACTCCAGGTTGAAACCACTGCTGTATTGAATTTATTCGTTATTCTCTTACAGTGACCAAACAGAGAGATCCAGAAATGGGCCAACAGAGCCTCCTCTTCCAGGTAAGGTACTGTTTACGAGCATCTCTCAGAGGGGTGCTAGGTTAAGGAATTACTCCACTGGAAGTTCCCAGGAGGATGCATTAGAAAAGAGAGACTGGCATTGTGGGTGTTGGCTCCGTTCCTGGTAGACACGTTCCCACTCAATTAAAACCAGCCATCATCATATTCTTGACACGGGCTGAGGATTGAAGGGGACCTGGAGATTGAACCACCCTCTTATTCCTAGGGACGGTCTCTGTAGGACTGCGAATTGGCACATTGGCACCGGTGCTGGGGGAAACTTTCACTGCTGGTACTACTGATGATGCTGTAACTATCATTTGGGTGAATGGAGGAATCCACGACCAGGGCTGTCAAGCTGGTTTCTTTCACCAGCAGTAAATGTACTAACTTCTCCATATGAAGGATATGTATTGGCCTTTCTTTATAGCTTGGGGTGTTTTGCTGAGGAGGGAGGAATGAGTATGCTACAATATCACCCCACAGATCGATTACCCAGAGATTGCTGAAACCATCATGCCTAGGCATCGGTTCATGTCTGCATATGAGCAAAGGATTGAGCCCCCAGACAGACGTTGGCAATACCTTTTGATGGCAGCAGAGCCCTATGAAACCATTGCTTTCAAGGTACAATTTAGGGACTTATTGGCTAATAGTGATTGGGAAGGTGTCTCATAGACTTTAAGGCCAGAAGAAACCACCATGATCACCTAGTCTGACCTTCTGCATGTTGGTCTCTCTGCCACCCCATGCACACTCTGCATTTGTTGAGCTCACAGTGGGAATAAAGAGCAGTGTAGACCTGTTCCATCGAGCGTATGTGGATGTGGGGGGCTTGGTTGGCAGTGTTGAAAGAGGGGGAGAAGCACAGACTCCTGGACCACCCTTTGGGATCAACAGTGGCGTGCGGCTGAGAGCATGGAAACCAGGGCATCTGAGCGGCCGAGGAATTGGCTGCCTTTAGCACAGAAAGGAGCCCTTTGGGCCTTGCTCCTGAGTCCTTTTTTGCAGGTGTTAAGAGGAGCTGTTTTCTGTCGATACACTTGCCCTTGGCAGATATGAAAGCAACTTAATTCCTCCCCTCTGTCTATTAAGGTCTGATATGAGCACATCTCACAAAAGCCTGGAATAGCTGTTTATCTTGCAGCTCTAGTGCTAAAAAAAAAGGGCCATGGAGCTAATCTGGTGGTGCTAATAATAGTTCTTTACTCCTTTTGTTACAGGTGCCAAGCAGAGAAATTGACAAAGCAGAAGGAAAGTTTTGGACCCACTGGAACAGAGAAACCAAACAGGTAGCTGGTGGCTCATTTTTCTCACTTCTTTGTGAGGGAGTGAAAAGATAATGGGGGTGGGATCGGGAAGGCGCATAGGCCAGTGGTTACTAGTACTGATACTTCATGTTCCTCCAGTGATGAGCCTCAGTGCTGGCCTGCTGAGCCTCTCGCAAGACCAGGTTCTGAGCTCCAATCTCCAGTGTGGGTTGAATGCTTGGTGATGGGTCTGGCTGATTGATTACATTTATCCAGTTTCCTAAGGACACTGGGCACAAAGACATTGTGTGCTCAAGTTCTTCTTTCCTTGATCCTGTGCTCAAAGTTCCGTTTTCTCTCTAACTTGTCTAACGTGTCCTTGGCACGTGACGTGAACTTCCTTGGCTCATCTGAGTTACTAAAGGGGCAGGTGTTCACCACCCAAAAGCACAGTTTCAATAAGCCCCATTATTGGCATTCTCAGCAGGGAGATGGAGGTTTGAAGGGGTCATCAAGACTGAACTCCTCACCCATAGAAGGGGTCCCTCCAGGTTGCAGTGCATTTTGGGGAAGCTAGTACAGGAGGCAGAACTTCTCACCGGGAATGCACTGACTTAGCAGCAGCACAGCCCAAGGGACCAATACATAGCAGCACCATGCACCGCCACTAACAGGCACCAGCGGCCATATGGGTGATGTGCCCATGCAGTGTGTGTGTGTATATATAATTAATATATAAAATACATGAGACTGCTGGGCCCAGTAGAGCAGGGATGGGGTGATCTAAATAGAGATTGGATGTTAAATTGATCACTACTCGCTTAGAGATTACTCAGAACCCAAAGAGGGTGTTTCAGAGTATTTAGAATGAGAAGTGGGGCTGTGTTTGGTCCAAGCCCAGGGGTTGTCTGTTGATGGAGAGGCTGAGTGTGATGTGATCTGACACCTAGGGCTGAAAGCATTAAGCATAATGTTTCGATGGTTAACCATGTTTTTTGGGGTCCTGGGAGAGAACATGGCAGGACAGCCACCTCGTGAGGTTCCCAAGCTGTTTTGTTGATTGAATCTGTCTCTGGTTTTTTTGCCCTAGTTTTTCCTTCAGTTCCATTTCAAAATGGAGAAGCCCCCAGCTCCCCAGAGCATCCCTCCTGGACCCCCAGCTGTGAAGAGGCCTCCACCGCCCCCACTGATGAATGGCTTGCCCCCACGACCACCTCTCCCGGACTCCATGCCTCCGCCACCACCACCTCCAGGAGGCATGACCTTGCCACCCATGCCTCCCTCTGGACCTGTACCGCCCCCAGCACCACCTCAGCTGCCACCAGCTCCTGGGGTACATCCTCCTGCTCCTCTGCCCCCCATGATGAGACCACCTCTTCCCACAGAGGGGCCAGGAACTATTCCCCCCCCCACCTCCTTCCAACTGAAAAGCTCCTCCTGGACTCTTTTCCCAGTGGACTCCTTTTGATTCGTGTTTAATTACAAACCGTTATTTGCTCAGAGGGAAATCTTGGTCCTTTTTTATATGCTAATAGCTTTGCCAGAATCCTGTAGGTTCATTAAAAAGCTTTCTACATTGTTTTCTGTATCTACGTCTGTTTCTTTGGATTAAGAACGTTGTCTGTATTTTCCCATTAGTAGCGTTAAAGGGCTCAAGAAAATGGGTAGATAAGAAAACATTGTCTGCCTTGCTATCCTTAGTGGTATATATTCGAAGTTATAATCCAATCAATGGAAAAATAAGTAGAATTCCCATGAAATCTCAACTATATAACTGAAGTAACTATGAATTAAACCTACTTGAAGTAACATCAGCTCAGTCTCATGAGCTCCAACACAACGCTTCTCCCGGTGTTGTTTTTGCTTAGCAAGGGGGTCATAGCATTTAGGAAACTGTTCCATGCTCTGTTGTCACTTAGGATACCTCCCCCCGCCCTAGGAAAACTTTTGTGGGATTCCATGACTGCTGACTTTCCCCTGCCTGTCTCACCCACTCCAGAATTTAATTTTGTACTGGCCTTCTGATGAGCTTGCACAGAGTGCTCCAAATTCAGAGTTGCTCTGCGACAGTTCAGCTCCCATTGACTTGAGTACAGTTGCACTTGTTTTGCTAGGTTTGGATCTGGCCATATGTGTCTCAGCAGACTCTTGATAGAAGTGGATGTTTGCCCTGTGGGCTGTCTCTTGCTGCATCTTATATACCCAGCGCAGAGGCTGTACAGTGATTCTGTCTGCAAACGTACGTGACTTGTGTCAGACAGCTGTGGGCAAGGTCAGCGTAAAGTAGAATTTTGAAGTGGACAAATGTATTTTTAAAATGAAAATTGGCTAATGGAGCTATTTTATTTTATTTATTTTTTTAAAACTTGTGGAACAATAGTGAGAGGGATTTCTCTTAAGATGAGCTGGTGGTCAGCTGGTACTCTGAAGCCTGCATCTTAATAGGCACAGATTCAAGCCACAAAGGCTATCAGGTTGAAATATCATGCCCTGAGATGGGCTGGAGGCTCTGTCACTTGTGAGTCTCACAGTAGAGGAGACCTCTGAGCAAACAAGCCCTTTGGTCTATTCCCAGACCGTGGTCTCCAGCACTGCTGCAGATGGAGAGTCCTTGAGCTGTGTCTAGCTCATGAGTATGGCACACAGGCCCTGTGAACCAACAGAAAGGTCTGGTTGTGTGTTGAACTTGGAGTTGAAGACCCAGTTACCTTTTAAACACCTGTGGGCATCAGATTTCCATGGAATAGATGTGGGGGCTGTTATAGCCCAGTGGGGACAGGCTATTGTCGGATTGTTCCCAATGTTCTCTAATCCAGTCCAGTTCTTGCCTCAAGGTCTGAGGCTTCCATTTACTTCCCTTGGGCAACCCCTTCCTGATGCTCCTGCAGAATGAAATATTTTACGACCAGAGCACTGAGCTTTTTGGGAGGAGTTGGAACAGAATGCGAGTCTTTATGAGGTGACCTCTCTAAACTGTCTGCAGAATGGAAGAGCTGGTGCTCCCAATAATCAAGGGAAGCTTCTCCGTAGAGACAGCTGGTCAGTCTAAACCTACCTTCTCTCAATTTCTTCCCATTACTCCTACTTATACCATTCCTTCCAGTCTAACCAATTCTGACCCCCTGGATGTTTCAAGTCCTAAGAGAAATGTCTACCAATCCCAGTGAAGATTCAAGCCAGACTGGCTTTTTTTTCTCCCCACCCTTCTTTAAAAACATCTTAAGTCAAGGACAAGCATCCCTACAAATAAGGTAAACAGCTTTAATTTTATAACATTTCCAAGCGCTAGATGTCACGCCAAAAATAGAACAGAAAAACTCCTTTGAATCGGCCCTCCCTCCTTTATAGCACATTGGCCTCTGAATTTTTCTCAAGGGAGGTGTGTTCTGCATTGTCAACCCAAGGTCACTTTGTTTGAACGGGAGATGCAGTCCTCCCCTTACATAAGTGTTTCGAGGGATGCACTCGAGTAACTCTAGCCTCGGAGTTTAGCGCTGCTCAGAGCTGGAACATGAGGCCCGTGCTTGGAGCGGCTTTGCTGTGCCTGCTGCTGCTCCTCCCCTCGGCTGCTCTGCCTAGAGAAGGAGGCGTTGGGGGAGGACTGTCACCTGTGGAAGACCTGGAAATAACCTTTTCAAAGGAGTTGGGACTTGGAGAGGAGCAGAGAGAAAAGGAAGACGAGCACGTATATGAAGGAGCAGAACCCAACTTAATGGCATTAACGTCCAAGGCCACAGCTGCTACTCATCTTCTGAAGAGTGACAAGCCAGGAGATGATGCCAAAGGAGCAAAATGCCGTCAGCTCATCCCTGAGGAGGCAGTTTTCCCAGTTCTAGGGTCAGATTCCAGCCTGCCCCCTTGGCCCATGGGTGGGCTGGAAGGGCCAGTGTGCATGGTGAAAATGGGCAGGAGGCACGGCTTGGGACAGAGTCACTTGGAAGTCGTGGGGGTCCTTACCAGCTACGAAAGTGATTTCCTCAAGGTGGTGAGACGTTCAAGCTGGGATCAAGGCCAGTTGGAGACCTTTGGGATCTGTCCTGCTGAGGAGACCCATTCTGCTCTCCTGTCTCTGAAACACATCAGTGCTCACTTGGCTGACCCAGGGGAGAACAGGTTCCTTGTGCTGCATCTTGAAGAAGGTATGTGCTAAGAGAACCCTGAACTGACCGACGGGTTGAGAGAGATGCTCAGATACCATGTTGATAAGTGTGGTATTACCCTGCAAATATTGCTTTGCACACGAAAGAGGGAGGTTGGTAGAGGATGAAGTGGGGGAGGGAAAGAGAGTTCCTCTCTGAGTAGAAATGACCTAATCAGTATACAAAGTAGCAGCCGTGTTAGTCTGTATTCGCAAAAGGAAAAGGAGTACTTGTGGCACCTTTGAGACTATGCTCAAATAAATTTGTTAGTCTCTAAGGTGCCACAAGTACTCCTTTTCTTTTTGCTAATTAGTATAATAAACTTCCCATTTGTCTTTAGCCACCATCTGAATTGTGGTGATCACCTCGAGTGTGTCCCCATCCCTAACAACCTCCTATCCTCTGCTGTGACTTCCAGTGTTGCTGGGTTAATGGACTCCACCACTGTGCTTGTTCCTGGCCTTCAAGGGCTGTCTCACTGGTTCCTCCAATATTTACGGTAAAATCCAAAGGATCAGTTTAGACCATGTTCTCTTATTGGAGAAAAGAGGGGGGGAGAGAGGATATGTTCCTAAAGGTGGCAACAATGTTCTTGCCTGCTCTTAGCAGTGACCCAGTTCATAGAAGCTCTTCATACCCCAGTGGTGGACCGGGCATAAAATCCTAGAGAGAGCCGATTGCTGAGAACAATTCACTCTTGTTCTTTCCTCAGTAGTGTCGATCTCCTGTGTAATGTCTCCAGTCCCGTTCTTGAAGCATATCTCAGTCCTTGCTGCCAGGGTGAGTTTGCCTGTGTAAAAACCCTGCAGTTCCTCCTTTGCAGTACATGGCACGAGGACTCTTAAGCAGGCAAATGTGAATGGATCTGTCCAGGTGTAGCCACCCTGCACACTTAGCCTGGGGTGGGTGTGAGGAGAGGGCAACTTTGAGAGTCTCCTAAATCAGTCTTTGGCCCTGTTTGCCCTAGCAGCCAAGTCTGTGTCTGAGGGATCTCTTGCCAGCAGCGTTCTAGCATGGGCAGGGATTTGACCTGGCTGAGAACTGTGCTAGTTAAAAAGGGTGAACTTTCTTCCCACTCCCCTACACCCACCTGCCAGCCTACAGCATATTTAAATATATAACTCTTAGTGCTGGCTTGAGATGGTCAGATTAGATGATCTTAATGGGCCCTTCTGGTTTTGAAATCAGTTTAGTCATATGCAGCCACAATGTCAGTGTTCCCTTACTTTGCTTCTCCAGGTCAGGGGTGGGATCATGTCCATGGAGGAAAAGGTAATTCAGTCTCCAAGGCACGTCCATTTTTTTTTTGGCCTGTCTGCTCTGGAGCTGGGTTTTGTTCCATGGATGCCTGCCTGGCATCCCTGAGCACCCAGCAGCTGTTGAAAACTCTGCTGACTTGGGCTGGGTTTGAACCAGCAACACAGAGCTGGATAGTGCTGGCCCTGGTCGGCAGTGCCCCGAGCTATCCAGTTCATCCTGAAGCATGACTTTGCATTACTGTTCTCGGACAGAAAGAAATCTTGGGCATACTTGGTGAGAGAAACCACGCGATAACTGCTCCCAGGACAGTTGTATTTCATGAGCATGGCTCTGAATAATCTGTTAGTTCTGGCTGGGGGAAGCTTCCCAGGGCCTGCAAAACAGCAGACCTCTTTTGCTGTTAACCATTTTTTGTACCTTTTTAGTGAAAACGAATTTGCCCCCCAAGTTAGCAAAATGGTGTCCCCTAAGCATTCAGCCATATTTTGCTGTAGTATCACTTGCATTTGCTAGTTAGCACTAGTCATGTAACTTAAGTAATGCAAAGTTGTTAAGGACGTTCTTGCAAAACCAGGTTTATGGAGGCTGCGTGGTTTGTTGGATTGAACAGAGGCCTGGGAGTCAGGACCCGTTCAATTTCATCTTGTCTCTGATGCCTTTCCTAATGCTCTGATCTCTCCAGGATCACCACACCCAGCACCACTGTAGTCAAGCTCCTGGCCGGACTCAACGGCACGAGTCACTTAGCCCAAGCTGGTACCCAGCAACTGAGGTGCCCCAAATCAGTGGCAGTTTCTAAACGTTTTTGGTCTTTAACTCCCTCTGAAGCGTCTGGCACCGGCACTGCAGGGAGACAGGATACTGAGGTAGATGGACCATTGGTCTGACTCAGTCTGGCTGTTCAGATGTGGGCATCACTCCTCCCACTCCAGCCACCTGGTCCCTGCTTCTGAAGAGGCTGTAGCTTCTGATCCAGGATGTGCATTTTGCCAGGGCGGGTTATCGTTAGGATGAGCAATTCACCTTGCTCTGTGGCTTGGAGATCTTTGAATGACTTCCCCATTACTGCTTCTCCTGCTGCCTCCTTTCTAGGGACTTCTTAAATAAATCCGTGGTGAGCCCCACAGGAATCAATGGTAGGATCTTGGGCTCCTCTTAGAACAGCTTGTTACAGGACTAGCTTCTGCCAGAGAATGCATTTCTGATGTCCTCCAAGTGCCTTATCCCATCTCCTCGAAAGACCTCCTGCTGTGACCGATTTCAGGAGGCCACACACACACACTTATCCTGGATGCTGCTGTGGGTATGGAGAGCCATCAGCAGGAGGAGTGAGAGCCTGGAGAAACTAGACAGGTCAGAGTTTGAAAAGGGGGAAGGTTTCAGTCTTGTAATGAACTGGGTGCAGTGTGTGGGAGAGTCTTCTAAGGGGCAGGGTCTGGGCTTTCGAAGCAGGAAGATCTGGATTCTGTCCTCAGTGCTACTGAGAAGTGCAGGCTGGACATAGTGTCCAGCACAGTGACAGCCAGGATGTGCTCATTGGAGGGCATCCCACTGAGCCCAGAGACACACGGAAATTGCCCCTTGCTGCAATGTGTAGGTACAGCCAGGATTTGTTAAAGTGGCACCTGGCTTGATCTTGGCTTGGAACAAGGGCGGGGCAAAAATGTCCTGAAATTCCATGCTGTGGGCAGGGCAGCAGGAACAAATACCTTCTAATGCCTCCAGTGGACAAAGGGCTGGGGTAGATCCCTGTGGCAGCCCTGAAACGAAAGGAGCCTAGGAACTGGCAGTTCAGACAGGGATCTATTCTGCTCATTATCCTGGCTCCAGCGGTGGTCAGGGCCAGCACCAGCTGCTTCATAGGAAGCTGCAATAATCCCAGCAGTGGGTGGTGATAGAAAAACCTGCCTATAGGGAAACTTCTTCTTAATCCCTGGCAGTTACCGATTGTCTTATGCCCCACGACAGGAAGGTTTATAACTCTAATGGTTTTGTTTTCTAGCTAGTGCCAGTGTGGATTCCTCAGCCATTATCACAGTCTGCCTAATCCCTTTTTTTGTTTTTTTTCTGGGTTTTTTTGTGTGTGTTTGTCCCTTGAAATGCTTGGCCTCTGACATCTTATGTCCAGGAGTTCCACAGGTTACCTGCATGTTAAAGGTGTATTTCCATTTACCCAGTGAGAGAATCATGCTGTTTGTGTTGGCTTTTCTCTGGCAGTGAAGTGGGATGCTGAGACAAAGCTCAGGTTTAAGCTGGCTTTTCAAGAGGACGTGGGGCGGTCACTTGGAGAGCTCCAGTCTGCCTTGCTGGTGTTTTATCCTGGAAGCAGGGAAAGGAAGGGCAGCAAAGCAAGAGAGAAGCTCCTGGCAGCAGGAGAAGGGCTGCACCAGAAGCAGGTAAGCAGCTGCCCATGGCTGGCTTTCTTTATCTGTGCCCAACTGCTATGCGCAGAGCAGTGGCAGGGCTTGCTCCCCCCCCCACCAATATGCCTCGTCCTAGATCAGTAACAGGGCTCAGTCTCCACGACCCAGTCAATCCGTGGCCCTCTCTGCTGCTCGCAAGTAGCATCTGCCATGATGGGGTTTTTTTGCAGCATAGATCCCCACACTAGAAGCTGGATTGGGACCTGGCACAGGCAACCAACCAAGTAAGCATGTTGCTTTAGGTTGCATAGGTCACCTTGAACCATAACTTTTATTTTATTTTGTGCCATGATTCTGGTGCCCACCCCTCCACCATCCCCTCCATGGATTCTCTTGGAGTCCCTGATGTAGTAGGTGGAGACTTGATGTGCCTCGGTGTTCCTGTAGGTGGCGCTCTTATCCCATCCGCTAAACCGAGTGCTGTGGGAAAGAGAAGGGAACAGGGATCTCTGTGTGCAGCCAGAACTTCCCATGCTCCCTGGTGAGGAAGGCAGAGAGCTCTCAGCTTCCAGGGCGGGGGCGTTGCTTGCTATCAATTCATCACCCACTCACTGGCCAGCACTGCCATGCTCCAACCGCTCCAGCATCAGCGTACCAGGCTGTGTCCAGCAAGGAGAGGCAGGGGTTACTCCTGGCTGCGGCACCCCATGTAACCAGGCAGCCGGGGCAGATGCACCACCGCTGCTTGCCTGCTGCTCTGTCTCCACATGAATCCGCTGATGAAATGCATCCAGTGGCCTGAGCTGCGAGTGGCTCTGCTCTGAAGGGCGACTGTAGAAACGGCCCTGTAGGGCTCTGTCTGTATTGGCTGTTGGGGATTCCAGCTCGAATGTGCTCACTTCTCGTGGGGCATGCGGTGTCCTTGAACTCGTAACCACAGCTCTGGCTGGGTCATCAGCAAGGAATAACACTGGCGCCTCTATATCTAACTGCATGAGCTAAAGGACCAGTTTTGTTGGCTGAAGCAAACTCATAACTGTCTGTACGTGTTATCCCCACTGAAGGGGGACACAAAGCCACACGGGTCGCTGGCATTACACCTGCGGACTCTAGCTGGGCTCGAGTACCAGAGCACCGGGCTCTGGTGCTAAAAGCAGTCCTGTAGACGTTCAGGCTCTGAAGCCTGGCAGGGACGGTGAGGGGGCTTCAGAGCCCGAGCTCTGGCCTGAGTCGCAATGTCTACAGAGCTGTCTTTAGTGCTGGACTCGGAGCGTGAGCCCCGCATGCTGGAGGCTGTAGAACTGGGCTCAGACTCGGGGCCGCGGGCTGCCATTTGCCGTGTAGGTGTATCCTGCGAATGACTCTTTCCCCGTCTCACCTGGCCCGTCACCTGTGGTAAGAGTCTGCGGGCCAGATTCTGCCCTTGGTGACAACGGGGTTGAACAGGAGAAATGAAAGGCTAAACTTGGCCATCCAAGGGGAATCTAGTACAGTTCCCTGGAGGATGCACATGAAGGACTAGACTCCAGTGCCCTCTCCTGGAGCTGGGCTGGCCTGGCAGCGCTAATGGGAACAGACTCTGGTGTCTTCTACAGCTGGGCCGATTGGGCTCTGATATACACACGGGGCAGAGCTATTGAATAAGGATGAGGCGTTTTAATGGTCACTTTTCAGAGCAGAAGTGCCCACGAAGGGCCGGATTGCCAAGAGCTCAGCCGCCATATGGGCACTAGAAAAATCTGGCCGCTTATTTAAGTGCTTTCCATCAAGCAGTTCTGCAGCAGAAGGGTGTGATGGGGCGCAGTGCCCCCTACAGGCACACCTTTGCCATCTCACTTTTTTGCAGGCTCCATCCCAGTGAATATTAAACCCCCTAACCTTGGTGCCTTCTCTCTCAGCACGGCCACTCCCTGAACATCTGAGAGCCAGGATTTGTTTATATCGCTGACGCAAACCAGGCTGTCACAGCTGATCCCACTACAGGAGATTGAGCCTTGTGCATCTGTTGGATTTCAGCTCCCAGCGGGAGTGCGCAGCCAGCTGGGTAGAGCTGCTCTGCACATGTGATCTGAGCCTGTTTGAGGCTGAACACTGAAAGGAAAAAAATACAGAGACAGCTAATGGCGTTCTGCTGGTGTCCAGCCAAATCTTGTAGGGTTTTGCCCTCTGTTGGGGAAGGAGTGAATACAGGAGCCCTGTCGGAGGCAGTGGCAAAGCTCCTGTTGCCTTCAGGGGGGCAGTAAGGGACCTGTGCTGGAGCAGGCATGTGAGAGCGCTCCCTCGGGACACGCTGGAGCGCTGGTCAGGCTCCTCTGGCGTAGAGCTGCCCACGGCTGGAACAGGCAGCTGCTCGCCTTCAGGGGTCTGCCACCCAGTCGGCTGCACAGGGAGAATCCCACGCAGCTTAGAAGCTCCCTCGTTTGTTTAAATCTGAACTTATGACCAAGCCCCAGGCTAGGTGGGCTCCACGTCAGCGTTGCCAGAATGGCGGTCTGGGGGCAGCCCCCTGAAGGAGCAGGGGGAAAGATTCTGTGGCTGCTGCGGCCACTGCTACAAACTCTGAGTCTTTTCCTTTCCAGCATCTTCCAGTGCTGAAGAGATGGAGCCCCACCCCCTCCGCCCCCATTCCCTTTTCTGATCTGTTCCCCAGGGGCATGGCCCTGCCTGCCCCCTCTGATCCCTGCAGCCCTGGGAGCAGCTCAGCAGATGCGCTGATAAGCCCGAAACAGCCAGGAACAGATTGTAACGCTGCCGTCAGCATGTAGATCCCAGAAGGAAATGGACAGAGCTGCCTTTGTAGCCAGCAAGGCCTCTGGTTTGCAGGCAGGGGGAGATCCAGACCAGACGCTGTCATTCCCCTCCAGCTCTCGAACACTCAGTTACCGCCAATTTATATTCCTTTCACGCTCGGCTGCCTGGGCCTCTGCAAGCCCTTCCCCTGGGTACCGTCTGGGCCTGCTGAGCTCTTGTCCCAGGTATGGGGTGAGCCAGGCAGGGACGGGTTCGTGTGCAAAGGGTCGCCCCCATCGATCACCCCTTCCGCTCTCCTCCGCCTCACCCGGGGCTCCGCTCTCTCTGCAGGCTCTCTGCCTCTCCAGGGATACCCGGTACCTGCTGCTCGGGGCCTCGGTGATGTCTGCCATCCGTTCACACAGGCAGCTCAGCTTCGACGTTTCCTTGGCAATCCGGCGTCCTGGTGACAGAGGTACTTGAGGGGTGCCCCTAGGCAGCTGAGTTCTCTGATGGCAACTCTTCCTAAGAGGGCTGGGGGGCCCGAAGCCCATTGGGGTCTCAAGCGTCAGTGGGGGGGGGGAGGCATGATGGCAGAGATAGCTCCCACTGACTGCCCGCTGTATGCAAACTGAGGGGTTATCAGCGTAGGCAGCACAGCCTAGGGGTTAATGCGGGGGAGTGGCAGCCCAGACTCCTGGGTTCTTTGGAAAGCCCCATCATTTTCCCCTCCAGGTGTACTGTGTGGACAACTCTGGGCTCCACCCCAAGGGCTGGGTGGGTGTCTGGGGAGGGCACCAAGCCCCTTAGTGGGAAGGCGCGTGCTGCTGATTCCCTCTTCTCCTTCCTCTCTGCTCCCTGCCAGGCTCCCTCCTGCCCCCCCTGGAGGCCCAGCAACTGCTCTTCGGTGCGGACGAGAAGTGTTTCACCAGGATGACCCCAGCCTTGCTCTTGCTGGTGAAGCCGCGATGCGAGGAAGACGCCCCGTCCCCCTCTTCCTTCCTCTCCGTGGGCGGTGTGCTGGAGACGGTCCCTTACCCGCAGCCCAGGTGTGCAGGCTTTTGGGATGGAAACGGGGGCAGGAGACTGGGGGTCTCCCCAGCTGAGTGATGGGTGGGAGGGGAGCGTCTGCCACTCAGCTGGGGAGACCCCCAGTCACCTGCCGTCAGCTCCAAGCAGCTCCGCTTGCCCTAACACCCCGGCTTTGCCCATGGGTCAGAACTGACGTCGGAGCTGTGCCGGTGCTGGGCATGGGGGGGACCCGATGGACCTGGGGCACAAGAGGCGGAGTCCCAGGAGACAGGTTCTTTCTGGGCTGTTCTCCACGTCCAGGGCTCTGCAATGGGTTGGCTTCTTTGGGGGCAGCCCAGTCACATGCCGAGGGCATTTCTGAAGATTTGGGGGGGCAGGGGCTGATGGCTTGGGGAAAGGGCTGCCCCCAGCTCTGAGGGAAGCATGTTCCCCTTTGAGGGCCATGTGAAATGAGTTGGGTGGTTCTCAGTCTTGTTCTTGGGAGACCTGCCCTCCAGCCTGTCGCTGTGTTCCAGCACAGAATCCCAAGGGACAGTGAGCCCCGCAGATGGTGCCGCGGGACGGCGGGAGGGGGGCATGGGTGGGAGGCTCATGCGGCTGCACTTGCCCTGTGGCTAGTGCTCTGTTCCGGTGGCTGCCAGCTGGGCACCATTTGCCAGCACTGAGCTCCCTGTGGGGCACGAAGAAAGTCACTCGGGCTCCAGCCCCACAGCATTCCTGGGTTGGGAGACCTCTCCAGTGCAGAGCCCGGCAGGGGGCGTGGACGTGCTTGGAGACTGGGTCAGGCAGAATGGGCTCTGCAGTGCCTGTGTTAGGGGCTGAGCCCTGACAATGGCATACAGCAGGAGTGGGGCAGGGAGTGCCAGGCCCTGCAGTCGGTGCCTTGCCCAGTGGGGGAGGGGAAGCCCCTGTGCCCATTGTGGGGAGGAGGGGGGGCTGGGCCCAATGGGGGAGAGGGAACCCCCAGGCCTGTGGCTGGGCCCATCGCATAAAGGACCCTTTGTGATCCGGTCTGTGCCTCCCTGGCAGCTCGCCCACTGGCGGCAAGGCCGAGGAGCCGGCCTCTAATGCAGCTGCTGGCCAGGCCGATGCTTCATCGCCAGCGCCCGGCAACCACGACCAGTTCCTGGGCAGCCTGACCAGGTTTGTCAGCAGGGTCCTGAGCCCCTCAGGGGAGCCGCCTGCTGCCTCCGGCCTCCACCACTGGCTGGACTTCAAGACGATGGAGACGCTTCCTCACCAGCTGCTCAACCTGTCGGAGCAGGCAGCCCTGGAGCGGCTGGTGCAGTCGGACGAGCCCCTGGTGCTCCTGTTCCCCCAGAACAGCCAGGCCCTGCTGGAGCAGCAGTTCGGGCACTGGCAGTTGGAGGGCAGACTGCTGCAGCTGCTGCTGGAGAAGTTCCAGGCTGTCATCCAGGAGCTGAGGGAGATCCCAGCCTTTCAAGCCAACACTGACCTCTTCCAGCATCTCCTGGCCTTCTGCTATTACCCCCTGGGGTCGGGCAGCAGCGACCCCAGGGAGCTGCCCCGTGGCCACCGGAAGCTGCACACACTGCTGCTGCTCAAAGCCCTGCAGACCGTTCGCGCCCACTGGCAGGAGAAGAGGAAGGTGTCCCGGCAGAACCGCAGCGCTGGGCCCCAGGCCTGCTGCCGGCTGCAGGAGCTGACAGTCGACCTCCACTACGAGAAGTTCATCATCGTCCCCAAGAGATACATTGCCAACAACTGCGAGGGCCCCTGCCGGTTCCCGCTCTCCACCCGCATCCCCGACTACTCCTCCCACACGGTGCTGCTGATGGGCATGCAGGAACGGGGCGCGCCCCTCCGGCGCAGCCCCTGCTGCGTGCCGGTCAAATACTCCGACAAGGAGATCATCAGAATCACCACGGAGGGCATTCAGGTCACGATGTTCCCCAACATGGTGGCAGAGGAGTGTGGCTGTCGGTAGAGACGCCCGGCCTGTCCCGTCTCTCCCTGGCGTCCTTTGGCCTTCGGAGCTTGGAGGGAGGCGACTGAGCTGAGGCTGGGGCCTGGGCTGTTGGTTTCACAGCTGCCTTTCCCCAGCAATACTGGCTTGTTGTTTCCCTCTGGCCCTGGTAGGTTTATGGGCCCATCACGCTCCAGGAAGCTGAGGGCAGCCCCAGGCATGTCTGCCCCCCTGGGCCCACAATGGCAGCAGAGCACAGGGGCGGCGCAAGTGACGTGTTCCTGGAGCTCAGAGGGCAGCAATAGGCCAAATCTGACCCCCCCCATCCCCCCTCCAGCTTTGTTAGAGGTGGAATGTGGAGCGGCCATGGTGGGCAGCAGCACCCCGGCCCCTCCCTGCCTGATGCTTGTATGTGCAGTTATTTATCAATATCTTTTATGGTTTCATTTCCCACATTTAGTGCTGAGTGTGCTGAGGGCAGGGGACGTCCTGGGGGAAAATCTGTAACTGGGGGAGGGGGAGTCTGTCTGCATACAGGAGATTGATGCAAACATGCCTGTGCCACTGATGGAGGCCATGGGCTAGGTCGGGTGCTGGGCTTTGTACACAGGCCACTTCATCATGGAAGCAGAGATTCAAATCCTGTGCTGAGAGGCAGGCCTGGCATAGCGGGGGCCCAGGGAAGGCTGGGAGATCGGCCTGGTGGAGCACGGGGTGCCGCAGAGCAGGTGTGTGGTGCATTGGGAAGGCAGGGCTGGGATCAGGCGGGGGTGCTGCAGGCCAGCCATGAGGGGCATGGCATTGCTATGGGTGAAGCTTGCCTAGTCTCTCAATTCAACTCCAAATCCGCCCCAACGTTTGTGCGGCTGAAGACAGGAAGACGGGGTGGGGAAGGGTAGGGGGTTGCAGTCTGCCCCAGGGGTCTAGCAGGGTGCTGTAGGGGCAGCTAACTCAGCCCCACATGGAGGGAGTGTGCTGTGGCTCTTGAGAGCAGTGGTTCTCAGCCCGCAGGCCGCTTGCAGCCCAATCAGCACCCAGCTGCAGCCCCTGTGACATCCTCAGGGCCGTACAGGGAGTGTATATATTTTGTGGATGCAGCCCCTATAACACACACAGAGCTGCACATGCAGCCCCCAAGGGTAAATAGGTTGAGAACCGGTGCTTTGGAGCAATGCTTTGAGGAGGTGGCTCCTTGACAGCGGAGCGAGAGAAGGAAAGATCTGCTGCTCACCAGGGCTTTGGGGACCCTCCCTCACTTATCGCAGCTGGCTAATCCCAACGCTGGTGGGCGCACACCCCCTCCCCAGACCAGCCAGGGCTTTGCTTGGGTGCAGCTCACAGTCAGCCCCCTGGTGCAGAATCCCCGAGTGACCTGGGGGCTTCTGCAGCTCCATGGAAGCTGATGGGGAGCTCAGGTTACAGGCCTTTGCCACGCACCTAGTACTCTGCTGATTCACCTAAACTTATAAAAATCTTGACCCAGATTTGTTTTTGAAACCATTCAGTTTAATACATTATTAAAAAGGACATTTTTGCTAACTCAATAGAGGTCAGAATAAACTATTTACCTCAGCTGTTTGGGGCTGCAGTGCTTCTTGTGTTCTTACTAAAGCATTGAAAAGTAGCACACTTCGCTTGTGTTTCTGTACATTCAAACTGCCCCTGAACGGGGCCGCACGGGAAAATAGGGGGTTGTGCCTTTGTTGCTCCTGCCTTAGAAAGAACTAGAAGGTTTCCCCCACCCCAGCACCCACCTGCTTGGCTTTGCCATTAGCCCTTCAGCTTTCCTTAGAAGTCTGTAGGGATGACTGGAAAACGAGTAGGATTGTAGCATCGTGGTCACCATGGAGGTCTGAAACCTGAATCGTTGAAAGGGAATGGGATTTCGATTCAGGCTGTTAGAACCTTTGTCTTTTGGTTTGGTTTTGTTAACACCATTTAATTCAGATGTCTGACAAACAGTTGGGAGAAAAGCTCTCCAGGTTAAAAACTGACACCTGTGGACCCTGAGAGAGCTCTTCGAACACGCAAAACCTCCAGAGAGTTCTCCAGCAATACCTGGACAGTCTGATTATTTCTAAGGTCACAAAACAAGCAGAAAACTATTTCTGGTGGGGAACCTCTCATGAAGCAAGAAAGGACAAACATCCCCCCCTTTTTGGCTCTCCTTTAAGCATCAAACTCAGGGCAGCCCAAAGTTGTGCCGGAGGCCCATGACAGCACTGGCTGCTCTCCCACTCCAGCAGCGATACCCAGCGCTGAGGCAGGGCTCCACATGGAGATCTCAAAACTTCTCACCTGCACTCACAGCGACCCCTGGGCCATAGCACAGTATCATCATCCCCATTTTACAGCTGGGGAAAGACAAGGCACAAAGAAGTGACACAACTTGCCCAGCACCACCCAGCAAGTCAGGGGCAGTGCTGGGACCAGAACTCAGATCTCCCACCGCCCACTCCATGGTTCTAATGACAAAACCCCCCTGCCTCTCTGTAGCCACAGGCAGGGACAAAGCTATCAATGGCAGGTGTGTTTAATTCCTGGGGAACTCGGCAAACAAGCAATGTTTATGGAGGGGAAAACAATCACCAGCAAATCTCTCACGTGAGCGTGGCTCTCGGGGATGAAAGGACAGGCTGGTGCTGGGCTGATTAAGCACTGCCTTCAGGCTGGAGCCTTGGGGGGCAGGGAATTTGGGTGCCCCCAGATTCAGTGTTGTTCAACCGCCTTGCTCAGGAATATTCAGACGCGAGAGGGCAGGTTCTCAGTCGTGCCTCTTGCCTTCCTTGAACTTGTGCTGCTCCCATGGCTTCCGGCCCTTGTGCTCACCTCGCTGCTGCTTAGAGTCCTGCTTCCAGCTTTCATCATGCCTGTGCTCCTTGCGACCTGGCCCTTGGGCTGGGGAGTCGGGCTTGGGGTGGTGGCCCTTCCCCTCGTCCCGCCTGGGCCGCTCCTTCCCCTCCCTCCGCTTGCCCTCCTTCCCCTCCCCCCGGGCTCTCTTGCTGCTGCGCTGCTGTACCTCTTCCTCCTCCTCCTCCTTTTCCTCTTCTTCTTCCTCCTCAGAGCCTGCTAGGGGCACCCTGTGCATTTTGCTGGCCTGGCCCTCTGCCGGCCTGTCCTTGGGCTGCATCTCCTTCTTGCCGCCTCTCTCCAGCTGAGCTACCATGCTCTCTCTGGGCTTCTCTTCCTCCTTCTCCAGCGCGCTCGGCTTCTTCTGCCCTCTTCTTGGCTCTGCCCTGGCTGGGGAGTCTTGCTGCGTTCCTTCCACCTCAGCTTCTGGATCTTCTGCTTCTTCCGGCTCCAACCAGCTCAACCAGTTCTTGAAAAACCACAGCTCTCCCTGCAGGGGAAAGCAGCACAAGGCAACGTGCCCACTCTTACCCTTGGGTCCTAGGCCAGCCCGGGGCGCCAGGACCCTTGTCTGTCTGTCTGGCTATTGCCATGGCAGCTGGAGCTAACGCCAGCTTTCAAGAAGACAAAAGCAGTTCCACGCAGGACCCTGCCCTCGTTCCCTCCTGTTTACACAGAGCCTTGGCCCCGCTCTGGCGTGGCCAGCAGTGACGAGCGACCTACCAGGCTCGTCTGTGGCCCCAGGGCACTTGGAGCAGCAGCCAGCCAGACAAGGTCAGCGCTCCCGAGTGACAGCAGGGCAGACCTCCTACCTGTTACAGAGAGGGGCTGGGAAGGTCAGTCACTGCTAGTGCAGATGGGACCTTCTCAGGGGGTATCTGGTGCCAGGGCTCTACCAGCTCAGCACTTCCTGAAGCTAGGCCTGATTCTGGGACATGGCGAGTGTCCCTGAAAGTGCCCTCAGTTTCCATCTACTCCAGGGGTGCAGGGGCCTGCGTCTTGCAGGATTGGGCCCAACGAGCCTAGACTGGCCTGGCTCCTCTCTAAATGGGTCCCAAGGCTCTAGGTGGCTGTGGCCTGCCCCTGCAGCCCTTCTGATGGGCATCACCCCCTGATTTCAATGGGACTGACTGCTTGTGTGAGTAAGGGCTGCAGGATGGGCCCTGTCCAAGGTGGAAACCGTCCTCGGGGACTCGAGGGCTCGGAGGGCTCTGTGCTTCAATGACGTACTGGCTGATTTTCTCTGGTTTGCTTGGGGGGAGGAGAGGATGGCACACAGACACCTCCCCCCCCCCAGCTCCCTCCCTGACAGGGTGCCCCAAATGGGTTTCGCTGCCATGACCTCTAGCCCAGCACGCGAATGCAATCACTAGTGGAGGGCAGAGTTAAAACCTTCCCCTCTTCCCCCCGCAGAGCCCAATGGCTGCTTTTCGGAGATGGTGCCTCCAAGGCCCCTCCTGCACTGCGGCTCCTCGCCTTACCCTCTCGCCGGCACCATCCTCAGGCAGGCTGCGCTCAGGCTGGGCCCACAGTCTGGGCTGTGTTTCGGGAACCTCGTCGTCTATGTCGATGACGTCTGGGAAGGGGGAGACAGTGGGCAAGTTCAGCCCTTTGGAGATGCACAGAGGGAAAGACTGTGCAGTGTTCCTGTGTGCTGGTACACAGCTGCTGCTTTCCACCCCAGAGCTGGTTACACTTCAATGGGGAATGCATTAGAAATAGGCCCAAACCAAAAGCCTGACCTAGAACTGCCTGAACAAGGAGGACAGGCTGGTTCAGATCTGAACAGGTGGTGTGGATCCATTTTGTTTCTAGATCTATAATATCCAGGGCTCACAAAGTGCAGTACCAAGGCTTGCCTTCACTCCCCCTTGTGGAGGCTTGTCAATATGGGATACTCCAGGAAATTAATCCAAATTAATTTTTAAAGTGGATTTGTTAAACTACATTAACTTGCTATGTGGATGCTCTTATTCAGAAAAAATGGCTTTTATCAGAGTTTGCTTAATTTGCTTCCAAAATGAATTAAATCTGAATAAGATAATCACACAAGGATTTAATGTGGTTTAACTAATCCACTTTAAATTTACACCTTTGCTTAATTTGGATTAATTTTCCTTAGTGTCTCCATGTAGGCAAGCCCTGGGTGATAGGCAGGTAACTATCATTATCCTTACAGATGGGGAAACTAAGGCCCAGAGCAAGGACAGGCACCATTTTCAGAGTGCCCACTGCTTGTGGGTGCCTCTGTTTTTTTTGGATGTCCCGCCTGAGCCCTCTTTTACCACCCGGTCTCAGTATGGCTGGTGGTGCCTAGTCTGAAAACGCTACCCTACGGATCTAGGTGTTACAGGTTACTCAGTTCTGCTGCCCTAGCTAGTAAGTGCTGGAGGAGCTTCTGTAACTGGTTGGTTCCTGTGTGCACAGAGATCTGGTGATGGGTTTGGGCTCCCAAACAGATTTCTTTACACAATTCCAGTTCACAGTTAAATCCTCAGCTTCCAGGCTTAGAGAATTCTGCTGGAGGAGTCTGAGTCCCAGCAAATGACAGAAAATGGCCACAAACTGCCCTGCAGCTCGCGGCCCTGTCCGTCTGTCCTGGGCTAGCACGAGGACCCAGTACGGACACCGCCCAACAAGTTTATCTGGCAGCAGGAGTTCGCTTCTTGCTTTCCAATCTGCTCAAAATCCCTGGGCCCTGGGCTTGGAGTGCGGAGACCCAGCTCTGCCGCAGACCTGCTATGCCAGCTTGGGCAAGTCCCTTCGCTCTCTGTGCCTCTGCTTCCCCTCCCACCGGACTTGCCTGGGGTGACTGTAAGCTCTTTGAGGCAGAGATGGCTCTTGCTGTGTAATTTGCACAATGGGGTCTAGCTGGCACTGCTAATATTAACGCGCTACATGGTCAGCAGCAGAGCTAGCTCCCCCCCCCCCCGTCCCAGTCCTGTGTTTTGGTCCCGCGCCCCCTGGGTGTGCAAAGGGGGGTCCGTCTCCAAGCCCAGCGCCCCCCAGGACAGGCTGCTCCCCGGGACGACCCTCGATGCTGCGCAGCTCCCAGCCTCGCTGTTCTGACATCTCTCACCTTGGAAGACCTGGAAGCCCATGCTTAGCAGAGCGACAAAGGAGGCGACCAGAATGCACTTGTTGAGGGTAAGCCCCTCCCAGGGGCTCTCCTCCTTCATGGGGCCGATGGTGCAGGGCTCGGCCTTCCTTTTCGTGGGAAGGGTCTTGGGAACTTGCGAGACACAAAGAAAGTGATGTTACAGTAGGGGAGCAGGCCTGACCTGGGGGAATGGGCTAAGCATGCTAAGAGGGGGAACAGGGATCCCTTAACATCACCTAGTCTGGCCACAAAGGAGACATAATGGTACGATCCCAAGGGACTCCTGTCTGTCCAGTTGTATCCCAGCTAGCAGGGAGTGTCCCCATCGCAGGGCTGGGAGCCTAAGGAGGAGAGGAAATAAGTGGGGATCCTCACACCCAGCTCCACCTGGGGTTCACTGGCTCCCCCTGCGGGGAGGGAATCAAGCTACTCCGGTTTGTGCAATTTTGTGTGGCTCTACCGGCAAGGTTCAAAATGGGCCTATTATAAACTGTCCAGCATGGGGTCGGCTGGATAACTAAAGTCCGGACTCCTGGATTCTGTTTCAGGCTCAGTGACTCAATAGGGGCAAGCCACTTAGGTCAACATTTTCAAAAGCAGGGCCCTAAAGTTTGGCAGCTCAATAAGCGGCCTGGTTTTCAGAGGTGGTGGATACCTGCAGCTCCCCGAGGAATTGGACTAGGATGATGGAGAAGAGAATTCATTTCTATCACCATGCTTTAGGGTTCAGCGCTCCCGGGCTGATGGGAGAAATGGAGACCGAAGGGTTTGTGCCTCATGCACTGACACAAGAATTGCTAAGCTGCTTTAAAGAGAGGATTTGTACATCCACTATGTTCCCGCACACTACACACGAGGGTACCTTGTGGCGAAGCAGAGCTGGCTGTCTCCTCCACCATTTCTACCCTCGTCACTGTCTTCTCCGTGACTGGGGCGTCAATCATGCTTTCCACAAACTCGTCTAGATCCTTCTCGACGACGTGCAGCGTGTTCCTCTCCTCCTTCTCTATCCCCTGAAAGATGAAGGAAAATGAATGTGTCACATGGCCAGCACAAACAGGGCAGCCAGGGGAAGAGAAGCAAAACCGCTCAAGCGATCTGTCTGCAACTGATATGGAGAAAAAACAAGCAGTGTGGTTGTAACCCACTGGTGCACGGGTGTTCTAGGGCCCCTTCTGTCCCCAGTCGAGAGCGCAGGTGGCTGATAGGGCCCTAGCTAGGAAGCTGCTTTGCTCCACAGCTTGTGCTTGTATTCGCTGGAGGTCCCTGGTTCAGTGCCTGGCACCTTGGCCGTCACATGATTGGAAGACGTGAATATGGGAAACAAGAAATACGTTCCACAATGTATACTTGACTTATGGAACTCACCGCTGATGGACATTATGGAGGCAATTACATTAGGACGTTTCAGCCAGGATGTGACAGGTGGCTAGAAATAAGATGAACATATACAGCTATGCTCAGCTAAAAATGGCAAGGGTACTGTGATCACACCAGCTCCTGAAAGTTAAATAGGGCTGGGCTGGGCTGGGCTGGGCCAGGAGGCCTCTAAGAGGAGGCCTGCTCCTGTAGAAAATGACTTGGTAGGTAGCACTCTTCTTTCTGATACTTTATCGAGCCAATGCCTCAGCAAAGTGCTGGGGCGGGGGGGCTGTGCTGCTGTCTTTCAGATGAGATGTAAAACCAAGGCCCCGACCCATTCTGGTCATCACAACAGTGGAGGCTTTTTCCCTGGTGTGTTAGCTACATTCCAAACCAGAGACAGTTTGGATCCCCTCAGCAACAAGCTACAATGATCTGAAATGATGTTTGCAAGATATGATTCATCCACCAGATGTCTCTAGATGCTGCCTGCACAGACTTCTCGACAAGACGTGGTGCCTGGCAAAGAGGAGACACGTAGCTGGGACTCAATCTGTGTGAAACCCTGGCCGTTTGTCTGTCTGCACTTCGCCATTTTCTTTAGCAAACACCTCCTGTTTAAGGCAGACTGATTCCATATACCAGCACGGTATTCTCAGCACGGTATTCTTCTCCACTTCTTGACCAACTATCGAGGACTAAGGACTGTTAAACAGCTATCACCCTCCACCCCAGAGGTGGATGAACTGGACAGACTGCCTCCTGGCCTTGACCAATCTGTGGGACTCGCAACAGACGGCAACGCAGTTCCCGGCAAGGCTGGTTGGGCTGCTCACAGCTCTCGTGTTTACAGTGCGTCCCCCCCCGCCCCACCACTAGGGAAGAGTCGTTGGCAGGCAGAGAGGACGGGAGAGTGGGTCTAATGAAGGGAACAAGGACAGAGGGGGGCTGCAGTTTGTAATGTGATTGGGGGGGGGGGGGGGGGATGCACCACTGCCCTCTGCTGGAGAGAGCCAGACTCACTCACACGTAGTCAATTATGAGGCCTATTAGCGAGTGCTGCCTAGAGAGGATAAAACTTTAATACTAGTGCCAGCTGCTGGAGGTTCTCCCTGCAGTCAAGTGACAAGGCCTATATTTGGGAGCGGTTCGATTCCCTATGCTGCACGTGGGCAGTTTAGCTAATGACTGCGCTGGGCCACGTTTGTACCCCTGGATCCATTCTCATGAGGCCCTATTCAGGGCCTGCCAAGCTCTGTGGGCCATGGCAGGCTGAGGAGCCAATGGTGGTGGTACAGTGCCTGCGAACAAGTGCTCTTTGAGTGTCAAAGCCTAGAAGCCAGAGAAGAGATGGCAGCACAAAGGGAAAAACCTCAGGGGTAGGGGAAATATTCATTACCCCACTCTCGGTCTAATCTCACAGGCTCGACATGTTGCTTGAGGATCCACCGTGAAGCTGAACCTGACAGGGTCCGAGTATCAGCCACAGTGTGAGAGATCTACTAGAATCCCCTTCTGTATTCGCTCTGCATCTAAACACTCCTGCGTTATACAATACCCCCCAGGACACTGTCCCACTCCGCCCCAGAGAGCCTCCTCTGGAAACTGGCTGGGGCTGTGGGGGGAAGCAGTGCCGTGCTGAGCTCAGGATACAATCACACTCTTGTTGGGTTCATTTTATTTATGTGATTGAATCCCTGGCACGTGAATGGGAGCCAAACCTTTGGTAAAAGGCATTTTGCTGAGCACAAGCGCTTTGCAGAACTGCTTAGCTGCAGCCGCTAATCCGCTTTGACGTGTCTGCCCAGAGGACAACGGATCCTTTGGAGAGAGGGAGCTTAGAAATGGAGATAAATTAGGCATCGAGGCCTGGTTCTGGTTCTAGTCCCTTCCTGCTAGGGTACAGAGAGACCAGGGCTCCCCCATGAATCAAACTGCAGAGGTGCAGTACGACTGACTCATCAATAAATGTGTCAGAGGCACCGGTTCACAGCAGATGGGGGAGAGCTGCCAGTCAACTCGGATCAGTGACAGCAACAGCTGACTGATGATACCTTTGGCTCTGACTGCGCATGGGTGGGCTGTGATTCCCCACAAAGCTCCGAGGAGGCCATGTTTCCAGCTAAATGTTGCCGACAGAAAGGACTCTTGCTTTTGTTCCCAGTGGGGAACATTGGAATTTCCTCACCTGCATAAAGCCAATAGCCCAACCAGTCCTGTAGTTTGGATTTGACTGTGGCCAATGTAATGTGCTTCAGGGGAAGGTGGGAAACCCTCACGGAATCATCGAACTGTGAGAAAGCAGCTGCTGCAGGGAGTCAGTCCTGACTCCCTCTGAGGATTAGTTTACACCTTGAAGCAGGAGGACTGATTTCTTTTATAGTTTTATCTTAGCTAGTGTCACTAGACCCAACTGACCCCGCCCCACTATCCCTGCAGCAAATTGCTGGCATGGAGAGAGGGGTTAAAAGAAGGAGACCTAGCCCAATGCAGGGCTGGCCCAGAAGGAGTGCAGAGAAGCCCGCTTACAGCCCAGAGACTGGGGTAGGTCGCTGGGTGGATAAGGGATGAACCGACCCTTAGGAGAACGGCTGGAGTACTGGTTATTGGAAGACAAAGCCCTGAACAGAAGGGTGGGGTCTCACTGAAGGTTTGCTGCATTTCCCTGTTTTGAGTTGTGGTTCTTCCTGATTTCCTTGGACCTTAGTACCCTGGAAAGGACTGAAGGGTGCCTTGGCTGGAGGGTTAATGCCCAGCTACACTGGACCCCATGAGAGACTGTGACCTACCAGCGGATACCTGAGGCTGGGTGAGTTGTGCCCTGATGGGCCATAAGGGGGCTGTGTACTGGTCCATCTGGTCACCATGATGTTCTAAAGAAGGTTTTCTCTCAGAAAATTGGCTTCCTTTTCATTTCAGTGGGTTCTCTCCTGCTATTCTGTTATGGGATGAGGTAGGCAGGAGGTCTGATAAATGCTCCTAGTCTTATTTCTTCCATTATCACGTTCTCAGTGGTATTTTCAGCAACTCCCCACAAGCCCAATGTATTGGCACCCCAGAAATTCCTCTATCACCCCCCAGTGCATCTGCATCAGCTTCCCAAACTCTCCTTTGCATCAGCACCCCTGAGCACCTGCACCCCACATCCCAGCTCTTCAATAATCTTTAAGAGCCTATTCTCCTTTGCACATTCTGCTGCTTGTTGGATGCTTAGTAACGGTGCTCTTCCTGCCCAGTATCTTCTCTCCTGCTGCCTCACACAACGCCAAGTTGAGCATAACCCCTTAGCCCTAGTAGTTTATGGGAGGCAGTTTTCCACACCTGTGACTGGTCTCTTCCTCCCTGTTCCCCTGAGCCAAGCTATGTCTTATGCCTACAAGTAACAAGCAATGGTTTCCTTGCTGCTTTCCTCTTCTACTGTAAGGCCTTCTAAGGCACTGTTGCCTAGATCCTCAGAGGTATTTAGGTTCCCAACTCCCATTGAAATCAATGGGAGTTAGGGGCCTAAATACCAGGGAGGATCTGAGCCTGTACGTCCTTACTCCTGTAGAAGTCCTGGAGCTGATGAAGCAGAAGTTTTGAGAGCACATGCCCCGAGCTCTTCCCCCAGGGAATGGAGGGATCAGGACAATGAGCTATGGAGCCTTTCATGTCTAGGTCCAGCCCAGCTTGGTAAGAACTGCAGATGACTTCCATCTGATGGCTGTGTGGTGGCCGGTGTTAAATGATTGATAGGAAGTGGGCCTAGTCCCAACAGAAACCTCCCCCCCTCCGGCAATCTGAGGCCCAGGACTGAATGGGCCATGGGACTCCCCTCCTACGTACAGGGGCAGCCCCTCCTGGCCAGAGTTAAGGCACATTGTCACGACAATACAGTGGGTGCTTGCCCTGCACCTGCACCTTTGCTGTGGGCAAGCGGAGGCCTTCACTCTCCAAGGCTGTCAATCCAGCACCTCTCACCAGGGCTAATTTAATCTATCAAAATCATAAGAATCCAAGGCCCTGCTGCTGATTTAACTGGATGTACCAAGTATGCAGGCAAAACTTGGGAAAGGGCCCACCCTACCCCCCAAGATCCGAAGACCAGGCCTCTGCTGCCTTTCTTGTAGGCCGTTAAGGGCTGTTGCAAACGTCTAGTGTCTCATCGCCTGGGCCTTCAGCATCGAGACCGTAAGGCTGGAGATAGTTATAAACAGGGTTACTGGACAGATGCTACTTACATGAGAGCTGCTGTTTAGCTCCTCTTCGCTTTGTGGCACCTCAGCATCTGTGAAAAACAAGTGCAAGCAAGATAAAACATACATTATGTTATAAACACAAAGTATGGGCAGCACGAGGGGCTCATAGCATGTGATCATCTTGCCACCTAGTGGCTGGCCTGCCGAGAAGATAAAAACCTTACTACTATCACATCCATAAATTCTCCTTTCACTCAAGGAGCTGTGCATCTGGACCCAAAGGTCCTAGCCTCTATATAGACCACAGACTCGTAGGACTGGAAGGGATCGCGAGAGGTCATATAGTCCAGTCCCCTGCACTCCTGGCAGGACTCAGTATGATCTAGACCATCCCTGACAGCTGTTTCTCTAACCTCTTAAAAATCCCCAGTGATGGAGATTCCACAACCTCCCTAGGCAATTTGTTCCAGTGCTTCACCACCCTGGCCGTTAGGAAGTTTTTCCTCGTGTCCGACCTAAACCGCCCTTGCTGCAATTTAAGCCCATTGCCCCTTGTCCTATCCTCGGAGGTTAAGAAGAACAATTCTTCTCCCTCTTCCTTGTAACAACCTTTTATGTACTTGAAAACTGTCACCATGCTGCCCGTGGCCCATGAATTCGTGCCGGATCCCAGGGCTGAAGTAGTGCTATGTTGTGCAGTGAAGAGGATGCAATTACCGGGGAAGATGTCTGGGTGCTTTTCTCAAATAAGTAATCGCTCGGCAAGGCAGGTTTTCACACATATAATTAGACGTAGGAGGCAGGAGTTAAAAGCCAGTTCTCAATTTGCCACACTGAAAATTCACTTTCACAGCAGCAGCCCAATTGGCCTTCAAAAGAAAAATCTGGGTGTAGGAATGGAGCCTCTAGCTGGCAAGCGCCAGGCTACTGGAAGTGATGGGACAAACTCCCTGGACCTCCCAGGCAAAAAAAAGCTGAGGGAGAAACAGTGATGTTCCCCTCAAAACACATTTAGCTGCTGGCCAGGCCTCCTGGCTTCCTTCTCTGCTCCAGGGATGCACCGAAAACAGGGTCAACGTCAGGCAGTGCTAGAAACTGCAGCCACAGGTGCAACCGTGCAGGGGAGGTATAGCTCACTAAGGTCTTCTGTCCCTTTTCTGTCCCTTTGTATTTCAAACTGACTGGCAATGGCTGAGGGCCTCCCTCTCTAACCCAGGGGCAGGCAAACTTTTTGGCCTGAGGGCCACATCGGGTTTCCAGAATTGTATAGCGGGCCGGTTAGGGGAGGCTGTGCTTCCCCAAACAGCCAGGTGTGGTCCAGCCCCCACCCCCTATCTGACTCCACCCAACTTCTTGCCCCTGATATGCCCCCCCGGGACTCCTGCCCCATCCAACCCCCCCCCCCAGTCCCTGTCCCTTGACGGCCTCCCCAGGACCCCTGTCCCATCCACCCCTCCCTGTCCCCTGACTGCCCCTGGAACCCCTGTCCCTGACTGCCACCCACTGCCCCTCTCCTTCCTGACTGCCCCCCTGGGACTCCTGCCCCCATTCAACCCCCTGTTCCCTGTCCTCTGACCGCCCCGCCCCCTATCCACACCCCCGCCCCCTGACCACCACCCCGCACTCCTCTGCCCTCTAGCCAACCCCCCCTGCTCCATGCCCCCTCACCGCGCTGCCTGGAGCGCTGGTGGCTGGTGGCATGACAGCTGCAGCGCCCAGGGCACCAGGACAGGCAGCCGCGCCGCCCGGCTGGAGCCAGCTACCGCGCAGCCCAGAGCACCGGGTCAGGCCGCGGTGAGCTGAGGCTGCGGGGCGAGGGGGCAAGCCTCCTGGGCCAGGAGCTCAGGGGCCGGGCAGCAGGGTCCCATGGGCCGGACATGGCCCACGGGCCGTAGTTTGCCCACCTCTGTTCTAACCTGATAGAGCCTGAGTGACTAATGACCTGAGACGCACAAGAATCCCCTGAAAAATGCACAAGAATCCCCTGAAAAATCCCCCAGGACTGCAGTGTCTCAGCTGTATGATCTGCAAGGCTAGAAAAGGACACTGGCTGCAGGCTGGATGCTGGTTATTGTCATTCCTGAAACAGTGATCTAAAATACAGTTAGCCTGAGGAACCCAGCCTTACTTCAGAGCTGAGATCTCAGAAAACCCCTGCACTACAGAAGATGACAATAACCCCCTGGGAAGCTGAGAATTTTTGTTTTCCAGTGGAATATAACGTTTATATCTAGTCAGAGCAGACTGAGAGACACTGACCCCTGGGTTACCATCTTACTCCCCCCCAACCTACTTCCACAGCTACATTTACAGCCCACTAACTGGAGCCCTGCAGCAGCCCCATCGGAAGGGATCCCAGCTTTCCAATGGCATGTAGTACCAGGGGCCTGAGCGTTAGCAGAGCGAGCACCCAAAACAGCAATTGGTGGCAGATACAAAGCACCTCTGAAAATCGGGTCCTTATGACTGGATCTTGAGACTCTGGCTGTTATGCTTCATTTGTGATGTGATGTTAAAAGGAAAAGCAGATTGGTACTTGGATTTCTCCGGTGGCTTGATACAGTAAATACGATGATGCAGTCATTGCATGATGGGGTTTCTCCTTCTTTAGCTCTTAACTGTCATTTTCTATTTCCATTGTTTGGCATGTATCAATGTTCAACATAAACTCATTAAAATAATGCCTCAATTTAATGAGGCTCTGTCTATCTTGGGGCAAACTACAGTATTTACGGGTCCCATCCGGCCTCATTGACGTCAATGGCAAAATTTCCTTAGTTTCAGTGGGGGGCAGGATTGGGTGTGAATTGCATATGATGTGTGTAAACGTTCATCAAAGCTCTGGAATTTTTTAACCTTCGGACTACCAAAGGACTTTCAGGACCAGTAAGATTCCCCACCTCCACGCCCTAGCACTAATCATGGACCAATGAATAGTAAGAAAATACAGATTCCTGAAATGTAATTTAAAAGGTGATGTCAAGAGAAGAACAATTGAATTTGTCCCTTTTTTCTTTCTGATGTGTAAAGAAGGCCTAATTTATTTATTAATAATTACAAAATTCTACTTGTGTTTTGCATTAGAAATACCAGGAATGTTAAATCTGGTCTTCCAGAAAACAGGGAGTCTTTGATATCCCAAAGAATACCCAGAGTTATAGACTGGAACCACTTTCTGATTAAAGATGCAAAAATGAGGAATCTTTAACAAAAGAGCTTTTCTCCCAACTGTTTGTCAGGGTTTGAGTGACAGGCATTCCCAGAACCATACAATCCAAACTATTTTATGCAGTCTGAATATAAAAGACTTCCCCTCTCAATCCAGTGTTGCTCTCTTGCTATATATGTTTTAACTCTACTAGTTCCCCAGACATCCATACGGTGTTCTAGGAAAAAGAGTGCAACGGCCCTGAATTCCTAGTGTAAGCAAACATGCAGAAAAGAGAACGTTTAAAATCTTCTGTTGGGCCTTTTTAAAGTAAAATGCAATGCTATATAAAGAAGCAAAACTGTGCATAAAAATCTCATATCTTCTCCTTTAGAGGTCACCTTTAAAGAATGAGGCAAATAGTCCAAGGCCTACATTCCTGACATGGATCTTACCACATCTCGAAAAGCCCGCACTAAGCTCTCTGCAAGTTCTAAGGTCACTTAATAATTTTCAATAAGCCATTCTCAATGCAAAGATCAGGATCTTAAGCATATAATCCCCTCACAAGACACCTCAAAGAACATTTCCAATGGTGTCAGCACAGACCAAAGGCCTTTTAACTCCTTGGATGCAAGAATAGCCTGTGCATCCATTGCTGGGGAAGACCAGCGTCACCGTGGGGGTGAGGTACCTTTTCTCACGTCCTCCCTCGACAGCCTTGGAATGCTCTCTGCCAGCCCTGGCAGCTCCTCTATGGCCTCAGGACACTCCAGGTCTCTCTCCAATACCTCACAGGTGCCTGTTGCCATGTCGCTTCCAGGGAGTCTTGCTAAATAGAGAGAGGGGTAAAAGAAATGCATTGCATTCGGCACACAACGCAGTTGGCAAGGGGGAGCACTGGCATCCAAGACCATGGAATTCAGGTGGAGTGCCGGAATGACACACATATACATGTAAAAAGAAAAGGAAGACTTGTGGCACCTTAGAGACTAACCAATTTATTTGAGCATAAGCTTTCATGAGCTACAGCTCACTTCATCGGATGCATTCAGTGGAAAATACAGTGGGGAGATTTATATACACAGAGAACATGAAACAATGGGTGTTACCATACACACTGTAACGAGAGTGATCAGGTAAGGTGAGCTATTACCAGCAGGAGAGCGTTCTTACAACAATACCCACCTGCTGAAGTGAAGAAACAGATTGACAGAGCCAGAAGAGTACCCAGAAGTCACCTACTACAGGACAGGCCCAACAAAGAAAATAACAGAACGCCACTAGCCATCACCTTCAGCCCCCAACTAAAACCTCTCCAGCGCATCATCAAGGATCTACAACCTATCCTGAAGGACGACCCATCACTCTCACAGGGACACAGGCCAGTCCTTGCTTACAGACAGCCCCCCAACCTGAAGCAAATACTCACCAGCAACCACACACCACACAACAGAACCACTAACCCAGGAACCTATCCTTGCAACAAAGCCCATTGCCAACTGTGTCCACATATCCATTCAGGGGACACCATCACAGGGCCTAATCACATCAGCCACACTATCAGAGACTCGTTCACCTGCACATCTACCAATGTGATATGTGCCATCATGTGCCAGCAATGCCCCTCTGCCATGTACATTGGCCAAACTGGACAGTCTCTACATAAAAGAATAAATGGACACAAATCAGATGTCAAGAATTGTAACATTCAAAAACCAGTTGGAGAACACTTCAATCTCTTTGGTCACTCGATTACAGACCCAAAAGTGGCAATTCTTCAACAAAAAAAACTTCAAAAACAGACTCCAACGAGAGACTGCTGAATTGGAATTAATTTGCAAACTGGATACAATTAACTTAGGCTTGAATAAAGACTGGGAGTAGATGGGTCATTACACAAAGTAAAACTAATTCCCCATGTTTATCTCGCCCCGCCCCACTGTTCGTCAGACGTTCTTGTCAACTGCTAGAAATGGCCCACCTTGATTATCGCTACAAAAGGTTTTTTTTCCCCTCCCCCCGCTCTCCTGCTGGTAATAGCTCACCTTACCTGATCACTCTCCTAACAGTGTGTATGGTAACACCCATTGTTTCATGTTCTCTGTGTATATAAATCTCACCACTGTATTTTCCACTCAATGCATCCCATGAAGTGAGCTGTAGCTCACGAAAGCTTTTGCTCAAATAAATTGGTTAGTCTCTAAAGGTGCCTCAAGTCCTCCTTTTCTTTTTTTGCGGATACAGACTAACACAGCTGCTACTCTGAAACATATACATGTGTGACTACATTGCTGCAAGCAATCACTAGCCTTGCTGTACAAACAGTACCAGGCGCAGCACTTCCAGAGAGCCTTTCAGTGGAGGATCTCAAAGACTTGTCACACACTCTCACTACCCTGCTGCGGGCTAGGCCTACTCTAAAGAGGAATAATGTGAGGTACAGAGAGGTTAAGTGACTCAGCCACAGAAGGAGTCAGGGCCAGCACTGGGATTACATCTCAGGAGTTTCCTGGCTTCCAGTCTGCTGCTCAGCCCATTACACCAGAAACCTTACAACATAGATATGTTTAAAGGATCAAGATTCCATGGATCACAGCAGGAAAACACCACAGGTCCTTAAGATCCTGTGAACAGTGCACCCCACTTGAAATGCCCATGTTCTACTGGAATTTGGATACATAAAACTGAGATCCAGCCCGTGTGTCATCATTAAAGACCCTATGGCAATTTTCTAAAAATAGCGGTGTAAACCACGGTGTTCTGAACCACTTCCAATTTGGGTACTGCCACTGTCTCTAACTTCCCCCTCAAATTCCACGTCTGCTTTGCGACCTGCTCTTAACTGTTGGGCGGCGTTGCTGCGTCCTGCCGCAGAGCTCCACCTCGGAGACAGCTGCATTGCAGGGACAGGTGAAGCAATTCCCATGTCGAAAGCCCTTTGAGGCGAAAGGTGCTGTAGAAATGTCGGCCTGCTATCGTTAACAGAATGCCAGTGTTCTAATGCGCTAAACCCAAAGCAATTAACACTTTCAGTGCTGCTGCTCCCCAATGCAATCTTCTGTGCTCCCCATTTTCAACTGATTAAGGCTAGCGGGCAGTCAGGATGCATCAGGTACGTGCATTAACTGTTAGGAGGTTCAGAGTTGGACTCTTCCTAAAGCAGGGCTTGCACAGTGAGTTCTGAAATTCTGGGCTCACTCCCCTTTCTGGGCTCAGCTCCTTGTCCCTGGGTAGAGTCTCCGAATAGCAAACCTATCCCCAGGGCTCCAGTACCTGTCTTAGGCACCGCACCAGCCATTGGTTGTGAAGATTGTAGCCACAGGGGGACGCCTGAAGACGTGAAGGGCCCCAGTTGCCCTCTGTGTCCCCTAGTCTAACAATGAAGTCCTTGTCCTCACCCTGTGCCCAAGCTGGGCTGATGCTGCAGGAGCAAGAAGCTTTGTGCAAACAGGAGAGTGAGGCTGCTGTCTGCCAGGAAGGGAAATTTTCAGTCTCAACAGTTCAGCGCTGAGTCATCGATTTCTCTCCCGTCCTGGTCTGCGGCTGCTCGGCTCCATCTGCAGGAAACCTCCTTTCCCAGGCAGCGTTAAGGGAGGTGACGACAGAACTTGAGCCCGGCTGGAATTTCTCCGTCTCCTCCGCCAGTTCACTGGCTGCTCCTGCCTCCCAAGTGCTGAACTGGACTAGGGCTGTGACACAGCTACAAACCAGAGGTCTATCAGCTGCCAATACCAAATGTGGTTCATGGAGACCCTGAAGTCCCACTCATGGCTGTTACCTGTGCCATTTATACCGTACCACATCTGACAGAACTTCTGGGCTGGGAGGTGGCGTGTGCTTACACACAGACACCATTGTTTCAGGATTCCGACAGCTGAATGAGGGACATTTTGGAACCCCATTCACACCCATCATGTGTCCCTGCCTTCACAAAGCAAGGAAGCCTAAGCTGACAGCTTGGGTCTCATAGACTCATAGATATTAAGGTCCAAAGGGACCATTATGATCATCTAGTCTGACCTCCTGCACAACGCAGGCCACAGAATCTCACCCACCCACTCCTGCAATAAACCTCTCCCCTATGTCTGAGCTCTTGAAGTCCTCAAATCGTGGTTTAAAGACTTCAAGGTGCAGAGAATCTTCCAGCAAGTGACCCGTGCCCCATGCTGCAGAGGAAGGAGAAAACCCCTCAGGGCCTCTTCCAATCTGCCCTGGAGGAAAATTCCTTCCCGACCCCAAATATGGCGATCAGCTGAACCCTGAGCATGTGTTCAACAGAGTAGAGGGTCCAAATGGTCATAGAACAGGTTACACCAACCAGTAGAACAGAATTTGGTTTCATGGGTCAGATCTCTGAGATCTCAAAGCATTTTACAAAGTAGCAGTTAAGATACTAACACTGTGACAACTGCGTAGGCCAAATGTAGCAATTACAGCTCACACACATAGTCTCTGCTATTCAAACTCCTTCCTCCACTTTGCCCTCTGAATCCTTTTAAAGACTCACCTAAGAATATCTTATGGTGTGTTTCCCCCGCAAACAACCATACACTTGGTCTGTTGGTTGTACATGCCTTAGTGCAGGACTCCATAAAGAACCTAACATGTCTGTAGACACCATGGAGGTAACATATAAATAATCCTACAGTTCTACCTTCATGTCAGCAACGACTTTTCAGAGACGAGCTCAGGTCCAAGATCTGAAGTGTGACTCCACGACTAACTCACACCAAGGAAGCTTCCAAAAATAGCCCCCTTCCCCGCTCCATCAGCTCCTTCAAGATAGCGGAATTACAGGCTCTTTCCGTACACAGATCTATCCCCGGCTAGCCAGCAACTAACTTCGGACTCCAGGCAAGCATTCCGTGGCCATGGATTTTCCTGTATTCGCTGAAAAAAGTTAAAACCCCACAAAAGGCATACCTAGGGCTTGAATGCAGCCGTCTTGCCTTCAGCCTCTTGTCTGGCTCAGTCTCTACAGAGTAATATACAGCAACAGGTGCTGATTTCTGCCAGAGCAAAATATCAACCAATCACAGGAAGCTAATGCCACCATAGCTTTAATATTCAGCCCGGGGAGACAGAAGAGGGTCTGACTTCACTCTGAAAGAGAGAGAGAATAACATGAGGCTCATTTGCTTCCTTTCATGACAGATCCATCTGCTTCCTTGGCTGCTCTCAGGAACAAGGGAACCATGGAGATGTTACACATAGCAGGGATATAGGATGGGAAGGATGAAGGGATAGCCTATGAAAAGCAATAGGGTTGGGAATACCCCGACAGGAATATGGTGCTAGGAAGCCGGGACTGCAAATCTGTCAAACGTTCATTCCCCAAACTGGAGCTTGTTGAGAGCACAATAGTGCAAAGTGCTTTATTAATGAATGTTTGTGAAGTGCTACGGCAGAGTGCTGAATAGCAGCAAATGCAGTTACCTTGAGTTGAGGAAGTCCTCATTTCCAACAGCATATGCAAGAGGAGAATCGGGCAGAGTGGATTCAGACACTGAAGTTACAGAAGGGTAAAAAACGGACATTATTTCCTAGTGTCAAGAGCAGGTTCTTTATTTGCAGATGCCTCAAATGGCTGAACTTCCAACGTGGGACCTGCTCCTATAACCTTTATTTTCATGAGTCCGACTGAAGACGATGGGGCCACACATGGAAGGGGGATAAAGTTGGGCACCTTGCTGCGTAGAGGTCTGCTCACAGCTGTGTTGCTGCCCTGTTAACCCGGCCTTGCAAGAAACTGGCTCCAGCCAACCAGCAACAGACAGGAACTCACCCTAGCCCCTCTCCTTCCATCGCACTCAGTCGAATAGCTGCCCCTGCCACCCTATTGTGGGGGTGCTTGAAAGCTTAACTGGGAACATTTAAATACTAACATGATTAACCTCCTCCCTCCCCCCTTAAAAAAACAAGGAAACTAAATACCCCCCAAAAGGCGCTAATGCAAAAATTCTGTTGCACAGTTAAATAATAGTTTTTTAAAACAGGGAAATGCAAAAAGCCAGGTTCCTCCCGTAATGCAACCCACATCATGGGTATTCTGTGGGCCAATACCTGGGGCAGATCTTGGCCCCTGCACAGTGGTGCCAAAAGAGCTGGAAAGCCAGAAGTTCTGGACCCTGAGGCTACCTCCTGGATGTGGGACTCCTTAGGTAGGCTGCAGCTGCTATAGCGGGTTCCCTCTTGGCTCCTGCTGTGCGTGAGTATAGGGGGTGGGAGGCTGTCCTCAGGGTCTTTACTCCCGGAGGCTACTGTACCCTATGCGGGGCACTGGCCCAACAGCCTGTTGGTCCCACAGCACAGTGTGTAAAAGGTCATTTAATACCACTTTTACCCCCGCTCCTGAGCTGGGCTGGATGCAGCCCAGGATCTGGGCCTATATTTCTAAAAGCAGAGGTCCCAGGCCTGTAAACCCGTCCTACTACACGAATGGTATCACTGGACTCATGGGGACTACCTGCATGTACGAAGACTAGGGCAAACCTTTAACTGTGCGTGTAGCAGGTAACATTACGCAATTAGCACAAAAACAGGAGAACCTTGTATTGCCAATCCCAAGCATGCACAAATCATGAAATTGGCTTACACAGCATGAGATTTAAAAAAAATGACGTTTGGGTTGTCTTCCTGGGCTTCTAGTTCAGCTTTTCAAGCTTTTCTCTCCAAACAAGACGACTAGAAACTTAAATTTTGGGCTTTTTAAAATGCGAGTAGAGATTCCTGCGTAATTACCAGACTCCAGCCACGGGGGCTTTCAGAAAAAAAACAGAGATAAATTGTTTGTTAAAATATAAATGTTTTCAATAGAGCTGAAAACAACTGAAATATCAGAACAGGGCAGTTTCTTTAATTGAGGTTCTCTCCCCCTCCCGCCCCCCCCCCCGCAAAAGAGCGCTCTGCTGTAAAAGCTTTAATTTCAGTTGCTGTCCCTGCTCTCCAGCCTACATGATGGGAAATCACTTTCCTGCGGGACTCCAAACACAATAGTTAAACACCTGATTGCCCAACAAAAACTGTGTGAGTGAGCGATCCCGAGGCCTGCGCCTAGTCCAGGGCACTGCAAACACTTTGAAATGGTTCTGTCTGTTGCATATTGCTAGTTGTTTTTAGGCTATCAAAGCTTTATTTTAAAAGAGTAATGATAAATTAGTTTAAAGATGACCTTTAAAAAGTGCCCGTCATTGCTGCTTTATGATGTATTGACTGGCCTGACCTTGTTTCAAGACTTACGAACCCATTACCTAGCCTTCCCAGGACCAAAGGGTATTAGCTGAAAGTGACAGGGAGGCAGCATGTGAAATGGAAGGAAGTTACTGGATCACCGACATACCTGATTGAGGAAAACAGATCAACACGGAGCCAGATTTGCAAGAGAGCTCAGCTCCATTTAGGCATCAAAATAAGTGGCCAGATTTTCACATGAGATCTGCATGCTGAGCTCTTTTAAAACCTGGCCCCGTCTGTGGATGCTATGCATCCGAAAGCACAGCCTAACTAGTGGTTACTATATGTATTCAGCAAACCAGAAAGGGACTGTATGCTTTTCAGGGTAGGGACTCTGTCTTCCCTCTTTGCGGGGACAGTGCCAAGCATGCAATGGGCCCAACTGTAATATAAATATTATTTACTGCTGTTACTGAAGACTGAACCCAAAGCTTTCAGTGGGAGTGGATGTACCTTTAAATAACGACCCTCTGTCTGTACTAACTTGACTGGCTTTTGTTCTTTCTTCATATTTCTTGCTGTGATTTTCCTGCCAGATAAGGTCACTGTAAGTAATTAAAAAGGCATATTTGGTTTATTGGGTTAGGCGATGTAATGAAAACAAAATTCTAAATGGCCTAACTCAAAGCAGAAGGGATTTTGATTCAATCATGTTTCATTGGTGCTCATGATATCATAATCCAACTTCTTCTAGAGTCTTCCAGGAAAAACATGGTAGTCAAAACCTGAATTTTTAGTTAACAAAAACCAAAAACAAGCAGTACTTCCCCCACTCTCCTTTTCATAGCCATCACAGAGCAGCAAACTAGGACAAATCCATTCCCCCCCTTTACAGGGAAATCTTTCAACGAATATACAGGTACCTACAATGAACAGGGAGTGGGGCTGGTTTGCCTCCACAGGCAAATGCCTTCACATCTTTAGCTCTAAAGAGCTCACTGACAAGTTATAAACACTCCAGTCTCCACTGGACAGTTTAACCAAGGCAGATGCAGGAAGGAGTTTCCCAGAGGCAAATTCTTTTCTAATCCCTTGAAATCTCACTGGATCCCAGTTTCTCACCTGACCTGAATCAGATAAAGTGTTTCTGGGACCAAACGAGCTCAGAGAATCTCCGTAACATTCTCTAATTCGCTGAGATGACGTGAAGCAGAAAGTCCCTGCTGGAATGACGCTGGAGGGTAATTGATCAGCGTTGGCCTGGTGTTGTGTGCTGAATGCTCACTGAGGGCTTGCAGTGCTAAATATTGAGTTGCTGAATTTTATTTGTAAATGGGAATTTCATTTACTTTATGTACCCAAGCTGTGATCATGATTTATGACTGGTCTATGTATGGAAATATCATCAGCTTTACTTCAGGTTTCAGAGTAGCAGCCCACGAAAGCTTATGCTCAAATAAATTTGTTAGTATCTAAGGTGCCACAAGTCCTCCTTTTCTTTTTGCTTTACTTCAAATATTCCCATCGCTCATGCGCCGTTCGGGGGGTTTACACGGCTGAACTCCGATATGAGGTGAAATGATAATCAAGGCTGCAGCATGACCAAACCAAATTCTGCAGCAGCAAAATCCTTACATTCCATAGCAATGTTACTTTATCCAGCTACCAGCATATTTCTCTCTGCCTCCCTTTCCACCCTCCCGCACATACTCCTGTTGCTCACAGTTGAAAAATACTCACAAACAAAATTAGTTGTTGATGATTTTCAACAATGATTAGGGTTGAAGATGGATTTTCACTATGCCCTCTAGGCAGCTCAGCTCCATTCTCTGGCTCTTTGTGCTAGGGAAGGAAGGAGTCAGTAGCCCCAGTTTCAGTGGCTCATTTTCCCAGCTCTCAGTTGCTCTGCAGTCCAGGTTTACTAGCTTGCCAATCTATGCCTCTGGCTCCCCTGACTCCATCTCTGGCTATCCATGCCTTGGCTGCGTGGTTCCATGGACCAGTGCACAGAGAATGCCCTGCAATCCACTCCACCACTCCACCTCCCCCTTTCTCTTGTGGGGAACGCTGGAGATCAAGAGGAAGCTGCAGGCAGGTTCCAGCAGGGCGGGGAAACTGGAAACAAACACCAGGCTGCAGCTCATTCTGCAGCAAAAACGCTGAACTGAATGGCATTTTTCTGAAATGCCATCTTCTGTGGCTGCAGAATTATGGAGTCCACAAGGCCCTGATGGAGAGAAATGGGACAAGTCATACCACTCAGAGCTATTGTGTCAGGCAGATTGATGTAAGTGACACCGCAATGGTTACATTTGGTTTGTTTTCCAAGTTATCTCCCGAACGAATCCACAAACCGTTTTTTTTTTTAGATTCAGGACTACAATTCTGTAGCAAGTGCCACAGATACAAACTCCCCAATTACAAAGGGCACTGATTATAATTTGACTTCTAGAGCTATCATGATGCTAAAGAGATGATGCAAGATATACGACCCTGGGCTTTGATCTTATCAGACCTCAGAAGCTACACAGAGAGACAAGGTGTTTAACAGAAGTTGGTCCAGTAAAACGTATTACCTCATCCACCTTGCCTCTCTAATATCCTGGGACCAACGTGGCTACACCAAGCTAAGCAGAGGCAGGCTGAGTCAGCGCTTGTGTGGGAGATTGCCAAGAATATCTAAGTGCTCGAGAAAATTCTTGTCACAGAGTCACAGGCCTCATGCTCTGGAACTGTTCAATGTGAAGCCAGACAGGACTCTGGGTAAAGTGACTCCTCTCAGGGTACGCTGTCCAGGACAAAAACCCTCCTTGGCTATGGCCTTCCTGGGTCTGACCTCAGAGCACTCAGCACCCCTGTTCTTACCGTACACTTCCCGCAGCAGGTCCACCTTGACTGGCCCCCTGGGGAAGCCAGATGGTCCCTGCACCCCAACTTTGCACTCAGCAGTGACTCCCTGCCAGTGTTGTAAAACATAAGGGTTTATTAGTCAACAGGAACACAGCATAGAACAGAGTTTGCTAGCACAGAAATCAGGAACTTGCAGCAAAGTCCATCTGAAGTGGACCCTGGGCTCGGTGCTCCAGACTCCCCGCTCCGAGTTCCAAACAGGAGACTGACCCCTCCCAGCCACCCGACCTCCAACACCCCCGTTGCCCTTCCTCTGGTCTTCGTCTTGCTTCATGGGCCATGTGTCACTTGGTTGCATCCCCCTCCTGATTCTCAAGTTATGAGGGGCATCGGCCATCGCTTACATGCAGGCAGCTGGAGCCACCTCACCTGCTCCCGAGGGTCTCAGCAAAAGTCACACACTCTTATTCCCACCACCTAGGCATTGGTGCAATACACAGGGAACTGAGGTACACACAGTATTCATGCAAAACAGTAAGACTCACACAGGCTCATGTACAACATAACAAGGGGAAACCCTCACTTCATCACAATGCTGACTCCCATTTTCACAAGTGTGGAAGGAAAATGGTCTCACCTAGATAAAAGTACACACCACCTGCAGGCCAACGACAAGCTTTTCTTCACTGTGAAGGCTCGACAGCCAGACTTAAGATGGCTGCAGCAAGCTCATAATGTAAATTGTTTAGGAGGACTATTCATTCAGTGCAAACCAAACAGCTGGGAATGAACTCTCTCTCTAATGTACTTCTCTGGCCCTCATTACCACAGTATCTGGGCACCTCCCACTCTCTATTGTATTTATCCTCACAGAATGCACAGTGCTGTTATCCCCATTGTACAGATAGGGAACTGAGGCACAGAGGCTTAGGCCGGGATGCACAAAAGGAGTTTAGTGCTTAAGTCCCAGTTTCGGGACCCCTGCAATGCACAAAACTCCCACTCAACCCTGTAGGTGCCCAAACTCGCTTGACATCTACATTTTTGCAGTAAAAGTTCCCTCACAGCCTATGTTTCTGCCTCTGAGCATGCGTACCGCTGCCTGTCTCCAGCCATCTGCTGCCTACCTCCCACGTAAGCTCCAGAGTGATTTACAAACTGGGGGAAGACCGGTGTTCAGCTGCCTACTTCTGGTGCTGGGCCCTATCTGGTAAGATCCCCCTGAGCACACCTACCGGATTGGGCCCCTTGGGTGAGTTCACACAAAACCGCAGATGAGGACGACCTCCCTCATTTTTAGCCCAGTGGTTAGAGCACTCACGTGGGACAGCCAGGTTCAAGTTCCCCTCCGCGTATGTGCGGGAGAAGGGATTGAACTGGGATCCACCACCTCTCAGGTGAGTGCCTGAACCATGGGACTGTGGGATATTGAGGTGGGGCTCCCTCAGACTCTCCTGTTGAAGTTGTTGCACTGTGGATAAATACTAGAAGAGTCTTTGGAACCAGGGAACCAGATTTTAGGCCCCCCAAATCCTGGGTGAGCGCTCTGCCCACTAGGCTATTGAGTCAGTCTCATGTGTGCGGGCTCTCTCTCGCCCAAATGACCAAGTATTTATCCATAGTGCAATAGTGTTGTCAGGAGAGCCTGAGGGAGCCCCATCTCACAATATCCCATAACCCCGTGGTTCGGGCACTCACTTGAGAGATCGCAGATCCCTGCTCAACTCCCTTTCCACCTCCCCCAGAAGCAGGGGGGACTTGAGCTGGGGGTCTCCCACATCCCAGGGGAGTACCCTAACCACTGGGCTAAAAGTTACTAGGGAATGCCTCCTCCTCTTCTCTGCCTCCCCCCTAAAATTGCAGAGGTGCCTGACTTCAGGAAACAGTGAACAGCTGAGAATGGCTAGCAGGGGTAGGAACCTCTGCGGGAGGCAGGGGGGAAGGCTCAGCACATATCCCTCAGGTTGGCATCTCCCATTGCCTAGCATAGGCAGCTTCCTTCCTAGCGGGCTGACTTTTGTGAATTGCAATCTACCTGCCTTTCTCTCCCCATTCATTGTACAGGAGCCTAACTCATGCTTTGTGAATTGCAGTAATTGTCTAGGGGCCATGACACTGGGTGTCACAACGCCTAACTCCTGTGCATCCAGGCCTCAGTGACTTGTCCTAGACAAGGTGGGAAATCTGGGGTGGAGCTGGAACTGATGCCAGGACCTCGGCTAGTGCTCTAACCACTGGATCATCGTTCCTCTCTAATTTAGCAGTGTCTTAGCACGCCTTTGCAACTAAAAGTGTTTTCTCTTGGGTAATAATAACAATAATTAATAATCCCTAGCTCTTATCTAGTGCTTTTCATCCATAGATCTCAAAGCACTTTACAAAGGAGCTCTGTATCCTTATCCCCACTTTACAGCTAGGGAATCTGAGAAACAGGGAGGGACTTGCTCATGACTTGCAGTGTGAGTCCTTTCTCCTACTTACACTATTATAGGAAGGCCTGAAGGAGGACAGGTATTGCAACATGACTCAGCCTCTTTCGGGTCCCTGGTGGCAGAAGGTCCCCTCAGGGACTGTAAAAAGAAAAGGAGTACTTGTGGCACCTTAGAGACTAACCAATTTATTTGAGCATGAGCTTTCGTGAGCGTGATTATGGTTGCCATAGCAACTCAGAGAGAGCCACGGTTTTTGAGGGTTTCAGCGTAACAGCCGTGTGAGTCTGTATCTGCAAAAAGAAAAGGAGGACTTGTGGCACCTTAGAGACGAACCAATTTATTTGAGCATAAGCTTTCGTGAGCTACAGCTCACTTTGTACCACTGGGAACTTTAAAGACCAGGGCCTGGAGTTTGAAATGGATCTGGAACTGGATGATGGTCCGTGAGGCTCCAGGAGCACGGGTGATATGTGCTGTCATCAAACTGTTCCATTCAGGAGGTAGGCTTGCCTGTGATAGATCAAGAGCAGTTTCTAGTTTCTGCAGGGCCTTTCCCTTTCCTGTTCCTACACAGGATACTTGGCAGGGGGCAAGCCTGGAAGGGACCCAAGCAAGAAACAGCATAGCTAGGCCCTCATCTAAGGCGAAACAATGACTCCTCCTTGCTTGTCAAGACAGAAGGAGGCATTTCTGGAGACTATTTGGGTCTCTAGTACAATGATGAACCCAGCAGGACCCCAAGACTATGTTAACCACTGGAGCGCAGATACCCCGACAGAGGACAAGATCACAGTGTGACAGCTCCCTCCTGCATGTCAGCTCCATACTTCCTGTATTTAGCTTGAGCCAGCTGCCTTTTGTCCAGCTGGGACAAAGCAGCGGCTGTGCTGGACACACAGAGCTATGTGTCATCAGCACACTGATGGTGTCAGAGTCTGTGTTATCTGATCGTTCCCAGCAACGGTTAACAGGACTCAGGACTGCAGGACACCCCAAACAAGGGTCTGCCACAGAAGAACAGGGGACACTAGTCTAATGCAGTTCCCTAAAAGCTCTTTGGTGTACCAGCAGCTCTTTGTGATCGAAGACATCAAGTGCAATTTCTAGATCAAGCAGAATTTACATGGATGTTTCACCCATGTCTGTGGCCGTAAAAGGAAAGGCCCATCAGCGTCACTGTCTCTGTGCTCTGCCATGTCCGAAGGGGTTTAGCGTACTGGTGCCGGTCAGGTGGAGCTGACTACATGTGTTCTCTCTGCACATTAGAACAGAAGGATTATCAAAATTTCAGACTCTGACCAATTATTGGCTTGAACAAGCCCTAATAATCTTCCATTCTGGCCTCAAGCCAGCTTCAATCACCTGTCCTGCTGCAGTGGTAAAAATTCAGGTGTTCAGATGCCATGAATCAAGTCTGTCACATAGAACGGACGCCTGTTTTCAACTCTTGGTTTCTTGCACCCCAGGCTGTCTGGGGCTGACACTGCTTGTAGAACTCCTGGGTTCAATTAGGAACCCCTTATTCCCAGGGCCACAGTGCACTTGGCTTTGCTACATGACAGGCCTGAGTTTGATTTGTACCACGGGCCAGCAGGGGCCTGAAATGCTTTTTCTTTCAACAGCAACCCCTCTGGCGAATTCTGTGGTTGGAATTTGAGAAGTCTCAAGAAAAGAGCGGGTTGGTTGTAATTGGGGGATCTACAGGGCTCAATCTAGAGCTGACTGGATCTTTTTTTTTTTTTTGGATCAACCCCTGAAACAAG